CGTGGCTGATAACTCAAAAACTAGTTTATCAATCGCGCTCAAATTTTTTGCACTTATCCATGACAATACTATCTAACATATGAACCTGAATGTATGAAATAAATTGAACATTAAAGTCTTTTTATTGCAAAACATTGCAAAAATTTTCAATAAAATTCAAAGTTTTTCTTTAAAAGCGCGCCATTTCTTCAATTTTACATATTTTGCACATTTCTGAGGTTCATCTACTAACTGTGAATGTTAGTTTTCGAAACATTGTCTGCAAACTTGCTTCGGACCAATATATCTTCCGCTAGAACCCACGCCGATTCACGAGACGCGCCAAAACACTTCCAGAAAGGATTGTCATAATTCCGGCATTTTGAAATATTTTGCAAAACAGAAAATATTCTGTAACAGGCAATAGCTATAATAAATTATACCTGAAATTTTGAAAACGCAAAACAAAGGTGTCCTATAAAAAAAAATTCACAAATATCAGCTTATTTTCATCCGTCTAAAGGTATTGCCCCCCTTAACTCTTCATTGCACACTATATTGCAGACACTCGTAAAATAATACACCGTATATCTTTTACGAAGATTATGAAAAATGACAGTGGATTATAGTGGAAGTTTATCTTATCGGTTAAACGTCGTTCCTTTCGTTTTAATTAATTTCGCCGGGAATCCGATCCAGCAGGAAGCCTGACATACGTCAAAACTGTTCAACGTCGAAAACAAAGTAAACCTGCTGTACGTGGCAGACCGACGAATTGTTCAACAGAAACAATTCCTCGTGAAAAACGCGGGGCGAATGACTGCTCGATAATGGAAACGCGTTTTCGCGTATGTACATATGCGCCGATATAAGGTGAACGTCCTCGTTTCTACTCCACTCGTGTAACGCTTTAAATTCGCTCTTACACTATCTAGCCTTCTAATTAGGACCATTATACATTTTCAGAATTTTACATTTACATTTACGTTTACATTTACCGTAAAATTAAAAAGGTTGTTCAAATTGTAATTATACAATTTATTAGTTACACTGATACATTACTACTGTACATAACGTTATTAACACATGTTATATCAAATTAACCCTTTGCGCTCGAGAGGCGCCATTCGATTTAATACAATAATTTAAAAGAAGCGTTATTTAATTAATTCTGTAATAGTGCTTATGTATAAACATAGTGAAATAGATAATAGTGGAAATTATTAGTAGAGAAATAATAACTTCAAAAGAAGTCATTTAACATTTTAATTAATATTTTAAAGTTGCTGTTTGCAAACAGTAAAATTATCTTCGAGTACAAAGGGTTAATATATTAATGTATATAATAATACAAAAAATATCTTGTATCTTTTGATCGTGTGCTGCATGTCTTCATTACTTTCTTCATTATTTTAGTATTAGTGTCACTTATACGATTTCATAACTAGTTTAGACCAAGTGCCAATCCACGCATTGTATATTTTATTTTAAAACCTTGACAGCAATTAATCAACTTTTAGTCTTAAGAGTATATATTTAAATTGAGCAATTACGTCGAAGAGCTCCTATTATAAATTTTGTTATGCGCGGGGAAATTCAGCGCGGGTAAATTCAACGCGTCGAGATAAATATTGGAGATTCGACGCGTAGAAGTAAATAACATATGGAGATTCAACGCGCTCAAATAAATAACATACGGAGCTAATAATGCGTGGGGATTCAGCGCATAATGATAATAACGTGTGGAGATCCAACGCGTTGTGATAATCTGTCGAAATCCTACGTGTGGAGACCGTGCATAAATTCTATGGATCGAACGCGTGGAAATCTGATGTGTGCGAGTCGAATGTGTAAAAATTTAATACGTGAAAATTCGTATGAGTAGATATTTTACGCGTGAAAAATTAATTCTTGAATATTCAGTGCGCGAGAATTTAAACACGTGGAAGTTCAACGCGCGAAAATTCAAATTCGTAGGAATTCAACACGTAGAAATTCCACGTGTGAAAATTCTGAGATGTGGAAATGTAACGTGTAGAAATTCAACGCGCAGAATTCTAATATATAGAAGTTTAATGCGTGGGAATTCAACGCGCGAATATTCAAACACGTAGGACTCCAGCGCGCGAAAATTCAAACTCGTAGAACTCCAGCGCGCGAAAATTCAAACTCGTAGAAACTTCACGAGTAGTAATTCAAAGCGTAGAAACTCCGCGTGTAGAAACTCAACAAGTAGAAATGCAACATGTAGAAACTCAGCGCGAGGATTCAAACACGTAGAACTCCAACGCGCGAAAGTTTAAACCCGTAGAAACTCGACGCGCGAAAATTCAAACCCTTAGAAATTCAACGCGTAGAAAAGAACTGCAATGTGTGGAAATTAAAAGCGTGGAAACACAACTCATTGAAATTCAAACAGATAAAAAACTCAGCGTCCAAAAATTGAAACTTGTAATACTTCAGCGCGTAGAAACTTAGCGCGCGAAAATTCAAATCCTACATATTAAACTTAAACTAATAGAACTGCAATGTGTGGAAATTAAAAGCGTGGAAATACAACTCGTTGAAATTCAAACGGATAAAAAACTCAGCGTCCAAAAATTGAAACGCGTGGTGCTTCAGTGCGTAAGAAACTCGACGCGCGAAAATTCAAACCCTTAGAAATTCCACGCGTAGAAACTCTACATATTAAACTTAAACTAATAGAACTGCAATGTGTGGAAATTAAAAACGTGGAAATACAACTTGTTGAAATTCAAATAGATAAAAAACTCAGCGTCCAAAAATTGAAACTTGTAATACTTCAGCGCGTAGAAACTAAGCGCGCGAAAATTCAAATCCTTAGAAATTCAACGCGTAGAAAAGAACTGCAATGTGTGGAAATTAAAAGCGTGGAAATACAACTCATTGTAATTCAAACAAATCCAACGCGCGAAAGTTTAAACCCGTAGAAACTCGACGCGCGAAAATTCAAACCCTTAGAAATTCCACGCGTAGAAACTCTACATATTAAAACGCGTAGAAAAGAACTGCAATGTGTGGAAATTAAAAGCGTGGAAACACAACTCATTGAAATTCAAACAGATAAAAAACTCAGCGTCCAAAAATTGAAACTTGTAATACTTCAGCTCGTAGAAACTAAGCGCGCGAAAATTCAAACTCGACACAGAAATAAATAACAGTAAACGTAACGAATGAAATAAAATATAACATTAAAACCAGATTGCATGTCAAATACCAAAATTAAATAATATCCTTCTGATTGCAGTCGTGGTACGATTACAAGTTAAAATGGGATCCAAAGGAGTATGGTGGTGTTGAAATGCTGCACGTGCCATCCGATCATATATGGAGGCCCGATATAGTTTTGTACAACAAGTAAGATTTTCTACTGTTTACTTTAACCGTAATTACCCAGTTATATGTCCAGAGTATGCAGATAAAATGTATGCACAGATTACCATGTGTTTTAATAATTAATTACCTTGCATACGATTTAGCGAAATGAACTTTAATGTACATCATCAATATTGATACCGTCTAACATTTCTGTTCTCATTTTCGCGTTTAATGTATACGTTTAATATCGCGTGTAGATATGCACATTTTATTAGTACACTGTATTTGAGTTCGACTCGTCAGACACGTCAGTCAGAATTAACTATCCACCGCTATAATATTGAAGCAAATAAATAATGTTAAAACTTGTCAGTATCGTTGACTAAACTTATGATTGGAATTAAATAGTGGATCGAAGCGTATTAAAGATTCGAGTAAGATTTATTTGAAGTATGTAACGAGTTAATCCTTAAATGCATGATTTTCTAATTTTACCAAAAGTTATCAACTAACAAAATACCTTGAAAGCGGTTGATTCAAATTGAAACGAACAGATGACGCTATTGTGTATTTGATTGGTACGTGGCATATCTGCAACACTACTAGGTTTCCTACATTTTGTATATAATTTATAAGATTAAAACTGGTATGTTGCATTTATACAACTATATGCATTTAAGGGTTGAAGTCGTCGAAATATGACAAAGGATTGATAAATATGATATACGAAAAGATTGTATAACGGAAGGTACCGTCTCTTTGATTTCGTTTTATCATTTGAATTTTACAAAATTTCATTATCGTAGGAGATCGTTCGAGATTACTTGGCAATCCGCCGTGAATAATCTGTTAATCTTGGAGCTTTCATAACAGAAATAAAGGGGTTGGATTTATCTTGCAATTTCATTACTTTATCTTTTATCGTAGATGGGTTCTTGTACAAAGTATTCGTTTGAAGGATGTAAGTTATTTTTGGTGCATTCGGTGTTAGGTAAGATGGTAGGATTAGGGGATTTGGGTATTTGGAACACTAGGATTAGGATATTGGGATACTAGGATACTTGGGGTATTAGGGTGATTGGGATGGTAGGGTGATTGGGATGGTAGGGTGATTGGGATGGTAGGGTGATTGGAATGGTAGGGTGATTGGGATGGTAGGGTGATTGGGATATTAGGGTAATTGGGATGGTAGGGTGATTGGGATATTAGGGTAATTGGAATACTAGGGTAGTTGGGATACTAGGGTGATTGGGACACTAGGGTGATTGGGACACTAGGGTGATTGGGATACTAGAGTGATTGGGACACTAGGGTGATTGGGATACTAGAGTGATTGGGATACTAGAGTGATTGGGATAGTAGGGTGATTGGGACACTAGAGTGATTGGGACACTAGGGTGATTGGGATACTAGAGTGATTGGGATAGTAGGGTGATTGGGACACTAGGGTGATTGGAACACTAGAGTGATTGGGATACTAGAGTGATGGAACACTAGGGTGATTGGGATACTAGAGTGATTGAGACACTAGGGTGATTGGGACACTAGGGTGATTGGGATACTAGAGTGATTGGGACACTAGAGTGATTGGGATAGTAGGGTGATTGGGACACTAGGGTAATTGGGATACTAGGGTAATTGGGATACTAGGATACTTGGGATACTAGGCTACTTAGAATACTTAAGATACTAAGTTACATTAAATTATCCTATTGTATTGTATTGTAGTGAATTATAGTCAAAGCTAGAAGTTATATTTTAGTCAAATCTACTACGAAAAGATTAATTACATCAAGCTAGATTATAGTCAGCGTCAGGTTATCTTTCATAAGTCTTCGTCAAGGTTGATCATGTACTGCATTACAATCAAAGTTAAATTTTATTGACATCTATTACCACAAGATTGATATCATGTTGCATTGTAGTCATCCTTAGGTGTACTCCCATGAGTCAAATATATCAGATTTGATTGATTATACCTTGCTGGATTACGATCAAAGCTAAGCAACATTTCAGTCAAATCTACCACGATAAGATTGATTATAATGCTATATATAATCAATTTTCTAATCGAAGTTAGATTTTAGTCACATTTCATGAATTACAAAGTTGAATTTTATCGAAATTTATTATAATAAAATATTGATCGTACCCTGCTGGATTACAGTAACCGTTAGGTGAACTCCCATGAGTCAGATTTATTAAAGTTGATCGATTACGTCCTACTGGATTATGATCAAAGTTAAGTTAGATTTTAGTTAAAACTATGATATGATTGATTATACCCTGATGTATTATGATCAAAGTCAAGTTTGATTTTAGTCAAATCCACCATGATAACATTGATTATATATTGATATATTACAATCAATTATATATTAATATATTATAGTCAAAGTTATATTTCATTCAAGTCTGACATGACAGGATAGATCGTGTACTATAATAGATAGATATCATGTACTATTACATAGATGTACTGTATGAACGATAGCTTGTGAACAACAATCAAAGTTAATTTTCTTGAAATCTACCATAAGATCATCATGTACTATTATATAGATGTACTATATAGACTATAGAGATCGTGAACAACAATCAAAGTTAATTTTCTTGAAATCTACCATGAGATCATCATGTACTATCACATAGATGTACTATATAGACTATAGAGATCGTGAACAACAATCAAAGTTAATTTTCTTAAAATCCACGACAAGAGTTGTTATCACATCCAACTGGAATCACATCCAGCTAGAGTACATTTCATTCAAGTCTACCATGACAAGATATATCGTGCATTGAACAACAATCAAAGTTAATCTTCTTGAAATCTACGACAAGAGTTGTTATCACATCCAACTGGAATCACATCCAGTTAGATTTTAGCGTTAAGTTAATTTTTGACTCTATGTATAATTGAATAACGTGTACGTTTGATTGCAACAGTGCTGACGGTAATTTCGAGGTGACGCTGGCAACGAAGGCGACGTTAAATTACACAGGGAGAGTCGAGTGGAAGCCACCGGCGATATACAAGTCTTCCTGTGAGATCGACGTAGAATATTTTCCGTTCGACGAGCAGACGTGCGTCATGAAGTTCGGCTCGTGGACTTACGATGGCTTCCAGGTAACGATCACTTTTCCTAACCTCCGCTGGCTGAATATTAAACGGTGTTCGGAAATTTCGAGCCACGAGACAAAAATTACCTTCGGTGTCTTCGAACTTCCTCCATCCATACTCTGTAAAAAGTATCAAATTATAGGAGAAGAATTTTAAATCGCTCCGACACTCTTATTTGATGAATTCGAACTCTTCAGGCTAAGTGATCGATCAGTTAATCAAATTCATTTATCATTCATTTTTTATTCAATTTCGTTTTGACTCTTAATGGAAGTCTTTTTTAAATAAAATTTTATAGGCAACTTTTATACATGCAAATTATTTTTGGGATTTTAAGGGAAATTCATTTCGTAGGAAGCTTAAATTAAATTTTTTAACTGTTACATGCATGTAGAAATTTTAGTATATTTTGTTTTGATTTTAAGAAGACCAAGATGTTTCATCAGTTGAGTTCAATCAAATTTTTTAATCAGTTAAATTTAAGCAGATTTGTTTAAATGAAGTTAAGAAGATTTGTTTAATCAGTTTCATAAAGAATGTTCGACCAAAACTCTACATCGTGTCCGTCAGTTCTATAAATCTTCCGGTTGTTCCAATTTATGTCACCGCTTTATTTTTCGCAAATTTATTCCGTAAATTCTATCAATTTATGCGCCCGTTATTTTCCGTGAATTTGTTTTGTAAATTCTCCCAATTTATTTGTCACGGTTTATTTTTATTTAAAAAATACAACAGTGATAGATATAATAGAATAATGTATCTAAAAATTAAATAGAGATCTTGAACAAGAATAATTCTTCTTGTACATTAAAAAGTTAGTTATATCTCTCAAAAATAACAAATCTACCTAATTGAGTTACTGTATAAAAACGAACAAACCCAGAATAGTATTTTGGTAGCATAATTCAGGTATCCTCTATAGACAAAGTACCTTTTAATCAATTTTAGGAAGCTCCGATTGTTGGAAAGCGGGTACCGAACTATCCAGCAGCACTTGTAATGCCATCTATTTACCAGACATAATCCCCTTTTATTTCCCAGTATCATGAGGCAGGAGTTTCAGACTATTAAGCTTCAAGAGGGATACAATGAGCTCAATTGGTTCGAGCAATCATCGGATAACCGGAATCTCTGAATTCGAATTTCCATTTTGACGAACAGGACATTCTGTTTAATACAATGTCTATTCTTTTATCGAATTATTTCTCCTTTCACAATGCAAATTTTACATATATAAATACATAAAAACACTTAGCATTTCGTTGCAAATTTTAATCATTTACAATAATTGTTACAGACAATTTTAAATTATCAGTCATTGGATGTGGTTTAAATTTTCAATTATTCAGTATGATTTCAATTGTGGGTTATTAAATATGATTTCAGTTTTGATTGCAAGCATTTAAATCGTGGAAATAATAACTCGGTGAAACCGAACGCGTTGGAAATTTGGGGCGTCGAAATTCAGTGCGTGGGAATTCAACGTATGGAAATTCGACGCGTGGGAATTCAATACGTGGAAAATCGGCGTGGAGGAATTCAACGCGTTAGAATTCAACGCGTGGGAATTCTGCGCATGAGAATTCTGCGCATGAGAATTCTGCGCATGGGACTTCTGCGCATGGGAATACTGCGCGTGGGTACTCTGCGCATGGGAATTCTGCGCTTTGGAATTCTATGCGTTGGAATTTGGGCGCGTGGAAATCCGACGCGTAGAGAAATTCGACGCGTGAGAATTCGGCGCGAGGGAATTCTACGCGTTGGAATTTGGACGCGTGGAAATCCGACGCGTAGAGAAATTCGACGCGTGAGAATTCGGTGCGTGGAAATTCGATACGTAGAGAAATTCGACGCGTGGAAATTTGGCGCGTAGGAGTTCGGCGCATGGAAATTCGACGCGTGAGGATTCGGCGCGTGGGAATTCTACGCGTTGGAATTTGGGCGCGTGGGAATTCTACGCGTGGAAATCCGACGCGTGGAAATTTGATGCGTGGAAATTTGATGCGTGAGAATTCGGTGCGTAGAAATTCAACGCGTGAGGATTCGGCGCGTGGGAATTCTACGCGTTGGAATTTGGTGCGTAGAATTTCGACGCGTGGAAATTCGGCATGTGGGAATCCGACGCGTGGAAACCCACCGTGTAGAAATACAGTGCGAGGTAATCCAACGCGTAGAAATCTAACATGTAAATATAACATCTCTACGCCAAAATGTATCGTAACGCAATAGAACTCGTGTTAAATCCTCCACCCACAAATGCCATACACTCAACACTGATTTACCGAAACCTCTCTTCCGTTCGTTATCCCCCTTGACACTAAAATAAAAAAGGAATCCCATTTCACTAGAAACGATCACATAAATTTTACATTCGACAGAAAAAAAAACCGTGAATCTTCCGATTGAAAGGAAACAAAGAAACGTGGAAGCCACAAGTGGCATGCGGTTTAGAAGATCGTTTCGGATCGTTATTTCGCGGACGATTGTCGTTGTGCGACAGCGTGCGACACGATTGACCCGGGTGTTATCGGGCAAAATATCTCTACTACAATGAAGAATGAATAATGCATTAGGCGAGTAATGTTGTCCATACATCATCACGGCCAACGACGGGGATATCCATCAAGTTCATTTAATAAGAAGTACATACCGATCGATCAGCTTTATGTGGACCAGCAATGAACGTGAAGGATGATTACGTGAAACCCTTTTAACGATCTGTTAGGATACCGAGTCTTTTATATTAGTCTTTGATATCGAGGCATCCTCGATTGCTGTCGTTAAACAGCACGATGGATAACGTGTTATCGTTTATGGCCTGTTATCGGTTTTATCCACTTACAAATCCAAAGGATTCCTTTTCATATCGCGATAGTTATCGAACGGCTTTTAATCTTCTTGTTATTTGCTGCTCGTTTATTTCGGACTATTAGATACGTGCAGGACTTTCGGGCAAATTCATGGGTAAATTTAGGTGTCATATAGATTTATAAGTTAAGCGATTTATAAATATATTTATAGGTTAAGAGACAAAAAATAATTTTGGATATATATATTTTTGTTGTGATGTAAATGTTTGTTGGAATATGTTTATTACGATAATTGTTAAATTGTTTGGTATTGTAATAGAGAATTGTAATAAGCAATTGTAAACAACAAACAATAATTGTTTAAATTGTTTGGTATTGTAATAAAGAATTGTAATAAGCAATTGTAAACAACAAACAATAATTGTTTAAATTATTTAATTTGTTTAAATTGTTCAAATTGTATAAATTGTATAAATTGTTCAAATTGTTTAAATTGTTTAAATTGTTTAAATTGTTTAAATTGTTTAAATTGTTTAAATTGTTTAAATTGTTTAAATTGTTTAAATTGTTTAAATTGTTTAAATTGTTTAAATTGTTTAAATTGTTTAAATTGTTTAAATTGTTTAAATTGTTTAAATTGTTTAAATTGTTTAAATTGTTTAAATTGTTTAAATTGTTTAAATTGTTTAAATTGTTTAAATTGTTTAAATTGTTTAAATTGTTTAAATTGTTTAAATTGTTTAAATTGTTTAAATTGTTTAAATTGTTTAAATTGTTTAAATTGTTTAAATTGTTTAAATTGTTTAAATTGTTTAAATTGTTTAAATTGTTTAAATTGTTTAAATTGTTTAAATTGTTCAAATTGTATAAATTGTTCAAATTGTTCAAATTGTATAAATTGTATAAATTGTTCAAATTGTTTAAATTGTTCAAATTGTATAAATTGTTCAAATTGTATAAATTGTTCAAATTGCTTAAATTGTATAAAGTGTATAAATTGTTCAAATTGTATAAATTATTTATTATGGTAATATGTTTATTATAATTCTGAAATGCATCAATTAGAAAATTCATCACTTAAAAAAATTTCAATTTGAAAATTTAGAATTTGAACATTTGTTAACTTGAAGGTCCATAATGTTTAAATTTGTCAAATGAAAATTCATGATTTTCATCAACTGAAAATTTGTATAACCATCTAATACCTAAATTAAAATATTTGTAACTACCTAATGTCTAAACATAAAAATTTGTTAATAAATATAAAAATTAGTAAATTAAAGCACTGTTTAATTGTTCGCAGGTCGATCTTCGACACATCGACGAAATCCGTGGCAGCAACGTCGTCGACATCGGCGTCGATCTGTCGGAGTTTTATACTTCCGTCGAGTGGGACATCCTCGAAGTCCCAGCCGTGAGGTGAGCATATCGATTGCAACTATAAATACTCGAAAACAAACAAAATCTTATAATCCCCTTTATAAGATTTCTCTGTCAAACCAACATACATCATGCACCTTTTCACAAAATATTACAATCACGTAATTTAAAAATCATCCACATTTAAACAGTGGAATAATCCACATTTTTAAATGATCGACACGTTCCCCAGAAACTATCAAAAATACAAGAGGAATGCTAACGAAGCAAATTTATAACGAGGACAAAAGATATTTGACTGTTCCATAATTAAAAGCCGTCATTGTCAGAATGCGGAGAAGAGTTTATAAAAATTTCATCGGAAACCTTGCTAGGAGCGTGAGAACCTAATTATTTGCAGTTAATTTATCGCGAGACGGTAGCGGTGAATTATTCGAAACAATTTCTGTCGCAATTAATTAAATATGCGAACTTATAATTTTGTCGTGTATGCATATAATATTGGATGCATAAAATTTTCCTCGGAGAGTGCAGTAATTGGCTGCAAATTGAGAAATCTCGTAGTAATTTCTTGCTGTCGCATTGCATTAGGACGGAAAATAGTACTCTTCACAATAGTGAGCTGAAAATGAAGTTAACATTTTTCTTTTGAAATACAAGATAGAAGCTTGATATTGTAATAGTAGTTTTAGTGGCTTCATATTTTATAGTGGAAGTGTAATATTTTCGTACTGGGATATTTAATATTTTCGTATTTTCGTATTAGGGAAAATATATACGACGCGTAGAAATTCGATATGTGGAAATTTGACGCGTGAGAATTCAACGCATAAGAATTCTACGCGTGGGAGTTCTGCGCGTGGGAGTTCTACGCGTCGGAATTCTGCGCGTGGGACTTCTGCGCATGGGAATTCTGCGCGTGGGAGTTCTACGCATGGGAATTCTGCGCGTGGCATTTCTGCGCATGGGAATTCTACGCGTGGGTATTCTACGCGTGGGAATTCTGCGCATGGGAGTTCCACGCGTTGGAATTCTGCGCGTGGGACTTCTACGCGTTGGAATTTCTACGCGTGGAAATTCTACGCGTAGGAATTCTACTCGTGGGATTCCTGCGCATGGAAATTCTACGCGTTAGAAATTAACCGCGTGGAATTTCGATGCGTGAGAATTCGACGCGTGGAAATTCAACGCGTAGAGAAATTTGACGCGTAGAAATTCTACGCATGGGAATTCTGCGCGTTGGAATTTAGCGCGTGAGAATTCAAAGCGTAGGAGTTCGACGCATGGAAATTCGACGCGTAGAAATTCGATGCGTGGAAATTCGACGCGTGGAAATTCTATGCGTAGAATTTCGATGCGTGGAAACCCACCTTGTTCTAATACAACATATAAAAATTCGTCGTGTAATAATTCACCGCGTAGAAATCTAACGTGTAAATACAAAGTGTCTCACAACTACCGTATTCCCTGAAGCCCCAAGCGCAGGGAGTTATCGTGCTCTCACTGCAGTATTTTTCTTTCACCAAAACTTCATCGGACCTCATTAATATCTTAAGTAACCGTATTTAATTAAACCCATACCTACAAAGCACTCTCAAACCCGAAAGATCCGTCCGAAACGTAATACGACGTAATAAGATATTCTTTTCAGAGTCCAATTCCCGAAAGATATTCATATATAATCGAGCTAATGAAAGTTTCACGGATAACTTCGTTAGTTAACCGTGTTCCACGATGTTTCGGGATAACGATACGACCAGCGGGTTTCACGAACATGTCTCGTTTGCAGAAATGAAAAATTTTACACGTGCTGCGACGAGCCTTACCTCGACATAACGTTCAACATCACCATGAGACGGAAGACTCTGTTTTACACCGTCAACCTCATAATACCGTGTATGGGTATCTCGTTTCTTACGGTGTTGGTCTTCTATCTGCCAAGCGACAGTGGCGAGAAGGTAACCATTCTTCTAAAAAAAATATATTATTATTTCTGTTTCGATTTGTTTTAATAAGGAGAGACGTTTTTTACTGACGGCAACTGCATCGGTTGGATTAATCTTAATTTAATTGTACTGCAGTCTGTTTAATCGACTTCTATTTAAATATAGTAGGAGCTTAATATTTTTGTGTTGGGGTATTTAATATTTTTAATTCTATACATAGGAATTCTATGCATAGGAATTCTACGCGTGGGAGTTCTACGCATGGGAATGCTGCGCGTGGGACTTCTGCGCATGGGATTGCTGCGCGTGGGAGTTCTGCGCATGGGAATTCTGCGCGTGGGAGTTCTACGCATGGGAATTCTACGCGTGGGAGTTCTACGCATGAGAATTCTACGCGTGGGAGTTGTACGCATGGGAATTCTGCGCATGGGAGTTCTACGCATGGGAATTCTATGTGTTGGAAATTCGATGCGTGGGAGTTCTACGCATGGGAATTCTACGCGTTGGAAATTCGATGCGTGAGAATTCGGAGCGTAGAAATTCGATGCGTAGAGAAATTCGATGCGTGAGAATTCGGAGCGTGGAAATTCGACGCGTGAGAATTCGGCGCGTGGAAATTCGATGCGTTGGAATTTAGTGCGTGAAAATTCGGAGCGTGGAAATTCTCCATATGGAAATTTGACGCGTAAATATTCGACGCATGGAAATTCGGCGCGTGGGAAATTAACCCATCCAATCCATTAATTTATTTAATTCAGTTTATAGATTTGTTACTTTATTTATACCATACCCTACATAATTCTATTTATCCCATTTATTCTTCTACATCTATTCAATTCTAATTCCTTTGATCAACCTATGTGAATGATAGTTAAAATTTCGACGTGCAATGTTTAACAATTACAACAAAGTACGGAGAACAGCATGATGTACAGACTAATCGATAAGTATCGTGCGTAAATTCGTAAGAGCGCGAAATTTTGAACAGAACCAGATTCGTCGAATGAAAATGGATTCCGCGGAGGGTCGTGGGGTTCGGAGAGGGTCGAAATATCAAAATCCAACGTCGGTATGCAAGCCTCTAAATGCCGTTCGGCCTTCATTCCTCGTGGACTCTTGACCTCGAGCCGATACCCACTTGACGCCGTATACGCCTCTATAATTCAGTCGTATTGTTCTGACTCGTGAGAGGCTGCCAAAAGGGTAAAGGGGGAAGAGAAAAAACCTGGATAGAAGGTCAAATGTCAGCGTGCCATCCACAGCCGCAAGCCGACACTTTCGTTCGATCTGAGAACAGACGATGTTCTTCGGTTTATGGACCCTATCGAACTTTTATACTTAAGTGCTCTTTTGTAAAATACTGTACAATTATTTACAAATTCATGTGATTCAAAAATTACTAGATCTTGACATAGATCGTCACCATCTTTAGATCTTTCGTAGATCTTGTTCCTAGATTGTTACATCTGCAGGTCTTGATATCCCTAGATCATCGACGTATTTAGATCCTAAATATTCCTAGATCCCCGAATCTTTGGATTTTCGAGTACCTAAATAACCGAATCTCTAGATCTTCCTAAATCTCAAAGCCCTACATCCCCAAATTTATAGATTCCCAAATCCCTAAATCTCCAAACTCTGTATTCCAAAATCCCTAGACCTTCAAACTCTATATCCCAAAATCCCTAGAGTTGAAAATCCCTAGGGTCCAAAAATTCCTAGAGCCCGAAATCCCCAGATCCCAAAACCTTAAGACCCCCAAATCCCTATATTCCAAAATCCCTAGATCCCGAAACCCTAAGTCCACCAAATCCCTATATCCCGAAACCTTAAGTCCCCCAAATCTCTAGATCCCAAAACCCCAAGTCCACTAAATCCCTGTATCCCGAAACCCTAAGTCTGCCAAATCCCTAGATCCCGAAACCCTAAGTCCCCAAATTCCTATATCCAAAAATCTCTAGATCCCAAAACCCTAAGACCCCCAAATCCCTATATCCAAAAATCTCTAGATCCCAAACCCTAAGACCCCAAAATCCCTAGATCCCAAATCCCTATATCCAAAAATCTCTAGATCCCAAAACTCTAAGACCCCAAAATCCCTAGATCCCAAATCCCTGTATCCAAAAATCTCTAGATCCCAAAACCCTAAGACCCCAAAATCCCTAGATCCCAAATCCCTATATCCAAAAATCTCTAGATCCCAAAACCCTAGACCCCAAAATCCCTAGATCCCAAAACCCTAAGCCCCCAAAATCCTTAGATCCCAAAACCCTAAAAATCCCTATATCCAAAAATCCCTAAATCTCAAAATCCTTAAACCTCCAAATAACTAAATTCACAAATGTTAAAATGTCCCAAAAAATGTATGGAACATACGCGCTTTTTCGCATTAGTTACAGTATTTTCGGTAGGGAAGAGAGATCTAGTCCTGACTGTACGAGATCGCGTTTGAAAAAGACAATAGCAGCGGAGCATGAATCCGGCTTCAGTTGGCGAATCTGCTAGGGAAACAATACGTTCTCGAATCTGCCTTTGTCCCTCGTTTCTCGTTTGCCTACCGATTTGAAAGCTGCACCGACCAATCGCGAATATCGACTTCCATCTCGCGTTACACGCCTATCTTTACGTGTATCGCGTTTGTATGCAAGGAATATTTGCGTATCGTGTATCTGGAAACACGCCGGGTGTACCGTGAAACGAACCCTTATCCTCCAGGCAAGTTCTGTTCGCGATCGAGTTGGTATTTTAAATCGGGAGGAAGGGAACCATCTTTTGGGACGATAAACATTTGTATGTGTTATGGTGTCAAATTATTGGAGTCGATAAAAGTTTTTGGGAAAAGGAAGTATTTTGGGGTTTGTGGTAGGAGAGATTTTAGTAGATATTAGCGTTTACGTGGATACTTAGATACAGTGTGGATCGCTAGATTTGATATGTTCCTAGATATTGTGCAGTTCAGTGATCCAGATTTCCTCTAAATTCTGCGCGTGAGAATTCTGCGCGTGGAAATTCTGCGCGTAGGAATTCTGCGCATGGGAATGATGCGCGTGGGAGTTCTGCGCATGGAAATGCAGCGCGTAGGAGTTCTGCGCAAGGGAATTCTACGCGTTGGAATTCTGCGTTGGAAACTCGGCGCGTGAGAATTCAAAGCGTAGAAATTCGACGCGTAGAGAAATTCGGCGCGTAGAGAAATTCAACGCGTGAGAATTCGACGCGTGGAAATTCGATGCGTAGAGAAATTCGACGCGTGGAAATTCGATGCGTAGAGAAATTCGACGCGTGGAAATTCGATGCGTAGAGAAATTCGACGCGTGGAAATTCGATGCGTAGAGAAATTCGACGCGTGGAAATTCGATGCGTAGAGAAATTCGACGCGTGCGTGGAAATTCGACGCGTGGAAATTCGATGCGTAGAGAAATTCGACGCGTGGAAATTCGTTGCGTAGAGAAATTCGATGCATGGAAATTCGACGCGTAGAAATTCGGCGCGTAGAAATTCGATGCGTGGAAATTCGACGCGTAGAAATTCGGCGCGTGGAAATTCGATGCGTAGAGAAATTCGACGCGTGAGAATTCGGCGCGTGGAAATTCGACGCGTAGAAATTCGGCGCGTGGAAATTCGACGCGTGGAAATTCGATGCGTAGAGAAATTCGACGCGTGGAAATTCGATGCGTAGAGAAATTCGACGCGTGGAAATTCGACGCATAGAAAAATTCGACGCGTGAAAATTCCATGCGTCGAATTCGCAGAGATTCCTAAATCCCTTTTCCCCAAAATATCAATATATCCACTTTCAAAAATCCCAAGTTTCAAAAATCGCCCCCAAAAATGCATAAAAAGACAAGTAAGAGTTTCTTAAATAAAGCAAAAATAATTAAAAAAGAAAAAGAAGAAATTTGATAAATACCGCGAACAATAGGTGCGACCTTAACACGTTCCGAAATACAATCCTGTGTCATGAACGAATAAAAGGTGCATTTTGTTCGTCGCACTTAATCTCGAGGGCTCTTCTTTGTCTCTTTGTGGCGGATTCACTTTGCTCGAGGATGCCTTACAAATTCTGAATCGAATCGGAATATTCTCCTCCTCTGATCATTCTTTTTCCCATTTTTTTTTTTAGCCTTTTCTAATCTTGTTGAAACGATCGACTGTTTGATTGCAGGTCAGCTTATCAATTTCGATTTTACTGTCGCTGACTGTGTTCTTCCTTCTGCTGGCCGAAATTATCCCGCCCACATCGCTCGTGGTACCGCTTCTCGGTAAATTCGTCCTTTTCACCATGATCCTAGACACCTTCAGGTATAATCCATCAATATATACGCCAACGGTTTGAACATAAACGATAATTTAAGGGGAGCGTCATTCTCATTTTATCTTCGCACGTCTCCATTGAAGTAAATGGGAAAAAGATTGTCTCACACGAGGTACCTTTTCTGGAGAACCAGAGCACCTACATGTACGCCCAAGGTACCAAATTAAAGCTAAGGAGATGGCCGACAATCTCTGCGCGTGGGAGTTCTGCGCATGGAAATGATGCGCGTGAGAGTTCTGCGCATGGGAATTCTGCGCGTTGGAATTCTGCGCATGGGAATTCTACGCGTTGGAAACTCGGCGCGTGAGAATTCAAAGCGTAGAAATTCGACGCGTAGAGAAATTCAACGCGTGGAAATTCCACGCGTAGAGAAATTCGATGCGTGAGAATTCGGCGCGTGGAATTTCGATGCGTAGAGAAATTCGACGCGTAGAAATTCGATAGGTAGAGAAATTCGACGCGTGAGAATTCGACGCGTGAGAATTCGACGCGTAGAGAAATTCGATGCGTGGAAATTCGACGCGTGGAAATTCGATGCGTGAGAATTCGACGCGTAGAGAAATTCGACGCGTGGAAATTCGACGCGTGAGAATTCGACGCGTGGAAATTCGATGCGTAAAGAAATTCGACGCGTGGAAATTCGATGCGTAGAGAAATTCGACGCGTGGAAATTCGACGCGTGGAAATTTGATGCGTAGAGAAATTCGACGCGTGAAAATTCGACACGTGGAAATTCGATGCGTGGAAATTCGACGCGTGGAAATTCGACGCGTGGAAATTCGATGCGTAGAGAAATTCGACGCGTGGAAATTCGATGCGTGCAGAAATTCGACGCGTGGAAATTCGATGCGTGAGAATTCGGCGCGTGGAAATTCGATGCGTAGAGAAATTCGACGCATGGAAATTCGACGCGTGAGAATTCGGCGCGTGGAAATTTGATGCGTGAAGTGGATTTTTTTTGTAGTCCTTCAATTTTTTTAAAACTGGCCATAGGTGTGGCCTTTGAGGTAAGTTGTCAGTGAAGTGTTTACAAAAAAAATGAAGGCCTACAAAAAAAATCCACTTCTCCCAAATTATCGGCCATCTCCTTAGCTTTAATCTGGTACCTTGGGCACACATGTATGTGCTCTGGTTCTCCAGAAAAGGTACCTTATGTGAGACCATCTTTTTCCCATTTACTTCAATGAAAACGCATGCGCAGAAAAAATAAGAATGACGCCCTCCTTAAGTCAAAGAAAACTTTGACTAATCGATTCGACGGATAACTGAATCGTCGATTGAATTGTATTTGCTTTTCAGTATATGCGTAACCGTGGTAGTCCTCAATGTTCACTTCCGGTCGCCACAGACACACGTGATGGCACCGTGGGTCCGTCGTGTTTTTATCCATGTTCTGCCAAGGCTACTGGTGATGCGCAGGTATAATACGTCTTCGAAGAGAACCGATTACGATTCCAGGCAAGATATGATTCTACCGAGCATTTGGAACAGTCGTTGGGTCTATGCCAAGCAGCGTTAGAACGTTCATTAGTGCCCCTTGCACGTGACGTTAGCGTCACGTCGTCTCTGCAACCATTAGCACAACTACGGTATTACCTCCCTAAATGGCACCATTTCTACCGCTATAACCGATTATTCCTCGCCTTTGACGCTAATTAACAGATTACGACGCTCCTAATCTCGTTATATTGCCGATTAGAGATTTACACTTGTAACCTCGATATATTGCTACCTGTATTATCGATTTGCCTATTACGTTAGTTGATATTATTACGTTGTCGCTTCGTCGTTACGTGTTATATTGCCAAGTAAATTTCATTCAAGTGTTCTACGTATGGAGAAATTTCAATTGTAGAATTCTATACATATTTTAAATAAAATTTAGTTTAATAATATTCAAGTGGAGTCAGAGATCAGATGCGGAATTCTACAGGGAGAATATTAAGTCTGGAATTTTATATATTGCAAAAGTTTAAAACATGGAATTCTACGTGCAGAAAAATTTTAAATATGGAATTCCATGTGTAATATAATATTAGACGTAGAATTCTACAGACAGTAAAACTTGAAGTAGCAAATTTTGTATTCTGAAATGTCTCAAATATAGAATTCCATTTATTTTCAAATCTTGAAGGTGGAATTCCATCTACAAATGATTCTAAGTGTGGAATTCTATGTATTGTCGAATATTAAATGTGGAATTCCACACTTAGAATACTGTATGGATGGAATTCCACACTTAGAATACAGTATGGATGGAATTCCATATTTAATATTTTACAATGGATGGAATTAAATGTGGAGTTCCAACCATGCAGTCTTCTACGTGTGGAATTCCACTCAATACCGACTATCAAATGTGCAATTCCAACCATAAAGAAGTCTGAGTGTGGAATTCCATTCATTGCCGACTATAAAATGAGGAATTCTACTGATTTTCGAATATCAAACGTGGAATTAGACTCATAAAGAATCCTGAGTGCGGAATTGCACTCATTGCCGAGTATCAAATGTGGAATTCCACTGATTTTCGAATATTAAATGTGAAATTCCACCTATAAAGAATCGTAAGTGTGGAATTCCACCTATTGTCGACTACCAAATGTGGAATTCCACCCATTGTCGATTATAAAATGTAGAATTCCATCCATAAAGGATCCTAAGTGTGGAATTCCATCTATAAAGAATCCTAAGTATGGAATTCCACCTAATGTCGACTATCAAATGTGGAATTCCTCCCATTGTCAATTATAAAATGTAGAATTCCATCCATAAAGGATCCTAAGTGTGGAATTCCACCTATAAAGAATCCTAAGTATGGAATTCCACCTAATGTCGACTATCAAATATGGAATTCCACCCATTGTCGATTATAAAATATAGAATTCCATCCATAAAAGATCCTAAGTTTGAAATTCCACCTATTGTCGACTACCAAATGTGGAATTCCACCCATTGCCGATTATAAAATGTAGAATTCCATCCATAAAGCATCCCAAGTGTGGAATTCCACCCATTCTCAAACATGAAATGTGGAATTCCACCCACAGAAATATCCTAAATAAAATTCCATACACAACACCCTAAACGTGGAATTCCATTTACTGTCAAATATCTTGTATTAGAAATTGCACCCACTAAAAACCTTAATATAAAATTCCTCACATCCCTAGACAGCAATATAACGAGAGTCTTCAATGAAAATTTATTTTGCATAAATATTTCCTTTCTCAAAAGACATTTATAAAAGTGCCATTTATAGATGTAATACCATACCACTTTCTCCGTTCGCTACAGCTAGCAAATCGATGGATCGTTAAAAAGATCCATAATCGAAAGAATCGAAATCCTGCACCAGCCACTGTAAATGCAAACACGGTAGTAGAATTTCATACAGCGTTCATATGCACCCCCGTTCAGCACATCGTAGCACTTTGCTAAGACCTCTACGTTCATGTCCAATAAATTAACATCGATTGTGAATCGCCACTGTCACCCACATGCTCGATACCATACTGCCTACGACAATCATATCGCCTGTATGTACTAACATTATTTATACAAAATAAAACGTAGTCTCACGAGTTTCAAAACCGACATCCATTGCTAGTGAAATATGTCGAATCGAAATTAAATACATTTAGAACTGCTTATTCACTATTTCTAGTAACATTATGTAAATATATTATATTGTTAGATAGTATGAAGTAGGTTGTAGTAGTTTATGTTCAAAGATTAAAATGGTGTTTTTCATTCGAATAGGCCGCAGTACCAGATAGACAAACGTAGCATGTCTGGTCATCACGGTCAACGTGTAATGGTTAGAACGTGCAACGGTCTCGAGTTACGAGATCCATCTCTGTTCGTAGAGACCTCGGCGTCGGAGCTGGTTGAATCTTCCGTTTTGTTCCCGAGTCTCGATTCGCGGGACGAATTACATCCTCGGTGAGTCTAACGATCGCTTAGATCAACTTGCGATATGGTAAAATTACATTCAGAGAGCAAGGTGGATTCCTATAGGTAGTGGATTCCCATCTATGTTGATTTCAGTCCTTAAATTTATAATTTATAGTGATAAGGAAATTTAGCATTTAGAAAATGCAAGAATATTGAAGTTGACAAATTTGGAACTAACAGTAAAATTTGTTTTTCAGGGAATTAGAAGCGGTAAACTTGGGAAGTGCGTGTCGTATTCATGGCTCACCAGCGGCCACAGCTGCTCCTCCGCCTCAACTCCCTACCGAGGAGAGCGTGGACGCTCTCTGTAACACGCTTCATCATTGGCATCACTGCCCAGAACTGTACAAGGCCATCGAAGGCATCCGTTTCATTGCCGACCATACGAAAAGAGAAGAGGACTCTACTAGAGTATGCCTCATTATCTTACTTCTCTTTAAGTCTATCATGAAACAAACATGTATTTGTTAAAGCATATATGTATACTTTCACACAGTCACAGCGTAGGTTACAAAAAATTAATCTCAGTTTATGAGTATAAGTGAAGTACCTATATAAGTACTTAACTTTATATCAAAACTTATATGAGTACAAGTGAAGTACCTATGTAAGTACTTAACTTCATGTCAAAACTTATATGAGTACAAGTGAAGTACCTATACAAGCACCTAACTTTATGCCAAGACTTATATAAATATAAGTGAAGTACCTATACAAGTACCTTACTGTATGCCAAGACTTATATAAGTATAAGTGAAGTACCTACATAAGTACCTAACTTATGTCAAAACTTATATAAACATAAGTGAAGTCCCTATATAAGTACCTAGCATGTGTCAAAACTTATGTAAGTATAAGTACCTATATAAATACCTAACTTCATGTCAAAACTTATATAAGTACCTAACTCTATATCAAAACTTATATAAGTGAAATATAAATTATAAAATACTAAGAAATTGTTAATACCGTTTCAGGTGAAAGAAGATTGGAAGTACGTCGCGATGGTGCTCGACAGGCTATTCCTGTGGATTTTTTTTTTAGCCGTGGTCGTCGGCACAGCGGGAATCATCCTCCAGGCCCCGACGTTGTACGACGATCGCATCCCCATCGACGTGCGACTGTCCGAGATCGCCTCTACCACTGCCAAGCCACACATCGTCACGAGCCTCTGAGAGACAATTGTTCAATTTCGTTATCCTCACGTACAACGCATGCTCACGTACATACACCCACACACAAACACGTATACAATGTACGCAACAACGCGAGGAAGATACATTATACGTTCGTGTTGACCAGGGACTTTTACAAGAACCGTGTATTCTCAAGAACTTCGGTGTACTCGAACGTACGATGCTTCTAACGTTTTCGTTTACACCTAGATTCTTGAAAGTACCCAATACTTGCGTTTCTATCGCTTTTACCTACTTACGTTATCGACTCATTCATCTGGTTCGAGTTACAATTTTCGTTGTAATGCTCTTATCGAACGAGGAAGTTTCATTAATGATCAAATACTCTCATAAGTGATCTGAACGAGAAGGATAACGAATTTACGTGTGGCGTATCGTCCCTTTTCATGCTAGATCTATCAATGTGTTTACGAGTTCAGTTTTAACGTACATGTCTCTTTTGGTAATTAGTATAGAAAAGGACATTGTCCTCGGTGACCTTGAAGTATATTGTCAAGGATGTCATTCTGAATTTTTCTCTATGCATATAGAAAATGCCGCTGGCTTTAATTTCAGAGATATTCAGAGACATTTAGAATGTTCCTGACTATGTGTTTCAAGGTCATGGAATGTCCTTTTTATATATAATTGTCGTCCCTTTTTGTACCTAACTTTATGTCAAAATGACAATCATGTTGCATAGCAACGGTGATTATATCCAACACTTTATAAATTTGGAAATTTGGACATTAGATATTCCAAGTCCTTAGACTTCAGCTACAATTTCCCTAGAATATACCAAAGAATGTCCTAAAATAATTCTGCAGAAAATGTATTCCCCTGAGAATCTCCTATGATTGTCTAAAAAAATCCCTATGAGTTTGCTACAGCTTTGCATTTTGTTTTTGTAAACCGAGCTTTACTTTATTTTCACTGATTGCAAAAGTTCCTAAGCGTGGCCAGGGTAAACCTTTTACCCGACGCTAACGACGATACTGTCCAAGACAGAAAAAATCCAGAAAATTGGATGAAAGAGTTACGCGTAAACGCAGTTATCCTCCTCGTTGAAGTTCATCGATATTTTAATACGAGATTGTTTGGACGTTTTAATTGCAACAGATATTTAAGTTCGTTGACGAAACGGTGCAATTTAAATGCAATGATTCTTTTGTATTTTAGTGAACACGAGGAAAATAGAGGTTTCTCATCCCTGGTGTTAACGACTGAAAGACTGAAGCCTCGGCGAGTCTTCGACTTTTTTGCATAAATTAAAAACGATTAACGGCCAATTAAATTGCAGTTTTGCCTGCTCAAGACGAGGGTTCTCAAAAAGCATACGCACACGAGCGGCCAGAACGTAGAGATAAAATGATAAAGGAGATGAAGAATTTCGACTCTCTGAGCTTTAACAAAACGGTACACTTCTTTTTTCGATGTTTCTTTAACGACGTTTTACGTTCAACTAATCTGTCGTATACCGACGGATATTTTGTACTAACCCTTTGATGACGCTCAGAGAATTTATTGTTAGTCCTTATGATACGCATGGATAAAAATTGGAAGTAATAAACAATGGCATTCCTAGGTGAATGAAAACTGCGAACACATTTCTTGATCTACGGACAACGATCGACATCGTAACTTTTTAAAAATGTTTCATTACGTTATCTTCGCTTATGTACTTTTCAATGATAACCCCGAAGAACAAGAAATGTGTTCCTGCAAATAATTATTGAAAGGAATCGTATTCCAGCTCGTTGTTTTATTGTTAATATCGCGAACGAAACACGTAAACTGTAGAAACAAGATATTAAAAGTAATAAGAAGAACAGGTTGTCGAAACGTGTACACGATGTAGTATTAATTACGGAAAGATCTAAAAGGGTTCAATTTCGTGACAGTTTCATTCACGTTGCAATTGTGATTCTTCTGTGGTCTTCGTTCACCGAGAGGGTTTATCGTGTTCAAGCGTTTTGTACACTGGTTGGCACTGTAGGTTCTCTTTGACAAAATGGCGGTGTGTAAAAAGATACATTCAAGTGTGTAGTGATAGAAATCTTTAAATGGATTCAACTTTTCAGTCATGTTTTTTATTTTCAAATAGTTTTATTGTACAAATGTTTGTACATGCTTTATGCTTTTAACATGCAATGTTAAAAGTGTGTAGTAATAGAAAGCTTTAAATGGATTCAACTTTTCAGTCATGTTTTTTATTTTTAAATAGTTTTATTGTACAAATGTGTGTACATGCTTTATGCTTTTTACATGCAATGTTAAAAGTGTGTAGTAATAGAAAGCTTTAAACAGATTCAACTTTTCAGTCATGTTTTTTTATTTTCAAACAGTTTTATTGTACAAATGTTTGTACATGCTTTATGCTTTTAACATGCAATGTTAAAAGTGTGTAGTAATAGAAAGCTTTAAATAGATTCAACTTTTCACTCATGTTTCTTATATTCAAATAGTTTTATTGTCCAAATGTTTTGTATATGCTTTATGCTTTTAACATGCAATGTTACATACAAAGACAGCAAATGATCTAAAAATAATTACTTCTAAATTGTGACAAATAGTCAAGTCACTCTTCATATGAAGAATAAAAAGTTTTCTTTCATTTTGTCATTTTTTGTCAATGCTAAGGTCTATAATGTTCACCAGTGTACAGAAAAGAAGACAAAAGAAATCGCAACATAAATGGGACCGAAGTTATATTTTACACTCGTTAATCTCGTGGTTTTAAACGAAGAACGTCGATCATAACGAAAGAAGGAGGGTCACAGCAGCGTAAATGCGGATGGCATGGAATTCGACGAAGCCTGTTGCAGACTCAGGAAGAATGAAACAAAATATTGAATGATTTCCGAAATTTACATCGAGCCTGTAACAATGGGGCCATATTTTCACAAAAATATTTAAGAAAAAAAAAGTAAAACCGGGAGGAAGAAGAACGAAAGGTTCTCACGTTGAAACTGTAAATTCTAAATGTTTTACAAGAGAAATGAAAGAGAGAGAGAGAAAGAAAAATATGTTGGGCCTAAGAAAGTTTCACCGACTCAACTTTTATTGCTCATAATATGTACTGTGTTTGTAATAAGATTAACTTTCGTAATAATTGCGTTCCAACATGACCAGCGAACCGTGAACGTTCGTTGAACGTTAACAAAATGACGGGTACTGAAGAACAGCAAGCGAAGTGCGAAGGAAGAGAAAGATCGTATAGTTTGTTCATCGTACGATCGCGTTTCAATAATTTATCGTCTTCCTGTGCTACAAAATTTCACGATTTAGGGTTATTTTCATTTGTGACTAATATGTGCAATAAAGCTTCTTACAAGAATTACAATGAACACTGAAGAAACAGTGATTCCAATAAAAGTTCATAATAAAGGTTAATTTATAAAGTTGTATAATTAATAAAGTTCAGAATAAAGGTTAATAGACTAACAATTTAAGAATTTGGAAATCTGCAGACTTGGAAATTTGAGAAATTGTAAATTAACAAATATAGAAATATTCAACAAAGGTGCACATAGTTACAAATGTAAATAAGCCCTTATTTCTGACAAATAGTAATTTATTGCGAACACAACAGCAATGTTAAAATTAAGTAAATATTGATAGTAATCCAAAGGCAAGTTCTCTTACAATTCTGCGTTCTTCCCATCACTCCTTATATAAATGATTGTTAAACTTTTTATTGCTTAGAACGCAGACTGTAAAAAAATGTTTTTGGATGACTATCAACATTCAGTTACTTTTAACATTGTAATCACAGAGAGTTAACGAATTTCTTCAACGATATTCTCTTTTTCGTCGCTGATCCAACCTCGACTATTTTAACTCAAAGAAAACCTCGATCCACCACGAATGCAACGCATCGACAAGGAACAGCATTTTAACAATTTTGTATGCGCTATTTCGGGCAAAGTTAGTCAATAAATTACTGAACGATACGTGTCCTCCTGAGGCTTATGTAAATATGCTAAACTTCAAAAAAATAATTGGTTGAAATTTCCAAGTGTATTGTATTGTAACATAAATATTCTTATTGTAGCTAACTCTACAATTATTATAAGTAATAACATCATATTGTATTCAACAATAATAACATCATAAGTCTCTGTACCGCAAGGTTTCAAAATTCAAACTACCAAAGTCTCAGCGTTAAAACTCAGACTTCCACAATTTTAAAATGTACAATACAGGTGCAGATGATTTAAATTATTTCCAACTATCAGAGACAACAGTCAGTGCTTAAAAATAATAAGAATATTTATGTTTCAGCATTTAACACCTAATCTCAACCAATTATGAAATGAGGGTGTTAAAAGCCTTAAAAATAAAAGAGACAAGAATTGGCTTATCGTTGGCATGATTGTACTAATATGGATTTTATATGTGTATTTGCGTTTCTTCGCATCTTTTCTATTTTTGTTGTTTCAAAGAGCATGAATGAACAATATTAACCCTTTTGCTACATCCTCCAAACTACATTGATTTAAAAAACCAAAATACTTACAAATGATACACAGACAGTATAATACAGAATGCAAAGTATCGACTCAGAAAAGAAGAAGAATTTTATGAAATTTGTATAATTGTAGCAAGAGGGTTAAAAAAAAGAAACAGAAGAAAGGAAAAGACAATGAAGAGAAATTAATTACATGTTATTACGAGGAAGTAAGCGCAGTGATAGATACTCAACGTAAGTTACAAAACAACTTAACGATATACATATATAAATATTATAAATAACCACTACACACACGATAAAAATAATATGGCAAGATATTTTGTGAGTGTGTCTATAAAACTCGATTATAAAAGAATTTACTGTAATAAACAGACAGTTTAATCTCCATTCAAGGATCGAGGATAATTGTTCCCATTTAGAAAAGAGGCAGAGATTTTATAAATGGTGTGTTGAAAACTTTGAACGGTCGTCATACACGTGAAAAGGCCTTATTCAGCACTCGGATTTCACAACGCATTCAGGGAGAGAAATGTTGCTATATTAATTAAAAATGTAGTTTTACTCATCACAGAGAGTAACCGAATTCCGTAGCGCACAATCGATCGAGCTGTCTCATTGAAGAATGTTTTGTCATTCATTTTGATTCTCTAGTTTCATTTTACATGGAACTCGTTTTTTTAAACAAATTTTGTACAACTACGATAACCATATGTTTCAGACATCAACAACTATACATATATTGTTTAAATACTTGATTCTATTAGGATTTATGTCTGATGTACTGCGATAACTCATTGATTTTATATAACATACTTCGAAGTAGGTGTGAAATGTAATAATTGCCAAAAAGGTTTACGGTTCAGGATGCATGTGAATCTTTGTCATTTTTTATATCAAATCTTATATTAATAGAAGGAAACTTTTTCTCTTCAGTGATGTTTCTAAGTTGCTTTGCAGCTTTTTGTAATGAGGTCCTATTTGTATGTGTTAACGCTGTAAAAAAATCCCTGAATCATGTATATGTGTCCAAAAGCAATAATTTCCAAACTGTATTTAAAAATTTAAGATGTAAAAATTGAATGAATGACTTTAAATTGCTTGGAAATTGTTACGTTAATGAAATAATTTGTTATGATTGAATATTATTATAAAAATGTCACTCTCCGATAACACTTGTCATTTTCTTTATTAGTATCAGGTTTCAAATAAAACATGACAGACGAAATTGTATTGCATTTAACACCTATTTTAAAACGCCTTATACAGTATTCGTTTGCAAAGAAAAATAATGGTACATAACTCTTTAATTAAGCAAGGAAATATGTACCTACAGTTTATAAGAAGATAAGAACATAAGATCTCCCTACATTTAGACATTGATATAAAACTAAGATCGCTTGAATAATTTTACCATTAATTATTGTCGAATCGAGAAATGTGTTGTGCATTTGTATGATACAGTGTTTTATGTAATAAGTTTCTGAAATCGAATGTTTTAACAATTTTTAGAAATATGATATTATCGAGGCGTACACGCTGCCAGAATATTGAATACAATTTTATTCAAACAACATTGATTTATAATATTTTTCATTAAACTGTATAACATTGTGGAACAATTCAGCCTAAATACATGTACTATATTTTATTGACACAATCCAAAATGATCGAAAATAAAACTTTATATATCTAGGAACAGTGTGTTATTTGAATAATTTTCCCTTATATTAATGAGCTCTTCGTAGCTTAGCACTAAACATTATAAAAACAATTGCGTAAGCTATTAACATTGTTCTTACAAGCTGCTTTAAGAAAATCACAGTTCAGTTTCTTGTAAATATATAAGTTAATGAATACGTAATGTTTATAAAAACGGAGATATTGTTTATGCAAATATGTGCATGTCTTTTATGAAATAAACGTCGCTATGCAGTGTGTAAGCATAGTATATATATTATTTTATGCAATCTTCGAATACTGATCATATTGCTTATTGTAATCACTGTTCTTTCTCGCCTTTTTCTGGTGCCTCTATACCATTTGTTTCAGATAATGTTTTTGTATAATCAGTTAACGACGCACTCTCATTTTGTTTTGCTTGTCGAATTCTTTTAATCTTTTTCTTGATAGCCACTGCACCTGGTTTTAATTTGAAAATTTTTAATAGAGTCAAAATACAAAGTTTATACTTGCATATACTTACAGAATAATGTTTGCCATAGTTCAGTTCTTTTTGAAGTTCTATTGACTAACTTCTTTAAGGAGTCTCTGTGTCGTTTTTGTATTCCTGCTAGTTCAATTGCTTCTTGAGTTGGAGGTGGAAATAGACAAATTTCTAGCCAGTGGGTTGCTTTTGCACATCCCAGTAGTCTGAACCACACCTGGAAATAAAATTCTACAATAAATGAAACTCATTTTTGAGAGCTGAATAATGAGGACACAAATTATTCAACATTACCGAATCTATGCACTCTGTAACAAACCATAGCCATAAACCAAGCCTTGCTCCTGTTTGATTAACACTTTCTGTCCATAACATTAATTTTGGAACAAATAATGTATACAAATATATCCTAAAAAGAATAACAATAAAACATTTTTGCCAACATTATATGAAGTTTTTATTTACTAACCAGCTGAGACAATGAAGGTAGAAGAACAACTTGGGTAATTTTCTTCCAGTAAAGTGTGAAATACATAATAAAATACGACAGACATTTACTATTATAGTGTCAAATGCTTTGTAAAACATAAAAGTGCTTACTACTGTACACCATCTGTAAAAAGGATTAAATTTTATATAATATTTAACAAGTGATATGGAATAAAAATAGATATGCTTGCAAAAATTAAAGTATTATATGAAATCATTTCAAAGCTATTTAAATATCAAATACAATTCTTCAACTCTGCAAACTATGTTAGAATGAAAGTTGCTTTACTTTTCCTGATATGGGTTCATAATAAAAGATGCGAACAACAAGTTGGCCCAGCCTTTTATCCAAGCTCCATGACAGAAAATCTCTACTCCTGCTCGATGAATGTAAAAGCTTTTATGTAGAATAACGCCTAGCTCTTCGTGTGTTACTGTTCGTTCGTCAGAGAAAAAGTTTATCGTCTTAATAGTGGATGACTTCAAATAACAAATGCTGCCAAAGCAAAATCCACAATTCCACACAGCCTCGATTATTCTACTTCTCTGCATCAATGGAATGCGCATACGTCGAAGTAACGACTGTGTTAATAAATGAAAAGTATCAAATGTATTGTCAATAGGCTTTGTTATCCTTTATCCGCATTCTTTGCAAGTAACCCCAAGAAAAAAAAAAGATTGACAAACTCATTAATTAACACGGTGAAAAACAGCACGTAAGTATGAAATAAATGTTTAAAACTTACATTAAGGCACTTCTCATACATGAAATATAAAATAACCCACAAGAGTATTAAGTATCCAAGAAGTACATCAGACTTTTTTACTTTTATCTCGTTCATGTGTCGTATATTAAACGTTTCCTTGTCCCATAAATTTGGAACCATCGGTTTAAAATGTGAAACATCAAAAACTGAATGCAAGATTGCCCAGCTGTTCACAACTTCTTCCAACATCTCGATTATTCGGAACTTCGTTTGTATTTTGTTATAAACTATTATCGTATAAAACTTATTAACTCTATATAGCAAAAGATCGTATAACAATCAATTTATACGATGATAAGGTAAGTTATTTCGATGCCGGTTAAAAATATATCGGCGAAAGTATCTCCTTTTTCTTAGAGTTTAGATGTATACTCAAGTGCAAATCTTCTCTGGGGGAAATGCAGCTAAGGGAATTAGATTTTTACCACTTGCAACTATGTTTTATATATTGGTACTCATTATGCCTAATTTACAACAGAAATTACTATAATTACGATAAATAATAAAATGTTTGCAAGTGGTTACTTTTAAAGGCAAGTTTCATTTCGCATTTTACATTTCAGAAAGATAATTACAAGAACTGTATCAGTACGAAATTTAATGATCCTCATAGTATAATTTGCATTGAAATTTATATACATAACGAAAGTATTGACATAGTTTACTATGTAAAAAAAATATAAAAGATTATAATTTATTGTAGAGTAATTCGAAGTGGTGAAAGCATTTTGAAAAGCATAGCTTTGACATGTGTCTTAAAATTTATACTTTCCCGCGAAAAACAGGCACTAGTCTTATAGCGATCACCCTTAGAATTGACGAAACAAAAATTTGCAGTTTTAAATAAAATAATGCACTTTTATGATTCCTTAATAATTGCAAATGATTCTACGAGCATGATTAAGTCATAAAAATGTCTTTCCAGTGGCCTGGAAGCAATATACTAAAAAATTCAAAACATGGACCGCAAAAAGCATAGCCATCTGGCGGTGAAAGGTAGGAACTAATCAAAGCGAATTTTTTGGAAAACTTAGCAGCGCTATCTCTCCGGCGAACAGGGTGAACTACACACTTTTGAAACTGCACTTTAATTAGTTCCGATTTTCTACCGCTAGACGGCAGCACTTAATATTTTCAATCTAAAATTTTATAATCAATTTAATAGCTTCACAAATATAACTCACTTTATAGAAATTGATTCTGAATTTAAAGGTAAAAATTAATTAAGCTGCACTTCAATTTTAAAGGACACATTTTTAAATTTATTATTAACAAAGTCTTTACTGTAAGGCGAGTTTAATAACTGATACAAAATGTAGTACCGCACTTATTTAATTTATATAAATAGAAGTTTTAATACTTTTTTCTTGCTGGTTTGCGTGATTAGTCTGTTGCATGTTTTACGAAAGAATAGAACTCCTTTTCGCGGAAATGCACTTTCCGGCGGGAAGCTGTACCGGAAGTCAGGTGGCGATACAGGTGGCGCCGTCTAGTGGCACATTGCGGAACTAACGAACGACCTGTTTCAAAACCTTGTAGTTCACCCTGTTCGCCGGAGAGATGGCGCTGCTAAATTACCCATAAAACCCTCTGCCATTAGTTCCTATAATTCGCGCTAGATGGCGCTGCCAAAGTTACCATAAGACTCTCTACTATTAGTTTCAACCGCCCGCCGCTAGATGGCGCATGCGCAGCTTCTCCGACCGCTGCGCGCGCAAATTTGAATCACAAAATGCACGCATAATACAAAACACATTCAATTTACAAAATTAACTAATTTTCTCGTAAACTATTGATTATTTTTCGATCCCCAATGCAGCATACGAGTATTATTATGCTTTCTTTCATAGAAAGAACAGATATACACACAATAAAATATTTTTAAATTCAAATACAGCACAAGTAATCATGTAAATTTTGAATTCTGCTCTGCCACGTAATTAGCTTGTAGATTTTATCTGTTTTTTCTAACATGCTATAAGTCTACAGTCATATTCGACTAAATAAGTATCTATTTTAACAAAGATGTATCAATTTATCGTAACACATTGTGCTTCTCGTTACATCACAATGCATTATTAAGGTTTCACGGTGCATCACCTTGCACTCAAAAGTGTCGCGTTAATTACTACGTGTATAGTTTCGCATTGTATACATTCATAGAATTAATTACTCTTCAATAAACAACTTATGCAAATAATTTAAAATTTTTTTTCAGTACAACGCACATCGGCATGTTATCTCCCGTTTTTCCTTATTTAAAATGCAAACGCGATATAAAGCAATTATGTCGCGTCTTTCCGCGTCGCTTTTAGATATGAGTCAAACGGTTGCGTAAAAGTACGACGGTTCTTCACCTCGCTCTCGATAGAAGATACTCGTTAATCATAATTGCCTGGGGGTTTTTCTTAAGGATTCGAGAATGAAGATTGGATCTTTACGAAATATAAGCACGAGATTCTAAAAATCCAAGTACGAAATTTTAATAAAAAGAGTAAAAAAATCTAAAAAACAAAGCACGAAATCTTAAAAAACCAAGCTCGAAATCTTAAAAAAGCAAACACGAAATTCTGAAAATCCAAGCACAAAATTCCAGAAAACCAAGAACGAAATGTTAGTAAAAAGAGTAAAAAATGCTAAAAAACCATGCAAGAAATCTTAAAAAACCAAGCTCGAAATCTTAAAAAAGCAAGCACGAAATTCAAGAAAACCCAGCACGAAATTTTAATAAAAAGAATAAAAAATTCTAAAAAACCATGCACGAAATCTTAAAAAACCAAACTCACAATTCGATAAAGCGAAGCATAAAGAACTAAAAAAGAAGTTAATATAATGTAATTATATAATATTTTTAAAATTATCAGCACAAAATTTTGTGCGAACTGGGGAATTAGGGAATGTGGGAATTCGGAATGTGGGAATTGAGGAATGACGGATTTGGGGAATGTGGAAATTGAGGAATGTGGGGACAGAGAAATGACGGATTTAAGGAATGTGGAAATTGAGGAATGTGGGGACAGAGGAATGACGGATTTGAGGAATGTGGAAACTGGGGAATGTGGGAATTGAGGAATGACGGATTTGGGGAATGTGGAAATTGAGGAATGTGAGGACAGAGGAATGACGGATTTGAGGAATGTGGGGACAGAGGAATGTCGGATTTGAGGAATGTGGAAACTGGGGAATGTGGGAATTGAGGAATGACGGATTTGGGGAATGTGGAAATTGAGGAATGTGGGGACAGAGGAATGAGGGATTTAGGGAATGTGGGAAGTGAGGAATGCTGGGATGGGGGAATGTAGGAATTAAGGAATGTCGGATTTAGGGAATGTGGAAAGTGAGGAATAGAGGATTTGGGGAATGTGGGAAGTGAGGAATGTTGGGATAGGAGAATGAAGGATTTGTGGAATGTGGGGACTGAGGAATGGGGGAATTAGGGAATGAGGGATTTAGGGAATGTGGGAATTGGGGAATGTCGGATTTGGGGAATGTGGAAAGTGAGGAATGTAGGGATTGGGGAATGAAGGATTTGAGGAATGTGGGGACTCAGGAATAAGGGATTTAGGGAATATAGGAATTGAGGAATGTTGGGATTGGGGAATGTGGGAATTAAGGAATGACGGATTTGGGGAATGTGGAAAGTGAAGAATAAGGGATTTGCGGAATGTGGAAGCTGGGGAATGTGGGAATTCAGGAATGACGGATTTGGGGAATGTGGAAATTGAGGAATGTGGAGGCAGAGGAATGAGGGATTTGAGGAATGTACGAAGTGAGGAACGTGGGAATTAGCTAATGTGGGAATTGAGGAATGATGGGTTTGGGGAATGTGGGAAGAGAGGAATATTGGGATTGGGATATGTGGGAATTGCGGAATGTGGGAGTTGGGGAATGTGGGAAATGAGGAATGTTGGGATTGGGGAATGAAGAATTTGGGGAATATGGAAATTGGGGAAATTGGGAATTGGGGAATGTGGGAAGTGAGGAATGTGGGAATTGGAGAATGTGGGAAGTGAGGAATGAGGGATTTGGAAAATGTAGGAATTGGGTAATACAAAATACCATTCCAATATTCTAAAAAAAAGTATCACCACAAAATTCCCCCCCAAAATCAGTATAAACTCCTACAAAATACCAATAGAAACTCCTAAATTACTCCAGTGCCTAATACAAATTAAAGAACTATCAGTAAAAAACTATAATGTTCTCAGTGATAATATCAAATGTCCGAACTGGACTTCCTCGGTTTCATTGTTGATAAATAACAGCATCATCGCTACCATTTCCCGTTAAAATTCCCCGACCGTAATCAGTACGTGACATTTATTATCTCGGTTTATCTAGGTATGCTACATCGATCACGTCTGTTTTTTATCGTGCAGATTTTCCCTGATCTCATTTAGCGTCATTCACGTTAATTCATCTGTCAATTGGTACTCGGCGCTTCATTGGGCCAGTACACTCCGTCCAGTTACTGTCGAATTCGTTTATTTAATGAACAATCGTTCGTTTCCTTAGTTACATTTTTACTACATTTAGTTTAATACAATATTTAATTAAAAAGTGCTACGTTTAGTTAAATGCTACTATATTTAATTAAAAACTGCTACGTTTGGTTAAATACTAACTACGTTTAGTTAAAAACTGCTACACTTAATTAAATATTATTATATTTAATTAAATATTATTATATTTAGTTAAATACTACTGTATTTACTTAAATACACAAATTCGAACAAAATGGAGAGTCTGCAGAGGTACACATTGAAGGAAGTAGCGAAACAAAATGGAACCGATGGAAACAGAATTTGGATTGTGCTCCACGACATGGTGTACGACGTGACAGATTATATAAACAAGGTAAATAGTAACTTTAAATTGAACACGACACTTGTTAAAATACACACATTCATATGTAAATTTGCTTCACCTTTGATATTCTTACCTGTTATTTTTTCACTGTCTCCCTTCTTTCTCGTGTATTTATAGAACAGAGAAATACAAATAAAAAAAGGTGGCTATAGTATTAAATTGCCTCTACAATTGTATTGATAAATATATTACAGGAAATGCGTATAAAATTGAGCAGATATTAATTTAATTTTGAACCACATTCAGTAGTTTAAATGACATTTCGATGGATATGAAAATTGATTACAGCACCCTGGAGGACCGGAATTGGTCGAAGAATATGCGGGGCAAGATGCAACCAGAGGATTCGACGACTTTGGACATTCTTCGGACGCGAAACGATTGCTGAAGACTTTCCTCATTGGCGAATTAACTGACGTAAGTGTCTAAACTCCACTATTATGGTAATTGGGGAATGCGGGAATTGGGGAATGTGGAAATTGGGAAATGTAGGAATTGGGGGATGTGGGAATTGAGAATGTCGGGAATGGGGAATGTGGGAATTGGGAAATGTGGGAATAGGGAAATGTGGGAATTGGGAAATGTGGGAATTGGGGGATGTGAGAATTGGGAATGTTGGAATTGGGAAATGTGGGAATAGGGAAATGTGGGAATTGGGGAATGTGGGAATTGGGGAATGTGGGAATTGGGGAATGTGGGAATTGGGGAATGTGGGAATTGGGGAATGTGGGAATTGGGGAATGAATGTGGGAATCGAGGAATGTGGGAATTGGGGAATGTGGGAATTGGGGAATGTGGGAATTGGGGAATGTGGGAATTTGGGAAATGTGGGAATTGGGAAATGTGAGAGTTGGGGAAATGTGGGAATTGGGAAATGTGGGAATTGAGGAAAATGGAAATTGAGAAATGTAGGATTTAGTGAATGTGAGAATGGGGAGTATGGCTCCCATTGCATATGAGGGTATACCATAATTAAACAGTAAAGAGATTTGTAAATCTTTCCAGGAAGACAAAATGAGTTGTAGGAGGAAAAACGGATCGAGTCACAACGAAGCAAGTTCGAAGACAAGGAGTGGCAGAAGCAGGTAGGAATTAATTACCTAATAGATAGAGTTTAATATTGCATATTTAGAGATAAAATATATCTGTACGATAAAAAATTGTAATTTAATTTCCGGGGTTTCGCGTTTGTACATAATTATCGATAGATTCAAAGTATTTATCAGAGTGTCGATGGCTTTGATGGTCAAGTGGATCACCTGAATGAAACTCAAGTTTGTTTAAAGTTTGATAAAGGTTATAGTTTACAATTAATGTGATAAGGGAAATTAGAAAATGTTTATAGTTTGACAAATGTAGGAATTGGGGAATATGGGAAGTGGGGAATGTTGGAATTGAGGAATGTGGGAAGTGTGGAATGTTGGAATTGGGGAATGTTGAATTGGGGGACGTGGGAATTGGGGAAGGTGGAAATTGGGGAATGTAGGAATTGGGGAATATGGGAATTGGAAAATGTGGGAATTGGGGAATGTAGGAATTGGGGAAGGTGGGAATTGGGGAATGTAGGAATTGGGGAAGGTGGAAATTAGGGAATGTAGGAATTGGGGAATATGGCAATTGGAAAATGTGGGAATTGGGGAATGTAGGAATTGGGAAAGGTGGGAATTGGGGAATGTAAGAATTGGGAAAGGTGGTAATTGGGGAATGTAGGAATTGGAGAAGGTGGAAATTAGGGAATGTAGGAATTGGGGAATATGGGAATTGGAAAATGTGGGAATTGGGGAATGTAGGAATTGGGGAAGGTGGGAATTGGGGAATGTAGGAATTGGGGAATATGGGAATTGGGGAATGTAGGAATTGGGGAAGGTGGGAATTGGGGAATGTAGGAATTGGGTAACGTGGGAATTGAGGAGTCCGGAAATTGGGGAAAATAGAAATTGGAAAATATGAGAAGTGGCAATTGCAGAATTTGAGGAATTGTGAGTAATTGAGAAATTAATGTAAAATTTGTATTTGCAGGTTCTTATCGATACTCTGTGGAAAGTGCACGACATGACAAAAGAATATAAGCAGACACGTGACAATTATTGTTACATTAATTTATTTCGTTTTTATTTCGTTCTTTTCTGTTCTCTTTTTTTACTCCTAATATACATGTACAGCTAATTACATATAAACTAGTAATAAGAAGATTTATATACGTACAAGTTGTTACAAAAGAATCGTCCTTTGAAGCCTCCTATGTCGATGTGGAAATCGAGACAAGGGAAAAACTTGCGAGACATTGGCAGCGTGCTAATTGTAAGTGCACTTACGTAACTAGGAATGGGGCCTGGCGCCTCCAGAAACATTGATATTATTTATTTGATGTTGCAAATTGCAAAATTTTGAGAACTGGGGGAGTTGAGTGTTGGAAAGGTTGGAATTTTGCAATTCTCAAATTTTCTCATTCTCATATTCACCAATTCCCACATTCCCCAATTCCCACATTCCTCAATTCCTCATTTCCCAATTCCCACATTCCCCAATTCCTCATTTCCCAATTCCCACATTCCCCAATTCCCACCTTCCCCAATTCCTCATTTCCCAATTCCTCATTTCCCAATTTCCACATTCCCCAATTCCCACATCCCCTAATTCCCATCCAATCCCCACATCCCCCAATTCCCACATCCCCCAATTCCCACATTCCCCAATTCCCACACCCCCCAATTCTCACATTCCCCAATTCCACATCTCCCAATTCCACATTCCCCAATTCCACCATTTCCCAATTCCCACATTCCCTAATTCCCACATCCCCCAATTCCCACATTCCCCAATTCCCACATTCCCCAATTCGTACATTCCCCAATTCCCACATTCCCCAATTCCCAACTGTTACTAGAAGACCCCGCCCTCTTCAATTGAAATTCCTAGTTACGTTAATGTATATGCGAATAAAAAATATGAATCAATCAATGAATCACATGAATGAATATTCGTGTATCTCTAAAGATCATGATAAATCGTCTTACCTCGAGAAATTACATGTTCATTTTCGTTATCGCTCCACATGACTGGTCTCATCAAATCGATCTACGTGAGAACGAACTAATCATTCGATACACTTGGTATGTTCGTTATTGAACTGGGAAATGTTATGTAAAATTAGAATGACGAGTTTCTGTAATAAGTTATGCGAAAGGAAAATGTTACAATAAATTAAGTAGTGTGATGCAATTACGATGGACACATTCCAGATCTGCATCTTGTTATGACTCAGTTTCGAAGAATCATACAACTTTGTCTTTTAGTTGTTATAATTCGTATACAAACGCTTGTTGCCAATTTGTTATATAAAATTAACTACATTGTTCTATTCTTTCACTGTTGTACAATTTTATTTTTCTTCGTCTCGTCGACTACTCTGCATGACGCACATGGTACGTCATTAGTTAGGAGTATAAATTTAGTACTTCACAATACAAGACGCATATGTTGTGTCATTACTTGAAAGTAAATGACACACGTGGTGCGTCATTACCTGAAACTTGACGACACATACGGTGCGTCATTAGTTTAAAGTTGAAAATACCTACAGTATGTACTAAGTCAAGAAAGAGTAAAGATGCATACTAAGTTAAAAACAATGAACACACCAGATGCGTCATACTTTGAAACCAGGGGAAGCATAAGACACGTCATAAACCATAAAACGCACACGGTGCGTCATGCAGTCTCGAATGCGTAATGAATGAACAAAAGATAATTAACGTATGCATTCTTTTCCTCCAGTAACGGAATTAATTAACGAATAGAATACCAATCTACTTTTAGATCCAACCACCCATTATTTGCCCAGTTGCTTTCGATTTCCCCCGCAATTTTGTTGTAGCTACTGGAACGTTTTCCTCTTGTGGCGCAGGTTTCGGTGCTTCCTTTTTCTCTTCAGTCTTCTTTTCTTCTTCCTTCTTCTTCTTCTCTTCTTCCTTCTTCTTTTTCTCCTCTTCCTCCTTCTTCTTCTTTTCTTCTTCTTCCTTCTTCTTCTTCTCCTCTTCCTCTTTCTTCTTCTTCTCCTCTTCCTCCTTCTTCTTCTTCTCCTCATCCTCGCTGGGTTTCTTGTCCTCCTCCTTCTTCGCCTCCGGCTTCGGAGGCGCTGCTTTACCTTTCGGAGACTTTGACGCTTCGTCTTCTCGAGGATCCTCCGGAATCGGTGACGGTGCTCTTATTTCCGGTTTCGCTTCCGCTGCTGCGCCTTTGTCTACACTGCCGCTGCTTATGGATTTCAGGAGACTCTTCTTCAATATCGGCCGAGCTGGCTCTGCTCCGCTTCGAACGCTGCCTTTCTGAGAACTCTCGCCTTCTTCTTTACCTGCTTCTGTATAACAAAATAAATTTGGCATAAAATACATTGAGGACAAGTAATCATAACCTAAACTATCATGAATATATCTCATGTAGCAGACTAGCAAATTAGTCTTTGATATTATTTAAACATTTACTTTAATCAAAAAATAGTCTTTGATACTATTTAAACGTTTACTTTAATCAAAAATTAGTATTTGATGCTATTTAAACATTTACTTTAATCAAAATTAGTCTTTGATACTATTTGAACGTTTACTTTAATTAAAAATTAGTCTTTGATACTATTTGAACGTTTACTTTAATCAAAATTAGTCTTTGATATTATTTAAACATTTACTTTAATCAAAATTAATCTTTGATATTATTTAAACATTTACTTTAATCAAAATTAGTCTTTGATGCTATTTAAACATTTACTTTGATCAAAATTAGTCTTTGATACTATTTAAACGTTTACTTTAATCAAAATTGGTCTTTGATATTATTTAAACATTTACTTTAATCAAAAATTAGTCTTTGATGCTATTTAAACATTTACTTTGATCAAAATTAGTCTTTGATACTATTTAAACATTTACTTTAATCAAAAATTAGTCTTTGATACTATTTAAACATTTACTTTAATCAAAATTAGTCTTTGATACTATTTAAACGTTTACTTTAATCAAAATTAGTCTTTGATACTATTTAAACATTTACTTTAATCAATAATAATTAAAGTATAAATGTTCATGCATTTATGATACAATTTGTCAGTATAAACACTTATCGTGTACCTAACACTACAGCATTCTTATGTCTTCATATATATGTGTATTAATTATATATATTATATGTCAACTTTCAGGTAACGACGCACCATATGCGTCTTCTACTTTCGAGCAATGACGCACCACATGCGTATTATGCAGTTACTTGATGACGCACCCTACGTGTCTGGCTATTTACTTTCATTTGATGGCGCACCCTGTGTTGTCAACTTTCAGGTAACGACGCACCATGTGCGTCTTTTGGTGTTACTTGATGACGCACCCGGTGCGTCTTGCTATTTGCTTTCATTTAATAACGCACGATATATATACATATTTTTTTTGTCTTCATGTATGTATATACATGTACATGATACATAAGAAAGATGTAGTGTTAGGTGCTCAATAAGTGTTATTACACTGACAAAATGGTTTTTGAACAAATGTTAGACGACTTCTTCATACAATCGTGTCTTCATGACTTCATCTATGACTACGCTGTTGAAGTGCTAGATGATTGTGTACTTTTATATATAAATTTATATGTATATGTGTATGTATGTCATCATTTATATATAGTTATGTTTAGCTACATTTATACCTTCTTCCGAAAGTCATACATTTATATCTTCTTCTAAAGAGTGCATTTCTAAAGAAGTTTCTACATGAACCTTATTTACCTTGTTCCTGTCCTTCCGGCGGCAGCTTAATACGTTTCATCATGAACTTAGCATAAGCGATCCTAGTAGTCGGCGACACCTCGGAGAGATTAGGATTATAATCCACCAATCGATTGGGATCCATGGAAGTCAAATCGGAATCAGGTTGATGCGGTAGTCGACGAATGCTGCGACGAGTCTGTTTTATGGTGGCTTCGGTGGTGCTACCTATGGGATCTCGAACGATGGTGTTCTTCCTCACGACCGCGTTCCAATCCTTCTTCTTACTTCCGCTGCTCTTTCGACCAATCGCCTTGGCGATTTGAGTGAAGACGTCCTTCGGTTCCTTCTCGTTTTGAATCACTGCGCTCACGATTCCTTCGACTATGCCGATTTGGAAGTCCTTCTGGAGACGACGCTCCATCACTCGACCCTTTTTGCCGGATACTGGACAGACATAATTATGAACATGTACAGTGAACAGTTAATGTTGGATGATTATAGTCATATGTATAATGAACATCTAATAGTGAATGATTATATTCATACACATAATGAACATCTAATGTTGAACAATTATAGTCACACATATAATGAACGTCTAATAGTGAATGATTATATTCATACACATAATGAACATCTAATAGTGAATGATTATAATCACACATACAATGAACATCTAATAGTCAATGATTATATTCATACACATAATGAACATCTAATGTTGAACAATTATAGTCACACATACAATGAACATCTAATAATCAATGATTATATTTATACACACAATGAACATCTAATAGTCAATAATTATAATATTGAATGGTTATAGTCATGAATACAGTGAACATCTGATATTGAATGGCTGTAGTCATGAATATAATGGACATCTAATATTGAATGGCTATAGTCATGAATACAGTGAACGTCTGATATCGAATAATTGTAGTCATGAATACAGTGAACAACCAGTAATGAATGGCTATAGTCATAAATCTAATGTTGGGTTATAGTCACACTTAATGTACAGTGACTATCTAACATTGAATGATTACAGTCAAACTAAAAATATTTGTCCTGCAGACAAGTTAAGATTAACCAGCAAAAAGATGCAAGTACTTAAAAGTTCTTTCATCGAAACCATAACAATATACAATACATTGCAAGATAAATGTTCGAATATAAAAATAAACTCTGTACATTGTGTTTATAAAAAAAACGTCTAAAGCAATGTTGAAACTATAAAAAAGTAAAATTTTGCGTAACATAAAAAATATAAACACAGATTCATCGTCTAGTGGATAATTAAACCCAGTTAAATCAATAGACAATTAATCTGGATTGCAATATACTCTGCGATAAGATAAGAAGATAACTCGAAAATGAACCAGACGTATTTTTACTCCCATCGTAAATATTTTTAATTTCAAGGCGACGAACAATTAATTTTATCGGAAGAAGATTTAGAAAGTAAACTTACGTGCAGCGTCCTGTTTATCGATTGTCGGTGTCCTCATTCCGTTCTGACGAAGAATATCGATCAACTCGTATCTCAACGTGGATATATCCTGTCGAATTTCCATCACATCGTCCTCCGTTATTCCAAATTCGTCTCGTTTTCTTTGTTCCGCTGTTACGTAACGTCTGATCAGCAATCGCATCACTGTGTCGTGTCTTGCTAATGCTTTTTCCCTTGATTTTTTCTGTAAATCGTTTTCAAAGAATTTTAGGTTGGTATAAACTAAGAAATGATACAAATAAGAATTTGGTACAAACCAAAGAAATTTCCTTTAACCTAATCTAACCTAACCAAAGGAATTTGGTTTAACCTAACCTAACGTAACCAAAGAAATTTGGTTTAACCTAACTTCACCTACCAAAGAACTTTGGTTTAACGTAACCTAACCTAACCAAAGAAATTTGGTTTAACCTAACTTCACCTATCAAAGAAATTTTGTTTGTAACTCAAGAGAGTATTAATTTATTAATTTAATTAATGAGCTCGAATAAGTATACATATGTCTTGAATACATAAGAAAGAAATACAATTTTCTATTAATTTAAAATTTATAAATAATGTATTAATATTATTTTTAATATTAATAAATTATAATAAGTGATAAAATCTTCTTTCAACATAAATATAATAATTAATGGTGTACGTACGATTAAAGATCGAGTTTGACGTCCGGTTTTGCCACATTTGATGATCTTGTCGAAGGTTTTACCGGTTGGTACCATGTTAAATGGCGGCGGCACTGTGTCTCCATCTTCGAAGTAGCTCATCCACAAGTGACTCCTAGCAAATTTCCATTCGGTATCGGCACGTTCCTAAGAGTAATCAATATTTAATGTATAATATATTTAATATTATAGTCGTTTAATATTTTAAAAACACTACAACATTTGTACACATCTTCAAAATCCTAAATCATACCGAAATGATTTGGTAGGAATTAGACATCATGGCAATAAGCATGTTCAGCAACACGATGACGTTTATCACGGAGTAAGAACCGAACATCAAAAGCGCCCAGAATCTTGTGAAGCTTTTTATTCCCGTCAGATCGAAGGACATCAGGTCTATCATACCGAAACTGGCCCAGAAGAGTGACTGTGATGTCTCGAACAAACTGAAAATTATTAATAAAAACTTAACAAAACTAACAAACTTATCTTTGATGGCCAAGAGCTGGTCAAGAAGTGAACAAATTTTATTCTACAGTTTTCATATTGGTTCAGAGACTTGATTTTATGTTCCCTTATATTATTTACTTAGCAAAACGTCTCCAAATAGAACAAGCCTTTTCCTGATTATCGAAATCAGGGAGATCCGGAAAATCTTTCATATGGTAACACTTCTGCTTTTCCAAATCAGCGTAGTACCACATCAGTTGATTCATCCCTGAAACAAAATTATATGAATTATTAAGAAGAATGTAGTATAAGACTATATTTATATTCTACATCTATCATCCATATGTCTACGATTGTATTTGATCCAAGTCAATTTTGTAATACATTCATTAAGACACTACATACAACTGCTTCATCATAGGTTCCTTCATTGGTCATTTACCTGACTACATGTAGGTCTATCCACATAAACTATCATACACATGTCTTCTTCGTTCATCTTGCATTCATATGACCACATTTACTCCTGGTTTAAACTATTTACTTTATAATACGTTCATAGTTCATTCACCATTTGCCTGACTACATGAAGGTTTACTCACATCTCCTATCACATGTCTTCTTCATTCATCTTCCACTCACATGACTGTATCAACACCTGGTCCAAACCACTTACCTTATACTACTTTCTTAGTTCATTTACAATTAGCCTAACAACATGAAGCTTTAGAAGTCACTTACAAGTCAACTTTATAATACATTCATTTGTACATGCATGTATCACATACTCGTCTTCTTTGTTCATCTTCCACTCACATATCCACATCAACACCTGGTCCAAACCACTTACCTTATACTACTTTCTTAGTTCATTTACAATTAGCCTAACAACATGAAGGTTTAGAAGTCACTTACAAGTCAACTTTGTAATATATTCATTTGTACATGCATGTATCACATACTCGTCTTCTTTGTTCATCTTCCACTCACATATCCACATCAACACCTGGTCCAAACCACTTACCTTATACTACTTTCTTAGTTCATTTACAATTAGCCTAACAACATGAAGCTTTAGAAGTCACTTACAAGTCAACTTTATAATACATTCATTTGTACATGCATGTATCACATACTCGTCTTCTTTGTTCATCTTCCACTCACATATCCACATCAACACCTGGTCCAAACCACTTACCTTATACTACTTTCTTAGTTCATTTACAATTAGCCTAACAACATGAAGGTTTAGAAGTCACTTACAAGTCAACTTTATAATACATTCATTTATACATGCATGTGTCACATACATGTCTTCTTTGTTCATCTTCCACTCACATATCCACATCAACACCTGGTCCAAACCACTTACCTTATACTACTTTCTTAGTTCATTTACAATTAGCCTAACAACATGAAGGTTTAGAAGCCACTTACAAGTCAACTTTGTAATACATTCATTTGTACATGCATGTATCACATACACGTCTTCTTCGTTCATCTTCCACTCACATATCCACATCAACACCTGGTCCAAACCACTTACTTCATAACCTCTCAGTTCATTCACCATTCACCTGCCATAGTTAATCCACATCTATCACACAATACCCCAAAGGATATTTTGGCAAGTGGATACAGGTTAGTAAGTGTATACAGGAAGTGTATGCTTTATTTTTAATGCAACAGTAAGAGTAACTGTTCATCAAACGTTTTATGGACCCAGGGTTAATTCAGGGGGAACACTACGAAAAATACAATGAGCTTCCAGCAAAGGATGCTGCCTCGTGGGATGTGAATGACACGTCAAGACTTGGGGGATGATGAATAAATAATACTCACCGCAGCCGAAGGCGAACAGCACCAAAGTATAGATGAAGAAGAACTTGATAATGTCTATTATCATTCTCCCGAGGGAAATTTGTAGTGGTCCAAGGTGGGGGTTCACGCTGAATATATGGACGAGTTTTAAAAAACTGAAACCAGACGTTTCTTTCGTCAATTTACTAGATAACTTATTTTTTATTCAACTTTGTCAAGTTATTTTATTTTGATGAAATTTTAAAACGTATATTAATTATTAATTTCGAAAGACATGGTAATGACATTTGACACTTTTTCAGGGTAATACATTTTTATATTCTATGTTTTCAATAGGTAAAATAATAGATGGTTTTATTGAAACATCTAACACTTTTTCAATGTAATACATTTTTATATTATATGAAAATAGCAGGTAGCTTTATTGCAATAAGATTATACAAACACAATAGGAAAAGTGTAAAAAATAATATAGTATAAACATAGTTATACAGTAAATTGTATAAACATATTTGATCAGATATCTACAATTTCATTATTTAGATTTAGATACTGACAGTTTTATAGTTTCGATCAGAATATCAATAGTTTTATAATTTGTACTTAACAACTGATTCTTAGGAAGTAAGAAGTGATCAAATCTTAAAACTTAAGAACAACAAGAAGTTCGATCTATAATTCTATTTCAAACAATATAATAATTTAGATTTTAGCGTTGACAAGATTATAGTTCAGATTGAGGTATCAGTAATTTTATAGTTTTGATGAGGTATTACCTGAATATCATACCAGCGGCGAAAGCTCCTTCGGAGAGAAGCATGGGGTCGAAGGCATGCCATTGATCCCTGGGATACCAAGGATCTACGCCGCTCCAATACTCTCTCTGGTAACAAATCCGAAATCTTTATTCTAATCTGCATTCCCGAGGATGATCTCGGGGTATATGGATTTTGGAATCCAGGAATTCTTTAGTGGAAGAGTTTTTTTCTGAGACTTCTTATGTTTGGGGATCTAATGATTTGTGAATTTGATGTGGAGGTATGGGGATGTAGGGGTAGGAGGATGTAGGAATTTGGGAATGTGGGAATTGGGGGGTGTGGGAATTGGGGAATGTGGGAATGGGGGGATATGGAATTAGGGGATGTGGAATTGGGGGATGTGGAAATTGGGGGATGTGAGAATTGGAGAATGTGAGAATTGGGGGATGTGAGAATTGGAGAATGTGAGAATTGGGGGATGTGGGAATTGGGGGACGTGGGAATTGGAGGACATTGTGGAATTGGGGATTGTGGAATTGGGGATTGTGGAATTGGGGATTGTGGAATTGGGGATTGTGGAATTGGGGATTGTGGAATTGGGGATTGTGGAATTGGGGATTGTGGAATTGGGGATTGTGGAATTGGGGATTGTGGAATTGGGGATTGTGGAATTGGGGATTGTGGAATTGGGGATTGTGGAATTGGGGATTGTGGAATTGGGGATTGTGGAATTGGGGATTGTGGAATTGGGGATTGTGGAATTAGGGATTGTGGAATTGGGGGATGTGGGAATTGGGGAATGTGAAATTGGGGGATGTGGAATTAGGGAAAGTGGAACTGGAGGACGTGGGAATTGGGGGACGTGGGAATTGGGGGACGTGGGAATTGGGGGACGTGGGAATTGGGGGACGTGGGAATTGGAGGACGTGGGAATTGGGGAATATGGGAATTGGAAAATGTGGGAATTGGGGAATGTGGAATTGGGGAATGTGAAATTGGGGAATGTGGAATTGGAGACTATGGGAATTGGGGAATGTGGAATTGGAGACTATGGGAATTGGGGAATGTGAGGATTTGGGGGCGTAGAAATTTGGAAATATGGAGATTTGGAAATGTAGAAATTTGGGAATGTAGAAATTCCGAAACTGAGAGATTTGCAAATATAGCAATACAAAGACATAGAACTCAATAAATTTAGTAATTAAAAAATATTCAGTAGCTACAGAAAATGTTCCTACTTAATATTTAAAAACGTACTTGCACTATTATCCAAGCAGTGACCCTCAACATAATCCAAATAACATAAAACACGTTCTGAATGAAGTCCACTATGTTCCAAAGATCCGATATATATTCTAACAAGCCGTCTGACCATAAAGATCTCATCTCACCCGTTACCAAACCTAAAATATTCCATAATAAATCACATCTGACAAATCACAAATTACAAGTCAGCGAACAGTATAAATTTTATCATAAACAAAATTTGTAACAAATAAACTTATGTTACATTAATAATAATAAACGATGTGTTTGTCGTAATAAAGAGTTGAAGTAGGTGTTTACTGATTACGTAGATGATGACGCCAGATTCAACGAAGCCAGGAATGCATCCACGTTCCCGTCTCTTCCATTCGGCGAGTATATCAAGCAACCAGGCGTTCCCGAATAATTCGATTGCCAAGTACTCGATACGTTGTGACGCCATTCCGAGCAGCACTAACGCAAATTTCAATTGTATTCTGTCTCGTTAGCCATTATAATACAGTTACCTACAACTAATTCTTTTAGGCGCTTCTAGCGGGAGATCCTTCGGTGAAAGCTACTCGAGTATTTTTACTACGGAGACAAACTTGTTTTTCGTTCTTTATATAAATCAATTTTTGTAATTCTTAATTATTGTAGGTATTTTTAGAGAGAAGACTAATTCATTTTTCTTTGAAATTCTAGTCATTTTTCAGGTATGAACTTGAGGAGATTTGGAAGGAAGATTAATTTGTTTTTTGTTGAAATTTATTTTTATTCAATTTTTGCAATTTTTGTCTATTACCCCGGATATTTTTGCAAGGAAGACAAATTGAATTTTCATTAAAATTTTAGTCATTTTCAGATATGAACTTGAGTAGTTTTAGAGGGAAGACAAATTCGTTTTTCATTGAAATTTATTCAAATCACTTGTTATAACTTTCAACTACAACCTAGAAGATTTCTAGAGCGAAGACAAATTTATTTTTTGTCGAAATTTATTTAAATCAATTTTTTTGACTTTCAGCTACAACCTCGAATATTTTTAGAACGAAGACAAATTTGTTCTTCGTTAAAAGTTATTTAAGTTGATTCAGTATAGTATACGTAAAAATAAATGAAGTTTAGCGAATTGGCTGAAAAGATAATTAGTCGAAAAGTTTGAGAAGATTTTCTTACTGAGAAAGAACGCGTACGAAGACGAGTGACAAATGAACTTGACGAAAGGTTTCTTCATAAAAAGACCCATAGGCGATGTCGGTGACAGCATGTAGATCGTGCTATAAACTGGAAACATCGCTCCAAGCTTGCCAACTTCTATGAATTGCCCGATCATGCTCAATCTTCTGAAGCCCGGTAGACCGTCGTACCAAATGGCTGCCAGCAGTTGCTGCACGTTTGGATGGGCCACGAACTTTTACCAAAAAATAACGATATTTATTAATCAACGATAAATAATAGAAACTAAGGACAGTTAATTTTAAACATTTACTTCAAACATTTATACCAAACATTTACTTCGATCTTTTACTTGGAACATTTATTTTAAATATTCAGTTCAAACATTTACTTCAATCTTTCACTTGGAACATTTAGTTTAAATGTTCATTTCAAATATTTATTTCAAACATTTACTTCAATTTTTCACTTGGAACATTTATTTTAAACATTCAGTTCAAACATTTACTTCAATCTTTCACTTGGAACATTTAGTTTAAATGTTCATTTCAAATATTTATTTCAAACATTTACTTCAATTTTTCACTTGGAACATTTATTTTAAACATTCAGTTCAAACATTTACTTCAATCTTTCACTTGGAACATTTAGTTTAAATGTTCATTTCAAATATTTATTTCAAACATTTACTTCAATCTTTCACTTGGAACATTTAGTTTAAATGTTCATTTCAAATATTTATTTCAAACATTTACTTCAATCTTTCACTTGGAACATTTAGTTTAAATGTTCATTTCAAATATTTATTTCAAACATTTACTTCAATCTTTCACTTGGAACATTTAGTTTAAATGTTCATTTCAAATATTTATTTCAAACATTTACTTCAATCTTTCACTTGGAACATTTAGTTTAAATGTTCATTTCAAATATTTATTTCAAACATTTACTTCAATCTTTCACTTGGAACATTTAGTTTAAATATTTAGTTTAAATATTCAGTTCAAACATTTACTTCAATCTTTCACTTAGAACATTTAGTTTAAATGTTCGTTTCAAATATTTATTTCAAACATTTACTTCAAACATTCACTTCAAGCATTCACTTGATACATCTTAATTCGAACACTTATTTCAAACATTTATTTTAAGCATCTACTTTTACCAAAAAATAATGATGCTCTTTTTCGAATTGTAAATTTTACCTGCTTCTGTTTGTACTTGATAGCGAGTTTCAGTCGATCCAGTGTTTGCCGTTCTCCAGGTTCCCAATTTTCGCCGTGGGGATTGTAATTCAGCATTATTTCCAGTTCCAAAGATGTACGAGCATGATCCAGCAAAGACGTAGCAAAGTTTTGTGTTTGTTCTCGCATCTCCTGCAATCAAACAATATCGAAGATACACTATCTGTATATTCAAACCCGTAAACTATAAAAATAAACGATGAATAAGTAAATTAGTTTATACGAGTCTCGACGAAATATACATTTTGAGTTTTTTAATAATGTTCACAATTTAAAATAAGAAATCTGAGTCTTATTCTGAAAATCAAGTCTTAAATGTAACTTTTATTTAAATCCATAAATCTAATTTATCGTTAAGTAATTCGAAAACTATTTGAAGAACAACACCGGTCAATATTAGTTAAGATAACATAAGTTAACAATAATATTAGTTAAGATAATTTACAAATGAAAATATATTACATTGTACTCGAATCGAAACTCCTGTTCCATTTTGCTCAATCGTCGCAGTTCCCAAGAGAGTTCGAAAGCGGTTAAAAGAGGATCCCTCGAGGACAGAGCGATCAAAGATGGCGAAGTGAGAGCACGATACGCGTTTATTCGAGCCTGCGAATGTCTCAGAGAGTCCTGCTCGCTGGATGTCACACACTCGTCACAACCGCACCTACGATAATTAAAACCATATACATCCACATCTAAACTTTGAGGATCATATTAAGAAATTAGAACACTATTAACCTAGTCGTGTAACTGTTAATATTCATTTAGATAATGTGACAAGATAGAACAATGCGTGACGAAAGTAATATGCCTCCTTTCCACAAACGTTTGCAGACATTTTATTTACAGTTGCACGATACTGTTTTGTTCCGTTGAACGACACCGAATTGCCAATTCAGATCGCTTGAGTAATTTTCTAGAGTTTCGATTTTCTTTTTGATATTTCTGGTTGGAGGGTTCGTGTTAAACCCATCACTACTTGGAACGTTCTCAGATGTCTTCTATTACAAGTTTCTATAATTTCAGTAACTTGTGAATAGTTTGTAGGTTGCAAGACTCCTACTTTGAGAAAACCTAACCATTCCCCAATTCCACATTCCCTAATTCCCATACCCCTCAATCCTCACATTCCCCAATTCCCACGTCCCCCAATTCCACCTTCCCTAATTCCACCATTCCCCAATTCCACATTCCCCAATTCCCATATTCCCCAATTCCACATTCCCCAATACCCACATTTCCCAACTCCCACGTCCCCCAATTCCCACGTCCCCCAATTCCACATTCCCCAATTCCCACGTCCCCCAATTCCACCTTCCCTAATTCCACCATTCCCCAATTCCACTATTCCCTAATTCCCACGTCCCCCAATTCCACCTTTCCTAATTCCACCATTCCCTAATTCCACCATTCCGCAATTCCCATACCCTCCAATCCTCACATTCCCCAATTATTGTGGTTTGAGAAAAACTGTACTGTGAGTGATGTATTAAAGACGTCGTAACTGTGATTGGTACCAAATAAATAAGCCGAATACACAATACCAAAGAAAAGCTCGAAACTACACCTTCTATTTTTCGTTATTTAGATGCGTGGATATCCTCTTCATACTTCAAATTACCATATGCAATATTAATATTAATTGTATTATATATTAATTTTTTAATAATATTAATTGGATTACTACATGTACCATATCCCTTCCTAATTTTTCATCCTTTCCCATAGTAAAAATCCTATTCCATGAAAGAAGCATTTTTACTTAATTCTAGACAGAATGATTAATGTTGCTTCCGTCACACCGGGTCAGGATAATATATTTAATAAAGTGCAAGATGAACACGTTCCACGATGCGCACGTTTCGAGATCAGCACGTGCCAGTTTTGCAATAACATAATTAGATCGCTTAATCTAATAACTGCATTATAAGCGACGAACGAGTATCGACACGAAGCCACCTAAGCCGTGGAATAAACCAGTCGACTTCGATTTAAGGGTTTTTTATTTTAACGCCGTTTTAGACAACCGTTCTTGAACACGTAACAACATTTGACTATAGGGTGGATTATTAATTTTGGACCTTTGGTCCTTTTCCAAAAAAACTCCATAGATTTTTATATAGGTTTTGTAAGTTCATGTTTGTTTAATTAATATTCTTTTCTGTTTTGAATGTATGAGTGTATGGTTAATCTTGTGAGAGTTTAAATATATGATTAATGGCATGAGTGTTTAAATATATGATTAATCTCATAATTTTATTTTTGTTTAATCTCAAAGCTACTTAAATATATCTCTTAATTTTATTAATATATTTTTCTACGTTAATTTTATAAATTTATTTTTGTTCACTCTCAAAGCTACTTAAATATATCACTTAATTTTATTAATATATTTTCCTACGTTAATTTTATAAATTTATTTTTGTTCACTCTCAAAGCTACTTAAATATATCACTTAATATTATTAATATATTTTCCTACGTTAATCTTATAAATTTATTTTTGTTCACTCTCAAAGCTACTTAAATATATCACTTAATTTTATTAATATATTTTCCTACGTTAATTTTATAAATTTATTTTTGTTCACTCTCAAAGCTACTTAAATATATCACTTAATATTATTAATATATTTTCCTACGTTTAAAATTTATTTTTGTTCACTCTCAAAGCTACTTAAATATATCTCTTGATTTTACTAATATATTTTTCTACATTAATTTTATAAATATACAATCATTATCATAAAGATATAAATCTGTAATTAACCTCATAAATATAAAAATAATCAATCTCAAATATATAATTGATTATAATATTCAACTCCCAAAACTTCACTCACAAAGCAAAAATTTGATATTCTTTTTCTAGAAGACAAGCGAATAAAGAAACTCACAATTAGCAATTTTTATATTTATAAAATAATATTTCAAAGATAAAATATGTTTGCAGTTCACAAATATTTTATATTAATCTAAATTTTACCTTGCATCATGAGGAGTAGGAAGAGTTGCTCCACGATCAAGAAGAATCTTCAGAATCTCATAATTATTTTTGTGTGCGGCCAAAACCAGCGGTGTTATATCCGGAGTGAAGTTCGATGAAGATCTATCGACAGCTTCCCAGCTCTGTATAAATATAAATCACTTTAATTTCTTTATTTCCTAATTTTTAAACTTTGTATGTTAAATACGAGGTAATGCGATTGAACTGTCATGGCGGCGTTCGGTCTATGACGCCGCCATATTGAACAAATCAATTTGAATTGGAAACAAAGAAAATAATTAAATTTCATAGTTATTATATTAAGGATATGTAGTAGAAAATTCTATATTATTTTTGTTAATAAAATTTCTATTGTTAAAGTCTTCTATTAGTTTTCCTACTCGAGTCTTCTTTCAAAATGGCGGATCTTCTTTCGTATTAAAATATACAAATATTAAAATCTACAAATCATGTACTTTCTAAATAAATTACAATTTAAATAATCCTCTGAAACATATCTAAAATATATCTTCCAAATAATCTAATATTTATAATAAATACACATATTTAATATCTCGACTGAAATACATCTTGAAATGCAAAATTAACTTTCACCATCGTCGACTTAATTATGATCTACAAATGTTAATATTCATTTACTCATAAATAATAATGTACTCATAAAAACTATTTAAACAACGTACACTTTAAATATTTCCATCACATCACAAATCTCTAAAACACATACATCTCTGAAATAAATATCTACTACTTGTAGCAAACATTCTTGTCCACCATTTTGACTGGAAGTCTCACAGTTACTCGAATGTTCCTTAGATAAAAAAGAAGGGTCTTCCAAGAATAAATTTTGTTGAACTAACGTAAGGTTGCCCGGCCACGTGTGTCCTTTCCTCCCATTCCAACAGGATCTCAACAGCTTCTACATACTCCTCCTTTATGGCGTGCAAGAGTGCATCCTGAAGGAAGAAGGAAAAATTATGTTCAGAATGTGCTGTGCTTTTAAACGCGTGTTCCCTAAGGTACATAGATACTTTATCGGTAATCTACATTGCTTATCGCTGGTTTTATTACAACTTACGTTACTTGATACGTAAACAGGCTTAATGTATTCATTATTAAGACATGGACTGTGAGCAGTGGGGATATAAGTTACTACAGATTTGTTGGTTTTTTAATTTCTTCATATAATAAGGAGTGATGATTAAATTTTTGGGTTGAATTTTAATTATTGTCTGTGCAATTGAAGACTGATAAATGGAAGACGTGATCAAGATTTTTATTTTTTTTTTTAGTTTTAACATTGTGGAAATTTAACATTGTAGCGCAAAGACTAATAAATGCAAGATGTGATGAAGATTTTTGCCTTTTTTATTCGTTTTAACATTGTGGAAATTTGTTTCAACATTGTAGAGCAAAGACTAATAAATGCAAGATGTGATGAAGATTTTTGCCTTTTTTATTCGTTTTAACATTGTGGAAATTTGTTTTAACATTGTAGAGCAAAGACTAATAAATGCAAGATGTGATGAAGATTCTTGCCTTTTTTATTCGTTTTAACATTGTGGAAATTTGTTTCAACATTGTGACAGTTCATCTTAACATTGTAATAATTATTTACTTGTTTCAAGAGTTGTTTATTAAGTAGCAGTAGCATTGTGGTTATTTATTATTCTTAACAGTGCAGTTGTCTGTGAATAATGCAACTTTTCAGAAAATTGTAGATTAAGTAACTTTTTGCGTAATTATTTTCCACGTAAATTTAAATAATTATCAAGATATAATGAATGGCTATTTCTTTATCTTCTTTCTTTCTTATGACTAATAACTAATGACTAATAATTAGCTTATGACTTCAGTTACGAATGTTAACGCACATATTTTTGTTTCAACACAGCTCAAGAAATAAACTTTACTGAATAAAAATTTGTTATTAACAACTTGTATATTTTACGTACATCAATCTATTGTAATTATAAAGTATTAAACATCAAAATTGATCCACTCAGTTGTCTTCGAAGGAACTAACAACACAATTAAATATTTTAGACGTGTTACATGATCTCTAGGGGTAAATTGTCTGGTGAAGGTAATTTTTCCCCACATAAATTCTATTAAAAAAAAAATGAACTTGACCTTGGTTCATCTGTGAGGTCATGTAGAAGAAATTTATCTCCACTGAGTAATTTTTTTTCTGTAAAATTATACAACTTTCGTCTACAAAATTTGTTTATATTGTTTTCGAAGATGTTTGATCGATTTTAATGTACAATTACAATAGAAAATTTATTTAATAACAAAGGTACTTAGTGACACAACTCTTTCTTTAGTAATTTCTGTATCTTCATTTATTTTCATTAGAAATATGCGTTACGTGATCTTTGAAGAATAATGAAAGGAAAGAAGATAACAATATATTAACTTGTTGTAAGTTTGTCAGGTTATCTTATGTGTAATAATGCAAAATTAGATTGGAAAATATTCAACAAATCTGTAGTTCGATATGAAATGTCTACAGAATTCTTACCTTGACTTGAATCCCTAATTCAAGAAGAAGCTTGATAAGTTCTATGTTTTCGTTCTCGATAGCAGCGATCAATGCAGATCGATTCAGAGGATCTACGCAATCGATGTTCAAGATCTCGGGATGATCCTTGTTCTCTTCCAGTAATCTATAGTTCACAATTAAATATAATTAAACTTCAACTCTGACATCAAAATTTTGATACTTAGTCTCTAGAAATTTAGTTAAATTTATTAACTTTAATTCGAAAACTAAAATTTGTAAATTGAAATTTGGAAGCTTGGATTTTGTTTAAAAATTCAGATTCGGAGATTGAAATTTGCTAGGTTAAATTCGAAAGCGTGGGTTAAAATTATTAACCTTGATTCGAAGACTGGAATTTTGAAAATTGGAATTTGGAAGTTTAGATTTCTTCTGAACCCCCAAACTTGAGAAGTTTACATTTCACTTAAAGTCCCAAATTTGAGAAGTTTAGATTTCTTCTGAAACCCCAAACTTGAGAAGTTTAGATTTCACTTAAAGTCCCAAATTTGGGAAGTTTAGATCTCTTCTGAAACCCCAAACTTGAGAAGTTTAAATTTCTTCTGAAACCCCAAACTTGAGAAGTTTACATTTCACTTAAAGTCCCAAATTTGGAAAGTTTAGATCTCTTCTGAAACCTCAAACTTGAGAAGTTTAGATTTCACTTAAAGTCCCAAATTTGGGAAGTTTAGATCTCTTCTAAAACCCCAAACTTGAGAAATTTAGATTTCTTCTGAAACCCCAAACTTGAGAAGTTTAGATTTCACTTAAAGTCCCAAATGTGAGAAGTTTACATTTCTTCTGAAACCCTAAACTCAAAATTTTTTAATTTCATATTTCGACAGAAAATGCAAGGTATAACATAAATTTCCACGCTGACATTTAACATTTCTCAACAAATATAAACTACACCCCAATGGCAATATATCGAGAGTCAACCGTACCTAACCTCACAAACCTTATCTCCTTAAAAATCCCATCTCCCAAACTTGACTCACAAAACAACATCCGTAAAGTAACAAATCAAAACCAACACCTTCCCATAATTAAAAATCTAAATCCTCAAAGACAAAAATAACAAAAAAAAAGGTACGATCAGAGTACCATCCTAGTGATTCTATTTCGAGATCGATACTCGGTATCTTTTCTCCAAGTTGACGATTTATCATCGTGCTCGCTCGAAGGATTACCTTTTGACAGTGGCACAATCACCTCGTTCCGCGCTTAGCAGGAAGTGCTTCTCAACTGGGCCAAGACTATAGTCCGTGGGCGGGTTTAAGGATTGCATAGACGGTGCTCTAGAAGATTCGTTCGCTAGAAGATTCTGTTGCGACTCGGACGGATTCATTTTCCTCGTCTGCTATTTATCCAAAGGCTGCTGATATTCACGAATGGTTCATCGATCCCCCACGAACACCTACGGACGACACCCACATGCTTCGCTTCAATGCATACCCTCTTATGCCTAATGCGGGACTGTGTTCTTTAATCGGTTACTTCAATTTACGTCAAATGTTTACTTCTTACGTTTGCTTGAAAACGTTCGTTTCAAACATTCACTTCGAACGTTCACTTCAAATATTTATTTCAAACATACACTTCAATCATTCATTTCAAACATTCGCTTCAAATATTCATTTCAAATATTCACTTCGAACGTTTACTTCAAATATTTATTTCAGACAATTATTTTAAACGCTTATTTTAAAACTTCACTTCAAATATTTATTTTAAAACTTCACTTCAAACATTATTTTCAAACATACGCTTCAAATATTTATTTTAAACATACGCTTCAAGCATTCATTTCAAACATTCGCTTCAAACATTCATTTCAAACATTCACTTCGAACGTTCACTTCGGACGCTCACTTCAAATATTTATTTCAGACAATTATTTTGAACACTTATTTTAAAACTTCACTTCAAACATTTATTTCAAACATACGTTTCAAACATTTATTTCAAACATACACTTCAAGTATTCATTTGAAACACTTTGATTCAAATATTATTAAATTTGAAACTTTTACTTGAGAGAGTTTGATTCAAACATTGACCTGAGACATTTTGGTGCAAACATTTATTTTAAACATTGACTTGAGACATTTTGGTGCAAACATTTATTTCAAACATTTACTTGAGACATTTTGATGCAAACATTTATTTGAGACATTTTGATACAATCATTTATTTCAAACATTTACTTAAGACATTTTGATGCAATCATTTATTTCGAACATTTATTTGAAACATTTTGATGCAAATATTTACTTGAGACATTTTGATGCAAATATTTACTTGAGACATTTACTTGAGACATTTTGATGCAATCATTTATTTCGAACATTTATTTGAAACATTTAGACTTAAATAATTATTTCAAACATTTACTTTGGACATTTATTTCAAACATTTAGTTGGTTCGTTTTGATTGAAACATTTAGTAGGTTCATTTTTAATCAAACATTTACTAAATTCATTTTTATTGAAACATTTAGTAGGTTCATTTTTATTAAAAAATTTAGTAGGTTCATTTTTAATCAAACATTTACTAAATTCATTTTTATTCAAATATTTAGTAGGTTCATTTTTATTCAAATCTTTAGTAGGTTCATTTTTATTCAAACATTTAGTAGGTTCATTTTTATTTAAATATTTAGCAGGTTCATTTTTATTAAAACGCTTAGGAGGTTCATTTTTATTTAAATATTTAGTAGGTTCATTTTTGTTAAAACATTTAGTAGGTTCATTTTTATTTAAATATTTAGCAGGTTCATTTTTATTTAAATATTTAGTAGGTTCATTTTTATTCAAACATTTACTAAATTCATTTTTATGCAAACATTTAGTAGGTTCATGTTGATCGAGACATTAATATAAAACATTTGGTTAAGGTACATAATTTGAACATATAATTAGAAAGGATCGATCGTAAAAGCGATAGAAAAGAGTTTGATCAGACAGGGATTTAAAGAATAGCGAAAGTAGGTTTGGATCGAGTGGACTACAGGATTTCTTTGCAATGATCCGAAGATAATCTTATGAACGCGAACACGTGATGCTTATCGATTACTCTGTATTACTTCTACGAAATCTGTAATTCAATTTCGGAATTTAATCTGACAGAGCGTAATCTGAATATCACAATTAACTTAGACGTCTGTCCGATGTCTGAGCGATTAAGGATTGTACTATGTATATACTTTTCGTTGTTAATAATGAAACTTGTGAAAATTCTTTTGTGGAGGTATGTTGACAGAGTATCTTTTGTTAAGTATTTGAAAGGATTGATAAGATTTTTGGAGGGAAGAATTTTTTGATAAAAATAAGGGGAGTTGATTTGAATTTTTTGTTGAGTGTGGAGATATTTATGGAGTTCTTTTGGTGGATAATTAGGAATGATAGCAATTTGTGGATAATTGTGAGTAAGAGAGGAGGTACAATTTGAGTGAAAGTATTTATAAATGCGATTATCTTCGAACCACTTTCGAAACCGTGTCACGATAGCCTAATCTAAACGGTACCGATTTGTCACTTGGTCTTGTACTCTCAGTATTTCTCATCGTTACTTTCTTCATCGTCTGAAACGACTAACATATTGCTATAAATCTTCCTATAAAGAAATACAGGTATTTAACAAAAACAGAAATAGTACTTTTTCTGTAGTAGCTCAAAATATTTTTGTACAAATTTTTTGATAAGTAATTTTAAATATCATTGATAAATAATTCTTAATATCGTTGATGAGTAACTTGTGAATATCGTCAGAATTACAGTAGGCATTGTGGATGTATACAAAATTGAAAGATTAAAAAAAAATGTATATCTTTGGTATCGATAGTGACTTGTACGATTTATGTCTGACTATTTCTACTGTGACGAACAATGAACGACTAAATTTTCACTTTAATTAATAACAAATGTATGATTAAAGATTAACTCTCAACAAAATGAGAACATTTTTTTATAGTCATGAATTAAATTGTAATTGTTTATTGAATCATTTCTTGATTGAAAGTGAAAATTTTTTAAACGGTTTAAACTCGTGTCGTTGAACTAACCTCGACCATCTATACACAATGTTTCACAGAAAATAACAAGTTTTTTGTACTGTAAAGTGGTAAAATAGTCAAATGGTAAAGTAGTAAAATAATGAACTGCTAAAATAATAAAGTGGTAAAGTAATATTACAGTAAAATAATTAGATTGTAAAGTAGTGAAATAGGAAAATAGGAAAATAGTAAAATAGTAAAATAGTAAAATAGTAAAATAGTGAAATAGTGAAATAGTGAAATAGTAAAATAGTAAAATAGTAAAATAGTAGAATAGTAAAATAGTAAAATAGTAGAATAGTAAAATAGTAAAATAGTAAAATAGTAAAATAGTAAAATAGTAAAATAGTAAAATAGTAAAATAGTAAAATAGTAAAATAGTAAAATAGTAAAATAGTAAAATAGTAAAATAGTAAAATAGTAAAATAGTAAAATAGTAAAATAGTAAAATAGTAAAATAGTAAAATAGTAAAATAGTAAAATAGTAAAATAGTAAAATAGTAAAATAGTAAAATAGTAAAATAGTAAAATAGTAAAATAGTAAAATACTAAAATAGTAAAATACTAAAATACTAAAATACTAAAATACTAAAATACTAAAATACTAAAATACTAAAATACTAAAATACTAAAATACTAAAATACTAAAATACTAAAATACTAAAATACTAAAATACTAAAATACTAAAATACTAAAATACTAAAATACTAAAATACTAAAATACTAAAATACTAAAATACTAAAATACTAAAATACTAAAATACTAAAATACTAAAATACTAAAATACTAAAATACTAAAATACTAAAATACTAAAATACTAAAATACTAAAATACTAAAATACTAAAATACTAAAATACTAAAATACTAAAATACTAAAATACTAAAATACTAAAATACTAAAATACTAAAATACTAAAATACTAAAATACTAAAATACTAAAATACTAAAATACTAAAATACTAAAATACTAAAATACTAAAATACTAAAATACTAAAATACTAAAATACTAAAATACTAAAATACTAAAATACTAAAATACTAAAATACTAAAATAGTAAAATACTAAAATACTAAAATACTAAAATACTAAAATAGTAAAATAGTAAAATAGTAAAACGATAGACTAGTAACCCAATAAAACGATAAAATACTAAAATAATGAACCAATAATCTAGCAAACCAATAAATTAGTAAACTCCCAAAATAGTAAACCAGCACAACAATAAAGCAATAAACCAACAAAACATTAAAATACCAAAATAACACAACTAAAAACAAAATATTCAACCAGCCCCTAAAACAGTAAAATTTTCCATTTCCTCAAACGTTTCCCACACAAATTCCACCTGACATTTCCAATAAAAAAAAACAAACCTTCTCTAACTACAAACACAAAACAGCCATCCACTCAATCATCAACCAAAGCGATCAAACTATAAAAATATTCCAGCGACAAATCATTCTACCCTCCACAAATAATTCTAAAATAAAATTACTCTTTCCGACGCACCATTTAAACCTCTCCAGAGCACCAAACAGTCGAATGTTATCTCGTAACCGTCGAAATCAACGTGGATCCATGATCTCGTACGACGAATAAACGTTTACGGTGGTTTTGGACTTCGTTGCAACGTTCGTCGTCGTCGACGAAAGTTCGTGCAACAATGGCGGAATAAGGGTAAAACCGTGCGTTCACCAGCTCTACATAGTTCGACGAAGCCTTAGGACGTCGGTCAGCTGGGGCATGGATTAAGCGCACAAACACGTGGGTCGCTTTGGAAAAAAAAAATGAACGTCTGTGGACGTCTCTCATCGCTCACATTGCGTATCCACGTGCACGTGATCTCACGATTCTTGTCCAGGTGTCGTTACTTCTCGGATTAGAAGAGCCACCGGCTCGTTTAGTGGCTCATTCTTCTTCGTTTACCTCTGACCTCTCGTCAACGGTGCGGTTCCAAATGAGTTTTTTCGGAGATCAGCTTTATTTGGGGAAAGGGTGAGTTACTTGCGTTTCGTGTGTGTACATTCTTATGTGGGATGGAAGGTACAGGTGATGGCATCTCAGATTTTAACCTTGGAGTATGTTGTTAAGGACATTATTCTGAACATTTCTTTTTTATACATTTAACCGCCTTTTGGGTTTAATTTCAGTGGAATTCGTAAAAATTTTGTTAATGTGGTAATTATTTATGGAGGATCACAATCTTAGCCGATGTTAATGACCTTGAAATATGGTGTCAAGGATATTATTCTAAAGAATTTTTCTCTCTATATATAATTGCAATTTGGTTTTAATTTCAAAGATATTCGCAAATATGTTAGTGATGAGATAATTATTTATGGAGGACCACAATCTTAGCCGATGTTAATGACCTTGAAATATGTTGTCAAGGATATTATTCTGAACAATTTTTCTCTATAGATGTAACTGCAATTTGGCTTTGGTTTCAGAGATATTTGCAAAAATGCTTGTAATGAGATAATTATTTCTAGAGGACCACAACCTTCACTGATGTTAATGACCTTGAAATATGTTGTCAAGGATATTATTCTAAAGAATTTTTCTCTCTATATATAATTGCAATTTGGTTTTAATTTCAAAGATATTCGCAAATATGTTAGTGATGAGATAATTATTTATGGAGGACCACACGCTTCTCCGATGTTGATGACCTTGAAATATATTATCAGGGATATTATTCTGAACAACTTTTCTCTCTATATATAACTGCAATTTGGCTTTGGTTTCAGAGATATTTGCAAAAATGCTTGTGATGAGATTATTATTTATAGAAGACCACAACCTTCACTGATGTTGATGACCTTGAAATATGTTGTCAAGGATATTATTCTGAACAACTTTTCTCTCTATATATAATTGCAATTTGGTTTTAATTTCAAAGATATTCGCAAATATGTTAGTGATGAGATAATTATTTATGGAGGACCACACGCTTCTCCGATGTTAATGATCTTGAAATATGTTATCAAGGACATCATTCTGAATAATTTTTCTCTATACATATAACTGCAATTTGGCTTTGGTTTCAGAGATATTTGCAAAAATGCTTGTGATGAGATAATTACTTATAGAGGACCACAACCTTCACCAATGTTAATGACCTTGAAATATGTTATCAAGGACATCATTCTGAACAATTTTTCTCTATACATATAACAGCTATTTAGCTTTAGTTTCTGAGATATTCGTAAAAGTGTGGCGAGAATCATTTATAGAAGAACGCACCCTTCAGTGACCTTGATGACCTTGAAATATAGTCTCAAAGATATACTAAACTTTTCCTAGATGTATAATACATCTACAATATAATATTTCTTAGAAATGGAACAAGTAACTAATTCTCTTCTACTTCATTTTTGAGTATGGCGACATTTGAGGAACAACTAGCTTCGATTGTTTCTGACACAAGCAAGTATTATGTCGTCGCAATGATGAAACAGATAGAAAATAAAATAAAATAAAAATTTATTTATGTGCTATAATACTAATACTATAAATACTATACTATAATAAAGAACAGAAGTTTAAAAGATAGAAATTTATAAAAACTGAAATTAGGTCGAAATGTCAACTTCTTCATCTTGAGAAATATTTGTTGAGTGAAAGAGGGGTAAGTGAAACAGAGCCACATTTCCAGCCACTTTTTTCCTTTAATTATTTAATTATACGCATGTATTAAATTTACATTCACTTTAAGAATGACGTTCAGGTTACAGACAATGTGCAGTACCGTAATACATACTAATATCTATCTCTCTTGCAGGATACAAAAGAAGAATTTCTACAAATTGAATAACATAGATGAATAAAATAAAAATTACACACACTCCGTTATTTCTCCCACTCGATTATCTCGCAAGCTACAACGACACACTCCAAAATTAATATAAATACAATTTAAATTAAAAAATGGGGTGGTTATTTTTAATATTGTTTACATTTATTAAGGAAGAGTTTGAAAATCGATGAATTAAAAGAATAATTTAAATTCGACAATGTAGAAAATATAGTAGAATTCACTTCCGTTGTATCCAGCAATGTTTTCAGTATGGAACGACGGATTGTCGTTAACAATGACGATGCTATTTCATAGTGAAACGATTTGTTAGAACGGAAGTTCGATGATTCGTCACCGATATCGAAGCTAATGATTAAACTTTATATGTACATTGAATACGGAGGTGGATGCACATTAAAGTACCCAAAAGAAACGTCGTTGAACAACATTATCAACCGTCCAATCAATTATATTATAAAATCTCGCTTTCTCCAATAAAAATATCTGGCAATTATTCGAAGCGTCAAGATGCAATAAATTATTAAATTATTGTCTAAATTATTTTAGTATCTGGTAAATTATTAACCTATGATAAATTATTAAATTATTGTTTAACAAATTATTTTGATATCTACTTAAATTATTAACCTATGAAAAATTATTAAATTATTATATAACAAATTATTTTGATATCTACTAAATTATTAACCTATGATAAATTATTAAATCATTATATAATAAATTATTAATCCATCACGTAATAAGTTATTTAATTATATAACACATTATTAAAAGGAATGGTAGCTTAAAATAAAAAATTGCAATACCTATTGTTACGTCACAAACATCCTCAATATTTTACATATAATTGAATAAAAAAATTAATCTACTAAAGCACTCTCAGCTCTAAATAACTAAAGCACTCTCAGATGGTGGGTCACGATCATGGAAATTTTCAGTTAAAAATTATTTCCACTATTCAACTTTCAGATATAATACTGCATAGAGTACAAACTTTCACTTTCAACCTCGTGGCAATACGAATCTATCTTTCGTTCAAAAATTACATCTTCCATTTCTTAAATCTATCACTCACCACCATTCAAGATTTAACAGAACCACAATCATACTAAAATTAAAATCACAATCAAACTATCCTCCTAAAATTATATTTTAAATTATATTTTTATGTCTTAAAAAATCACACAGAGTAAGTATAAAAATCACATCGAATAAATATAAAAAATCTCCTAAAGTAAATATAAAAAACCACCTAAACTAAATATAAAAAACCACCTAAAGTAAATATAAAAAACCACCTAAAATAAATATAAAAAACCACCCAAACTAAATATAAAAAACCACCCAGACTAAATATAAAAAATCCGCAGGATAAAAATAAAGTACCCCAACTAACAAAATATTCAAAGATCGAATTACTCGAAGACCACTCCCTCAATTTACATCAATTCCCCCCAGTTTTCATATTCCACAAAAGAAAAGACGCTCCGAGTGAAACGATAAGTACACTTTCATCTGACGTATAATTTAATAAATATGGCGGCTGATAATAAGGTTGCCCGTCGGAATTTCAGGATCCAATGCGGTGAAGTGTTCCGGAAGTTGAGTCGCCATGTTTCTTGTGCCGAGCGACACAAACCCCGATGAATTCGAGCGAAATAATGATCGACCACGATTCTAGTCGTGTTTCGAATCGATTCTTTCCTCTAGGAAGTCCAGACTGTTCCTGTGATCGCCATCGATGTTGTTCAAGATGTTGCAGAGACGTAGCAACCTCGTCTCGTACGGATGAAAGTCCTTTAAATCTTCGTTTGATAGTAAGTCCGAACATAGCGTTGTCATGTCGATCTCTACGGGGTACGTTTGCACGTTACGACCGTATCTGTTGACAAAATGTTTTTTTAAATGATTATATAAAATGATTATATATTAAACATTTAGAAAAAGGCACATATTTGTTGATTTTAGACGAACGTTTAGCAAGATGTACATATTTGTTGATTTTGGATCAAACATTTAGTAAAATGTACATGTCTGTTGATTATAGATAAACATTTAGCAAAATGTACATATTTGTTGATTTTGGATCAAACATTTATTAAGATGTATATATTTGTTCATTATAGACCAAACATTTAGCAAGATGTATATGTATATGTTGATTGTGGATTAAACATTTAGCAAAATGTACATAAATATTCATTGTGGATCAAACATTTAGCAAGATGTACATATATGTTGATTATAGATTAAACATTTAGCAAGATGTACATATATGTTGATTATGGATCACACATTTAGCAAGATGTACATATTAGTTCATTGTGGATCAAACATTTAGCAAGATGTACACATATGTTGATTATGGATTAAACATTTAGCAAGATGTACATATATGTTGATTGTGGATTAAACATTTAGCAAGATGTACATATTAGTTCATTGTGGATCAAACATTTAGCAAGATGTACACATATGTTGATTATGGATTAAACATTTAGCAAGATGTACATATTAGTTCATTGTGGATCAAACATTTAGCAAGATGTACATATATGTTCATTGTGGATTGAACATTTAGCAAAACATACATATATGTTGATTGTGAATCAAACACTTAGCAAAATGTATATATATGTTGATTGTAGATTGAACATTTAGCAAAATGTATATATATGTTGCTTGTGTATGCACATTTAGCAAAATGTACATATATGTTGCTTGTGTATGCACATTTAGCAAAATGTACATATATGTTGATTGTATATGAACATTTACCAAAATGTACATATATGTAGATTGTATATGAACATTTAGCAACTTGCCTAATGAAGTTCAAGTCGTTCCTTCCCCTCTTGTACTCCCTGTTTTCGTTCATGGCCTTGTATCCCGATCTTCCGAACCTGATGACAATATCCGGCGACTTCCATCGGGGATACCTGTTAACTTTAGAGCTGCCATCGTCGCTGTTCAAGGTTTTACCGACGTTGACGTCAGGATCGCTGCGGCCGTATCTAATGAAGGAAGAGCCGACGTTGCTTCGTCGTTCCTTCGAGTCGGGGTCCTCGGAACGGCCATCCACGTTGCTGTGTCTCTTCAACACGTAGTCGAAGTCGCTGGAGGGGTCCTTGAAGATTCTGAGGCTGCCGTCCGCTTTCAGTGGAGTCAGTATCGATGAGGATACCAAAACGTAGTTGCAGAGGAAGGGCAACACGTACAGGGAGGATAACAGGGTCTTTGAAAAGAGAATTTTACAAAAATCTTCGTTATCTATGTTTTAAGAGGATTACTATATTTTCATGTTTTTATTAAATTTTCTATGTTGTTAAATGGTAAAAAATATTAGGAATATTTTAATCTCTTTACTTTTTGATTTATAGAAAAGTTAACAAGTTCCGAGAAAAAGGGAGATAAGATGGAAAAATAGATACGTACACGGTACGAGCTCATTAAATATGTTATGTAAGAAGGTGGACAAACGATAGCATCCTTTACGTAAGTTTCGAGAACGCAAAAGCGTCTATTCAATTGGAAATATAATAACAAGTGCGGAAGAAGCTATCTATAGATCAAAGGATTCAATTTTCATGGGAACTATTTTATTTTATATAATGTGGTGTATTGACGAGGGGATTTTCGATGCGTTGTTCTTCAACGCTTTGTAGTATCAGCGCGTTGTAGTTTCGCCGCGTTGTAATTTCAGCGCGTTGTGATTTCAGTGCGTTGTGATTTCGACGCGTTGTTATCTCGACGCGTTGATATCTCGGCGCGTTGTAATTTCGGCGTGTTGTAATTTCGGCGCGTTGTTATTTCGACGCGTTGTAATTTCAGCGCGTTGTAATTTCGGCGCGTTGTAGTTTCGACGCGTTGATATCTCGGCGCGTTGTAATTTCGGCGCGTTGTTATTTAGACGCGTTGTAATTTCGGCGCGTTGTTATTTCGACGCGTTGTAATTTCAGTGCGTTGTGATTTCGACGCGTTGTAATTTCGGCGCGTTGTTATTTCGACGCGTTGTTATTTCGACGCGTTGTAATTTCGGTGCGTTGTGATCTCGACGCGTTGATATCTCGGCGCGTTGTTATTTCGACGCATTGTAATTTCGGCGCGTTATTATTTCGACGCGTTGTAATTTCGACGCGTTGTTATCTCGACGCATTGTTATCTCGACGCGTTGTAATTTCGGTGCGTAGTTATCTCAGTGAGTTGTAGTTTCGGCGCGTTGTTCCTTCAACGCATTGTAATTTCAGCACGTTATTCTTCCAATATATTATACTACAACGCGTTATAATTTTAACGCGTAATTAGTTCGACACGTTACTGTTATAATGCGTCATGGTTTGTTATATTGTCAGTGCATTGTCTTTTAATGCATTCCAGTTTCGACGCATTGTATCTTAACACCTTGTATTTCACAGCATTGAACAATAACGCATTACATTTCAATGCATCTCGTCACATTATATTAACATCATTATACAAATTCTAAACTTGAATATTATCTATACAAATTAAAAAATAATACCCTTGCAAAATATCCCATAACAAAACATCGACTTCCAAACTATTTTACCTTCCTGAATTTAACCTTTGAACGACATGATTAATAAGCATCTACACTTTCAATATCTAGTGAAACCAACACAATATCTAATTAGAACCGCAATTAATCCGGAAACCAAACCCTTCCTCAGCATAAAATATCCCATTACAAAACATCGACTTCCAAAGAACCTTTCTCACTTATTTAACCTTTGAATGACGTGATTAATATGCATCCACGAGAACTAACACAATATCTAATTAGAAACGAAAGACGAAACCATAAGACGAAACAACGAGAGTCTGTCCTAGAAAACGTTCCCCGGAGCATCGTCGGGAACAATCTAATAAAAGATTTTGTTACAGATTCCTTGAGATTATTCGAGATGCAGCTACGTTACAAGGCTGGCGATAAATAATATCGACGTGTTATTAGCTGTCTTAACAGGATGTTTAGCCATATACCGTAGTATACCGAGCAAGATTAATATGGCTGCCTTACGTTACTTTAATTAACCCCGTACACGGCCACCCTTCATAATGGCCGCGTCGCCCACGAAACTTGCCACCGTTTTCTGCTAAAAACATACAGATTTACGAGGCTGCCGTGGGAAAACAGCAATATTAAGCGCACGGGAATATCGATGGGTACTCGTTATTGTTCCTTGTTTAACGGGTCTAGACTGTAGACTTCTATGGGGAAAATGGCGGAGGGGAAATTAACGAAATACTACTTGTTGATTCTTAGGAAGTTCTGCAATTTAGCAACTTGGAGGGAAAGGTCGTGGGTGCGGAGAACGAGTGAAAGTTAAATGAGAGAGGAATCTTTTATGATCTATGCAATATATGAAGAGATTTTTTTGTTGGGTAATTTTTGGGATCTATGAAGTTTAATGGGGTCTGTGTAGCTGTGAAAATGAGAAACACGTGGAAGGTAGTTGAGAAAGGAATTTTTGCTTTTGATGATTTATGCAATATATGAAGAGATATTTTTAGTTGGTTAATTTTCTGGTCTATGAAGTTTAATAAGATCTGTGTAGCTGTGTAAATGAAGAACATGTGGAAGCTAAGTGAAAGAAGAATTTTTGCTTTTGATGATATATGCAATATATGAAGAGATGTTATTTTTAATTGGTTAGTCTGATCTATGAAGTTTAACATGATCTGTGTAGCTCTCGTAGAAATGGAGAATATGTGAAAGTTAAATGGGAAAGGAATTTCAAGTTTGATGATTTATGCAATATATGAAAAAGGAACGTTGTTATTATAAATTGGTTAATTTTCGGCTGTATGAAGTTTAATGAGATCTGTGTAGCTGTTGAAATGAAGAACATGTGGAAGCTAAGTGAGAGAAGAATTTTTGCTTTTGATGTTTTATGCAATATATGAAGAGATATTTTTAGTTGGTTAATTTTCTGATCTACGAAATTTAATATGAACTGTGTAGCTCTCGTAGAAATGGAGAATATGTGAAAGTTAAATGGGAAAGGAATTTCAAGTTTGATGATTTATGCAATATATGAAAAAGGAACATTATTATCACTAATTGGTTAATTTTCTGCTCTATGAAGTTTAATGAGATCTGTGTAGCTGTAGAAATGAAGAACATGTAGAAGCTAAGTAAAAGAAGAATTTTTGCTTTTGATGATATATGCAATATATGAAGAGATGTTTTTAGTTGGTCAATTTTCTGATCTATGAAGTTTAACATGATCTGTGTAGCTCTCGTAGAAATGGAGAATATGTGAAAGTTAAATGGGAAAGGAATTTCAAGTTTGATGATTTATGCAATATATGAAAAGGGAACGTTGTCATTACTAGTCAGTTAATTTTCAAATCTACGAACTTTCATAAGAATTTTATACTTGTCATCAAAATAAAGTATATGTGATAGTTAAATAAGAAAGGAAATTCAAGTTTGATGATTTATGCAATATATGAAAAGGTAAAATTAGTATTAGTTAGTCAATTTTCAAATCTGCAAAATTTCATAAGGACTATGTACTTATCACGAAAATGAAGAATATGTAAAACTTTCAACAAAAAATTCCAAGCCTAACATATGCAATATATGAAGAGAATGAAAGTGGAATTAAAAATTATTCTTAGTTAATTAATTTTCAAATCTACAAAATTTAATAAGAACAACATAACTCTGAGAATGAAGAACATATGAAACTTGAAAAAAAAATTTCAAGCATCCCAATATATGCAATATATGAAGCAAACTCAAGCTTCATTGAACAAATCACTGCTGTACCATAATTTAAGAAAAAAAAGGAGATGAAACTCGAGCAACAAAAAAATGTAAATGAAAATGAACTAAAAAAGACGAGAGAAGCAAAAGATCACAAAATTAAAGGGCAATCATTAATCTGTTAAACGAGGAAACATAAAGCGAAGAAGAAACATGAACCCAAAAAGAAAAATGACGAAGAAAATTTGAGGATGCATGTAAATGAGCGTAGAAAAGGTGAAAGTGGAAATTATGAAGGTATTAAACGGAGAAGTCGGGTGAAAACACATGGGACTCGAGTGAAGAATAGTAAAGTAAAGGAAAACAAGTGAAAATTTGAAAAGGTTTAAAAATTCAGATCTGTGGAGATAAAAAAGGAACTTTTTAACCTGTTAGACGGTGTTCCTTTTTAGTCGAGCCATTTTCCTTCGTTCTTACAATAAGAATAAAACATAGGCTGACTGTATACAAAACCACTTTAACAATCTTTTCAGACTTCGGTGCATACCTCTTCGCTTCATCATCGTACTAATTACCAAGTTTTTTCATAAATTACTGTGCTCTTTAGTTCGTTTACGTACAATTACTATCTGAAGCCTTTGGAGGAAACTTTAACAGGATTCATTTATGATGTTATACTAATTTTTGGAGGAATTTCATTTTGTATGAAGTGAAGTTTGTTGTAGTAAACTTCAAATATTGTACTTTGGCGTGCACTGTTTCCACGCGATGCATTTTCACGCGTTGTGTGTCGACGCGTTGAATATCGGCACGTTGCATAACGGCCCGTTGCATATTGGCGCGTTGAATAACTACCCGTTGTATATCGGCGCGTTATATGTCGACGCGTTAGATTTCCACGCGTTGCATATCGACGGATTGGGTTTCCACGCGTTGCACATCGACGCGTTGTATATCGGCATGTTAGATTTCCACGCGTTGCATACCGGCACGTTACATATCGGCGCGTTAAGTTTACACGCGTTGCATATCGGCGCGTTAGATTTCCACACGTTGTATATCGATGCATTGGGTTTCCACGCGTTGCATATCGACGCGTTGTATATCGGCATGTTAGATTTCCACGCGTTGCATACCGGCACGTTACATATCGGCGCGTTGGGTTTCCACGCGTTGCATATCGCCGCGTTAGATTTCCACGCGTTGCATATCGACGCGTTGGACTTCCACGCATTGCATACCGACACGCGTTAGATTTCCACGCGTTGCATATCGACGCATTGAGTTTCCACGCGTTGCATATCGACGCGTTGCATATCGGCACGTTGGACTTCCACGCATTGCATACCGACACGCGTTAGATTTCCACGCGATGCATATCGACGCATTGAGTTTCCACGCGTTGCATATCGACACGTTGGATTTCCACGCGTTGCATACCGGTACGTTAAATATCGGCGCGTTGGGTTTCCACGCGTTGCATATCGGCGCGTTAGATTTTCACGCGTTGCATATCGCCGCGTTAGATTTCCACGCGTTGCATATCGGCACGTTGGACTTCCATGCATTGCATACCGACACGATTTGTATTTCGTCGCGTTGAGTATCCACGCGTTGTATATCGACACGTTCCATATCGACGCGCTGGGTTTCCACGCGTTGTATTTCGACACGTTCCATATCCACGCGCTGGATTTCCACGCGTTGCATATCGGCGCGTTACATGTCGACGCGTTGGGTTTCTACGCGTTGCATATCGCCGCGTTACATGTCGACGCGTTGGGTTTCTACGCGTTAGATATCGACGCGTTACATATCGGCACGTTGCATATCGGCGCATTGCAACTTGAGGCGATATATCTCGACATGATGTATATCAACGCGTTGTTACACAAGACATTATATCCCAATATGTTGTATTGCAATATAATGTTTCTTTACTTGTTATATCTCAGTATAATGTTTCATTAGTTGTTATATCTCAGTATAATGTTTCATCAGTTGTTATATCTCTGTATAATGTTTCGTCGCTTGTTACATCGCAATATAATGTTGCAATACTCCTCATTATAACTTCGGACCATATCAACACATTGCCACCTTCGGAAACGATCTGTTACTACAACTTCATCCACGGCAATATAAGGAGAGTCAATCTCAAATTTGAACTTCAGTGTTCTTCATGATTTATGTATATTGACCAATGTATATTTAAGAATAGAATAAAAAAATCATGAAAGATGCAATAAAAAATGCATAAAATAATGAAGCAATGAAATATCAAGGCTCGTTACAATGTTATAAACAATCCTCTCATCAGAACGCCCTTCCGTATTCATAAATTCTATCTGTGACTTCGCAAGTTACTTTTCCGTCCGCGTCAACTGTTTTGCATATCGTAGGACGTAAAATAACGCAACACGAGTCGCATAGATCTGCGAGTTGCAAGAAAAAAGTTGAGATAACGTTAGATTATAACCTCGGACTCGCGTAACACAACTGCCACGGTGAGTAAGTTGAAAATTTTACTAGCTAGTACTTTTTTGATTAATAAATCTTGTCAAGTACATATATATTATTTTCTTATATTATTCATAGCTCCAAGTAATTAATACAGTAAATTGACATGACATTTCAACTTATTGATATTGTAGCTATGTTTAGTTCTGACACACCTGACAAGTGAATCCTAGTGGAAATTAATAATATATGTTCAAATGTAAGTTAATAATGTATGTTGAAATGTAAGTTAATAATGTGTATTCAAATCATATGAAGATTTCAACGTCACCTATATGTGGATCACGTGGCAGTCAAAGTGTCAAACTTTGCACTTGAAGTGTCTTACCCTCACATTCACCATTTGATTTAACTCAACAATATGAAATAGGGATTTTGTGAACGAAATATAGTGTGCTATACATGTGATGTACAATGTGATGTACAGGCAAACAGTCACCAGTGGAAGCTAATAGCAGAGAAACAATAAATTCAAAATAATTAATTAAATCAATAAAAAGTTGTAGGGTTGCTATCTATTAAAGGCAAAAATACCTTCAGTAAATTGTTATTGATATTATCATTTATCGAGAGAAAAATGAACTCCGAAATTTATGTTACACACGCGACTTCCTTCCGTTTCTTTTCTCTTTACGGCGACAAGAGGTGGGTGTAAGCGGCGAGGATTTTTAAGCATCCCCCGCGCGAAGATGGCTCCATCACTCCACAGAGAGCAATCACGAATAAAACGCTCGAGAACGAACAATGTGCCACGAATTTTTCTCTGTATAATTAGCAGGTTACAGCAGTTGCGAAGAAATGAAATTTTCAATTGAAATCACGAGAGAACAAAATGGCGACGAACACTGGGACGAAGATTGTATCACTGTGACTCTGTTAATCAAATAGTTTGCTATAAATTTTACGAAGAACTATACTGAAAGCTTGAATTTGAATGTACGAGAATAAATGAAGGTTTATTAAAAAATTGTGTTCAGATGACAAATTTTTTAATCCTAGTAATACTTTGTTACTAATATACATATTTATATATTCCCTTAACATGTATATGTGTATTCCTTTACGACTAGAATATTCTTCTAGCAAGTCTACTGGAGTTCTTGAATTATGTTCTAATGAAGAAGAACCAGCAATGCAATTTGTTAACAGAAATGAAAGATTTTGAAATTAGAAAAAATTCGTGACCTGCTTGACAATTTAAATTACGAAGGAGTAAACTCTAATTTCGTAGGACACCAAATTTTTGCAAAATAAAACGATTACAATCTGACCATCCCACGCACAGCTCTCACTGTGACATTTAACGAGTTAATTACTGTAATAAAATTTATGTCGATAGTCTTTTAATCCGCTGTATGTGTATAACACTGCAGCTGCTACAATTACTCGAATTTTTGAACGTGAGACTGATACATGAAATAATAATACAAAATTTTCTTAGGTAACATTAATAATAAACTGTTAAGAGTACCTAGCAGTTTAAGGGTTAATTAAGAATTTTTAAACTTGAGACTGATACATGAAACAATAATACAAAATCTTCTTAGATAAAACTAATAATAAACTGTTAAGAGTACCTAGCAGTTTAAGGGTTAATTAAGAATTTTTAAACTTGAGACTGATACGTGAAACAATAATACAAAATTTTCTTAGGTAACATTAATAATAAACTGTTAAGAGTACCTAGCAGTTTAAGGGTTAATTAAGAATTTTTAAACTTGAGACTGATACGTGAAACAATAATACAAAATTTTCTTAGGTAACATTAATAATAAACTGTTAAGAGTACCTAGCAGTTTAAGGGTTAATTAAGAATTTTTAAACTTGAGACTGATACGTGAAACAATAATACAAAATTTTCTTAGGTAACATTAATAATAAACTGTTAAGAGTATCTAACAGTTTAAGGGTTAATTAAGAATTTTTAAACTTGAGACTGATACATGAAACAATAATACAAAATTTTCTTAGGTAACCCTAATAATAAACTGTTAAGAGTACCTAGCAGTTTAAGGGTTAATTAAGAATTTTTGAACGTGAAACTCATACACGAAACAATAATACAAATTTTCTTAGAGAACACTAATAATAAACTATTAAGAGTACCTAGCAGTTTAAGATAAATTAATATATTAGATCAAGAAATGAATTAATCTTCCTAATATGATATATGCAGTCACACGTGTCATATGATGGTGTCGCATCAACCACCGATATTTCTACTGTAATACACCATTTTTGCTATTAATTACATATTAACATGGTTTCACAGTAGATATTCAGATATTTAGCCAGACAGAAATTATCAAGAACACAGACATTTCATATCTGAATTTTAATTTTGAATTCGTTGCTTAATATCATTGACTTAATATTAAAAGCCCCAATTAATCGGCTTTTGCTTTTACTTTGAATGTTTAATTAAACTGAATTTATAACTGGTTTTCAGTGAACATCATATCAGTTAATATGTGAAATTAAAATTGTTCCACAAATTTTATTAAAACTGAAAGTACATGCATTTCAATGAAGGCTGTTAAAATGTCTATCATGAGTACAAAATGTTTTACAATAATATCAAACAGCTAGTTTAAAATAATTACATTATACAATATGAATAAATAATGAAAATTATTGTATAAATTTTTTTCAAACTGAAAATGCACATATTTGAACAAAAACAACAAAAGTGTCTACTAAGAGTACAAAATATTTGACAATAATATAAGACAGTTAGATTAAAATAATTACATTATTCACTGTGAACAAAAAATTAAAATTAAACAACAAATTTTCTTGAAACTTTGAAAATACATGGATTTGAACAAAAGCTACAAGAATGTCTACTACAAGTACAAACTGTTCGACAATAATATAAAACAATTGGTATAAAATAATTATATTGAAATTAAAAATACACAAATTTGAACATAGCTACAAAATTGTGTACTACAATTACGAAGTATTTTACAATAATATAAAACGAGTGATTTAAACTAATTACATATTCAATAATTATATTGAAATTAAAAATACACGAATTTGAAAATAGCTACAAAATTATCTAGTACAATTACCAAATGTTATACAATAATATAAAAAAATTGCAATTGACAATAACCATCGCAATATAAATTGCAATTAACCAAAACAAATACTGACAATAATATCAAAACCTACAAAAAACTATCACAATAGTTTCAATTTCATTTTACCCCTCAAACTATCCTCAAATCTTCAAAATAGAATACAGCCAACAAACCCCACAGAGCCTCCACTATAATAAAACAATAAAATCAAAATCTACAAGAAACTATCACAATAATTTCAATTTCATTTTACCCCTCAAACTATCCTCAAATCTTCAAAATAGAATAAAGCCAACAAACCCCACAGAGCCTCCACTATAATCAAACAATAAAATCAAAATCTACAAGAAACTGTCCCAATAATTACAATTTCATTTTACTCCTCAAACTACAAATACTGACAATAATATCAAAACCTACAAAAAACTATCACAATAGTTTCAATTTCATTTTACCCCTCAAACTATCCTCAAATCTTCAAAATAGAATACAGCCAACAAACCCCACAGAGCCTCCACTATAATCAAACAGTATAATACCGAATGAAGAAGAAGCTAAATAAAAATAATTTCATTCTAAACAAAACTTGAACCAAAAGAATGCACTAATAACTACGTTAATTGCAGTCACCCCCTCATCCCCCAATTCCAGTTCTTCCCCCAAAACTTTCCAAGCTTCCAAACGCTCGAGTACTTAAAATTAAAAAAAAAGAAAACCACCCTTCACATTCGCAATCACACAAAGCACCACGATAAAAAAATAAATTCGCACTAAAAAAAGGTACACCGAACCATAAATAAATGTATTCGCTCACCATGTCGCAAGAGGGGTACGCTGTCTACCGATCGAGGGGGTTGGTATCTTCTCGCGGATAAAACAGAGGAGCAACAACAACAAGAAGAAGAGGAGGAAGAAGAGAAATCGCGGTCGTGTACGACTAACGCGTTTTGCGACGGCGACGTTTGCGGCCTGTTGGTGGTGGAACGAGTGTCCGGGGTTAGAGATGACACCCTTTATATAGAGGAACCTCGGCGCATCCCCCGTAGCCTCGCGGACCGACACACAGAGACCAGATAGCCTCACCTGAGTTATGATTGGCCGAGCGTACAACACGATACCTCTACATTATTTTGATTCAATTATACCTCGGCTACCGACCTACGTAATCTCCCTTATTATTTATGACTCTTCGCAAATAATAATCATCGGTGTCTTAGATGGGGGAGGATCCGATCATCTGACGTATACGGACGTTCGTAAGCTTGCTACTTTTGTTAACCCTTTGTCAGCCTGCCTTAGCTTTTGTTAGTAAAGCTTTTGTTTATAGTCGCATTTTTATTGTATTTTATGAGCAATTTAGGTAATTGATTGAATATGAAGTAGCATTAATAAATGGAAGCTTATGAATAACTTTTACGGAACGTTTAGACTGTATATCAGTAGGGCGTGCTAGTGGCACGTGTCTGTATAATCAAATTTTTGAGGTTCTTACTTTGTCTGCATCGGGTCTGTTGTTATAGAAAGAAGACAAGAAAGGAAGGGTACTATTTTCTCTTTCTAATGATAGGTACAAACTACTTGGTACATACAAAGTGAAAAACGCAAGAGTTTGACTATCTACTGTCATGTGCAACTAGTATAGCTTACTGACATAAAATGAACACTTAATGGCTGCCAAATAGCTCCAGAACATTAACTAGCTAGTCATAAATGACCCCTGAACCTAATAAGACTCCTCTACCACATCATGTCTGTATATACATGCGTATATATTCCTTCTACATATGTATATCCTTATAGATATTACATTATGTACCCCTTACACACCCCTGTATACGTATACCTCTTATACATGCAAGCAAAACACAGAGTCAAGTGTCAGAATCTTATTGCATCAAACTTCTACTTAAACTTCTATATCTACGGACTTGGTTTGTCAAGTAGATAATTTTTAATAGAATTTGTGTTCGGTTTTTGTGACACTATGTGTGCTATCAATTGTTGGCTAATGATAAGTGTTGTACCTACTCATTTTGATAAAGTATATATGTGTTACAAGTGCGTTTGATAACCTCAAACTAGCTGGAGTAGTGTTGGACTAAGTCTTCGGTGGTGCTAGGAATGTTTCACAAAACAATTCATATTTTTATACGATTTTGAAAATTGTATGAAGGGGAAGTAGTATTGGATTAAGTATTTAGTGATGCTGAGAATGTTTCACTAATTGAATTCATATTTTTACACAATTTTAAAAATTGTATTAAAGTGAAGTATTATTGAAGTAAGTATTCAGTGGTACCTTGAATGTTTCACAAATTGAATTCATATTTTTATACAATTTAAAAAATCATATTAAACTAAAGTATTATTGAAGTAAGTATTCAATGGTACCTTGAATATTTCACAAAAGAAATTCATATTTTTATAGAATTTTAAAAATCATATTAAACTAAAGAATTATTGAACTACATATTTAGTGGTACCTTGAATGTTTCACAAAACAAATTCATATTTTGCTACAATTTTGAAAATTGAATTAAAGTGAAGTATTATTGAAGTAAGTATTCAATGGTACCTTGAATATTTCACAAAAGAAATTCATATTTTTATACAATTTTAAAAATCATATTAAACTAAAGTATTATCGAACTACATATTTAGTGGTACCTTAAATGTTTCACAAAATAAATTCATATTTTGCTACAATTTTGAAAATCATATTAAACTAAAGTATTATTGAACTACATATTTAGTGGTACCTTGAATGTTTCACAAAAGAAATTCATATTTTTACACAATTTTGAAAACCATATTAAACTAAAGTATTATTGAACTACATATTTAGTGGTACCTTGAATGTTTCACAAAATAAATTCATATTTTGCTACAATTTTAAAAATCATATTAAACTAAAGTATTATCGAACTACATATTCAGTGGTACCTTGAATGTTTCACAAAATAAATTCATATTTTGCTACAATTTTGAAAATTGAATTAAAGTGAAGTATTAGTGAAGTAAGTATTCAGTGGTAGTAGAAATGTTTCTAATAAATGAGTTCATATTTTTCCACGATTTTGAAGATCTGCAGAGGGAAATTTATGTGAGAGAAGTAGGCGGTCATTGGATGTTAGGGATGATCGACACTGACGCAAGGGATTGTGGAACGACTGTAATCGAGAAACGTGAGGTGCTTGCTATACTAGCATTTATAAAGGAACACGAAACAGGAAACCCGTTATTGATCAGGATCTTTATTTAATGTATAATTATGTTCTTCCAGAACATTATTCACTATGCTCCTCCAGAACATGATTTGTAGGAATATTTCCGACAGAAGATTTCGTAAACTGACATGAATCATGTAGCACGACCTAACGTATACTTTTCTTCCATTTATAAAAGTAATGTAATATAACGTTGCAAAAATCAGGCTATCTTCCATTGTTAATGTTCTTCCATTGTTAATATTTTTGCGTTGTTAATTTTCTTCCATTATTAATTTATAATAAACAAAAAGCTCCCTCACATTCCACACTGTACTTTCAACAAAATTTCAACAAAACCATAAGCTTGAAACCCACATATGCATTTATGGAAGCTAAAAAAGTCCTATCCATCGTTTCCTATAAATAAATCCAAATTGAAGCAAACCCAAATTAAACAAAAGCAAAAAATATAAATAAACTTCGATTGAGACACCATGACTGCACAATGACTGACATTTTAAACCACGTATCCCTAAAAATACCCCAGATATTGCAATACTATACAGTAAACGAACAGATTTATGCAATAGATTTACTAAATAATTAATGAACCATGCAAGAGGTTAATTAACAAATCAGCGACCACGATAGTCTTCCAGGCCAGCTTTCCAGTGGCTACCTTCACCTAGCTTATTACGACGCGAACAATACAACAATTTTATTGTATTACAACGTGTGTATGACTGATACAATGCTATGCTAATGAGAACACAATGGAGGCACCGGGTGGTGTTCAGGACACAAAAGTCCCTTGCAATTAGAATCGTTCCTATTATGAAGGAGTCTTATGTACCGAAGACGGTGTACTGTCATTGTATTACTGACGACGATGTATGAGCAGAAGGTTCTTTGAATGATGTTGAATGAGTGTATTCTATAATGGTGAGCCGTACAGGTGTCGTCAGAATGCGTAGTGATACTATGTATATGGAGATCTAGGCTTATGATGATGATGTAGATGTCGTGTAGGAGTATAAAGATGTTGGGTTAGAGATATCTGGGGCTATAGGAATCTAGGGATTTGGAGATCTGGGTGTATAGAGATATAGAACTATAGAGATTTGGAGGGTTGGAAATTTTCGGGGTTTAGAAATTTGGGGATGTAGAACTCGGAGGATATAGAGATCTAGAGATATAGGGATCTGGAGATATAGAGATCTGGGAATATAGAGATATAGGGCTATAGAAATTTGAGGGTTGGAAATTTGAGGGGTTTAGAAATTTGGGGATGTAGAACTCGGAGGATATAGAGATCTAGAGATATAGGGATCTGGAGATATAGAGATCTGGGAATATAGAGATATAGGGCTATAGAAATTTGAGGGTTGGAAATTTGAGGGGTTTAGAAATTTGGGGATGTAGAACTCGGAGGATATAGAGATCTAGAGATATAGGGATCTGGAGATATAGAGATCTGGGAATATAGAGATATAGGGCTATAGAAATTTGAGGGTTGGAAATTTGAGGGGTTTAGAAATTTGGGGATGTAGAACTCGGAGGATATAGAGATCTAGAGATATAGGGATCTGGAGATATAGAGATCTGGGAATATAGAGATATAGGGCTATAGAAATTTGAGGGTTGGAAATTTAGGGGTTTAGAAATTAGGGGGTTGGAAATTTGGGGGTTTAGAAATTTGAGGATATAGAAATTTGGAGATTTAGAAATTTAGAGATGTAGGAGTCGGAGGGTATAGAGATCTGGGAATATAGAAATTTGTGGATATGGGAGATCTAGGAGTATAGAGATCTAAAACCATATATAACTGGGCATATGGAAATTTAAGAATAGCAATGCAGTGCTATATAATCTAGTACAATGTATATGTATGTACATCTGGGGGTAAAGAGGAACATGTATAAAGATCTAGTGCTATAAAGGTGTAAAAATATTGCATAAATCTAAACCTATAAAAATCCCGAGGATCTACATATACATAAAAGAACATAGAGACCTGGAATATAGAAATCAAGAACTACAAAGGTCTAAAACTACATAACATAAATGTACTGTTAAGGAGATTTGAGTGCACAGGAATTTAAAGATAGATCTATAGATATACATAGAGATTAATAATTTAGGAATATGCAATTGTAACATTCGCACAGTACGATTCTCTCTCCCAGTACAGATTCAGAAATATGTAACACCATGGACCCATGGAGAACCATAGATTTAGATAAATATTGACATTTGAATGTCTGCCGATGCTCCGTTTACTTTTCATCCCTTGTTTCATGTTTGTTTTTCATTCGCTGCGACCCTTGTCCTGTCGATTATTGTTACTTCAGTTGCATTCTGAAGTGCATTTATCTTGTCGAAATTAAGGCACCATTGTGAGGTGAATCAATACTCCCTAATTTTCTTTCCTATTTTGAGATGAACGCGTTAACTGTCTCGGTAAAAATAACCATATAAAAGTAACCATTAGTATGGAACTGTAATTTTTCAGAGTACAAACATTTTATCGATCTCCAATTTGCATAATTAACAAACTAATCGAGGTTCATGAACACTCATCGACTAAAAAAACTGAGTAAACACGATTATGTTAATATGATATAATTACTCCTCTACAGTTCTTATCAATCTTTTTCTTTCAATTATCCCATTATACTAAATCTCTCAAGTCGACTTCCCTATACGATATTTGAGACTCGGTTTAACTTCAAAGTTAAACCTTAAAAAATATTTCAATCGTCCAAATGTCAAATACGTACACGTAATATTTGCGTACAATTCCAGCAGCGAACTTAAAAGAAGTATGATTGCTTTTTGTTTTATACGTCCAAAGAATACACCATGAATTTCCCCGGCCAGTGAAACAGAGACTGGTGAACCGAGAATGAAATGCAACAGGTAGAAGCACTTGTTTTCTACAAGTGAATCTGGGTCACTTGTTTCCCATTGTGAGTTCGTGACACAGGTGCGAAGATCTTTTCTGTGCATTCGTATAACGCGTTGCTAAAATACTGTGTCACCGAAATACCTTCAACTCGATGAAATTGTGTATCAGCTGTACGTTCGAATCGTTAACACATTGCTTGACGTAAACAACGTCGATTTAATGAACAATTATGACCGCAAATGCGCGTGACAATCACTTGGTGCTTATTCTGTTCTTACGCGAATGATGGATTAACAAAAATGTGTTTGTACGAATGCGATGTCTTTAATGAGCGTTATATTGTGGATGCGCTGTCTTTATTGTGCGTTGCGTTGTAAATGCGCTGTCTGTGATGTGTTGCGATGTCGGTGCGCTGTCTAGTCGACGCGTTGTACTATGGATGCGCTGTATAGGCGACGCGTTGTACTGTGAATGCGTTGTCTAGTCACCGCGTTAGACTGTGAATGCGCTGTTTATTCGACGCGTTGCAATATGAATGCGTTGTACAATCGATGCGTTGTACTCTGAATGCGCTGTATAATCGACGCGTTGCGGTGTGAGTGCGCTGTCTACTTGACGCGTTGCAGTGTGAGTGCGCGGTATAGTCAACGCGTTGTACTATGGATGCGCTGTATAGGCGACGCGTTGTACTGTGAATGCGTTGTCTAGTCGACGCGTTAGACTGTGAATGAGCTGTTTATTCGGCGCGTTGCAATATAAATGCGTTGTATAATCGACGCGTTGTACTCTGAATGCGCTGTATAATCGACGCGTTGCGGTGTGAGTGCGCTGTCTACTTGACGCGTTGCAGTGTGAGTGCGCGGTATAGTCAACGCGTTGTACTATGGATGCGCTGTATAGGCGACGCGTTGTACTGTGAATGCGTTGTCTAGTCACCGCGTTAGACTGTGAATGCGCTGTTTATTCGACGCGTTGCAATATGAATGCGTTGTATAATCGACGCGTTGTACTCTGAATGCGCTGTATAATCCACGCGTTGCCGTGTGAATGCGCTGTCTAGTCGACGCGTTGTACTATGAATGCGCTGTCTAGTCGACGAGTTGTACTGTGAATGCACGGTATAGTCAACGCGTTGTACTATGGATGCGCTGTATAGGCGACGCGTTGTACTGTGAATGCGCTGTCTAGTCAACGCGTTGTACTATGGATGCGCTGTCTAGTCGACGCGTTGTACTGTGAATGCGCTGTCTAGTCAACGCAGTGAAAGAAAGATAAAAAACTGGATATTCTACATATAAAAATGAAAAATAAAAATTTATGAGGTATTTACTTCTACTGACTCTAAATTTTTCATCTAGAATTTTAAACAATAATAAAGCATGATATATGTTTTCAACGTCCACTTAAAACAAGAATTATGGAATAAAAAACAAAACTGTATATAAAATTTCTTCCTTCCTCCCTCGTTACAAGGATTAATATTTAATAAAGTTTGTGGTAAACTTCTACGCGGCGACTAAATTAATAGATTCTTGTTAAACTTTTGAAAAACGACCATAAGAAAATATGATGTTTCCCCAAGGTAGAGAGATTGAACTTTAAAGAATTCAAACGTAATTCGAGGCGACGCGATCGCACTTCCTTCGTGAACGTTCATCGACTTTTACTCGCGTTGCTCGTAATTTCTTTCTTTTTTTTTCTTGTTGTCCCTCCTACATAGTCGTACAGCGTATATAAGTTGCACAATGTAACACGTTTTATCTTGAAAAATGTTTTCCTCCCGCCACACCAACAACCATTGTACTTGCTTTGTGCACGAGAAAGCCGAACTGACATCTCTGAAAGTATATAATCCGGTGTTAAGCCGATGAACCAGTAGGGTGACAGTCTGCACAATCGTTGACATTCGAACCATGATCTATTCATGGTATTAACAAAAAATAACAGTTCAAGGTTTACTTCCTAACTTGAGCGAAAAATCCTTCTTGATAGTTATAAGAAATTTTTCCTTTTCAAATAAAGTATCCAAAAAAATGTATATTACATGTTGTTTCATGATTAAAATATTGAACTCATACTAATAAACAAATGTCTTAAAATAATATCATATAAAAAAATTGTAAAGGTCGTTGAACAAATTTTAAACAGGTCATTTGTGCAAAAAAGAACTATATTTATGTTTAGGAATTCTGGATCCCACAATAGGCAATCTTTCGCTAAAAACACACCACAGACAAAAGTAAAATCTTATAGCTGCTTTAATATGAAAATATGTGTATATGCATATGATAATTTTAGGAATAAATAATTATTTACACGGAATGTCATCATTTTACTGAAAGTAAACAAGTGAAATGCAAAGCTTTCAAAATACTATCTTACTTTCATACTGTGATGAAAATAATGAGTTATTCATAGGAGCATAGATTCTATTGAATCTTTTGTAGTATTCATGAAGAACGTGAGGAAGCAAAATGACCGCAGTTATTTTTAGAATAATATTAATATAATATATTAAAATATTTGTACTTATGCTTAAATCAATATCCTTTCCATTTTTGTGGTCTTATAATTTACTAACATAACTTCAATCTTTTTCCTTCACATACCCTTGAAAATAATACTTTACATAGTGTTAAAACATTATTGTCACGGTAAGCTAGAAATAAATAAATAGAACTCTTTAATGTTAATAAACAACAAGAAATTGTTTCTATGCTCCTGTACAATGATATTATTTTGTAATACCTTGTAACAAAATAATTGTAATATTTTACAATCGAATGTGTAATCAAAATACTTCATATTTCATTTTTGCGAAGATCTGTGGAATCCTCTTCTATCCATGTTCACGAGAATTTCATTTAACTTAGACTATCTAAATTGTTTCTTATAGATACACATTAAAATCGGTTCATTAACGACACTTGTATCGCACGAGTTGCTAGTTCCACCATTATTAATTTATTAACACGCAACCACTTATAAAATATCTGTAAATTGTTTTAAGTTCAGTCTTTGTAAAGTTTTCTTAAAAACTATTTTTTGCATCATTTGTTTCTTCTTCCTGGCTTTGTTCAAAATAGAAAAGCTTCACACAACAATTCCCTTTATTTTCCATATCGTTGTTCACATTTACTGTACTTCTCTAACAAACATGTGAAATCCTTTACGGATAGACTGAAGTGTAAAGGTAGTGTGCTGGAATTAAAAAAGAGAATATTATATAAGAAATATAATTGTAGAAAGATACAGGTATAACAAATTATTATGATAAACTTACAAGAATTCTGTTATTCGTGTTTGCCATGGTAAAACACCATACGTGCAACAAACATGACCATATATTACACCTAAATCAGGATCTGGAACTCTCCATAAATTTAATTTTTCATTAATCAAATCACTATTTATTTCTTCTGATTTGATTGTTCCTGTGACAACTGCTTCAGCCAATTTTTTTGTTAACATTACTATTTCTCCTTTTCCATGCATGGAGGATAATAAAGATACTCTTGTTTTCAACTTAGAATCTGCAAATTAATACCAATAATTAATTGTTGCTATTCTGATATAAAAAGCTATTTTTTTGTATAAAGATCAATACCATACCAGTTATCCCATTTTGCTTGGATGTTATGTTTGGTTTATTCCAACTTACATGATCCACTAAATCAGGTCGCCTTTTTGCAAGTTCATATTTTAAAGAACTTTCATTTTTGACTAAAAAACCTGTAACAAATATGATAAACATGTAATGGTTGGAAAAGCATGACTATCCAAAATATTTGTAACATATAATTATTATCATTAGTAATAGTTATAACCATATATCAATATCAAAATAATAAAAGTAGTAGCAATTGTTTAGTGCTGCCGTTAGAACCACGCGCTATACCTTCGAAATTTTTAAAAATTTAAAAATTTTTGAATGATTTAGCGTTCGACATATCGATATATCGCGGCGAGTTGTAACTTCGAATCCCATAGTTATTTTTTTCGTAACTGTAATTACTAACGAATGAGCATGATTAATTGATCTAAAATTTAGAATATCGCAACGTAACACGAGCGATAAGACGCAACACAAGTGTCCAATTTGTCCTTGACTAGAGATAGCAAAATAACTGTTTAAAGAAGCAGTATATAATTCTATTTATGTGTAAATTAGTTTAAACACTTCTCAATTTCTTTTCTTACAAATTTAAATTTTTTAAAAGTCCTAGTTTTGTAATAAACAAAGCAAATATGTAATGTCAAGGACAATTTTCTACTTAATTGACATGATAAAGTCATTACATAATTATGAATATTATATAGAAATTTCCATTACAAATTCTTTGTAACATAAATTTTATATTAATAACACAGTTTTTCATATAAAATATATATCCACAATAAGCGACTTATAAATCCATCCAAAATTATTTTTATAATATTTATATATGTAAAAATGACTCAAAAATATAAGAGGTACAAAGATTGTTTTCAGAAAACATTATTATCGACTTAATGTCAATATTAAATACAGTAACTGATAAACTTAAGAATTCTAAGATAAAACATCATTTTTGAAAATATTTCTTTTGAAAACAGAAACCTATTTTTAAGGAAAGTATTAGATGAACACAATTTGATATTCTACATACAATGTTTTCTAAAATACAGATAATAATTATTATTGACTCGCCTTACATACATTCTTTTGCCAATACAAAAGTAATAGAACATTTTTATGTATGCATAAAGACATGTCTATAAAAGCAGCTGTCATTCTTAGTTATGCTGAATTTCTCACATAAATTTTGTTGTGTTTTTTGTAATCAAAAACATAATTCATTAGTCAAGGACAAACTTTAACTTCAGGATTAGAATAACAAAGTTAAACAGAATGAATATGCTGAACAGTTTAAATGAATCTACTCACACATGATCACAAAGAATTTCTAATTAACATAAAATATATTATTACAAGCAGAGACTTCAACTTTGAGGTTAAAATAACGAATAGTTAAAATGAATAGATAAATGTACTAAGAAATTTAAATGATGTTACTCCTGTATAATTATAAACAACTGATGATTAACTTAAAATATTATTTTTTCACTAATAATGTAGAACACAACAATTTTAACATAAGAATTATGTTATAAAGTTTATCTAACGTTTCTCACGCAATGTTTCTTACATCTGACTAATGAAGATACGACGAGTACAATGAATCTATACCACTAAAACAAACAAATTGTATAAAGTGAGGTGCAGTCGTATTATTAACAATCGAAATAAAATAACAAAGAAATGTAAACGTTACCATTGATGTCAAAAAAGCTGAGGTACGGTATACCAAGCGTGATACACCATCCAATTATTCGTATGCAGTCAAAAATAGTATCCTCCTTCGCGCCGAAAACGATCACTACATGCCTCGGCAGTTTTTTCATTTTATTCGCGGTTTGAATCAACATTTCAATTTCTGTCCTTAAATTTTCACCGTACCAAATCTTCGTACACTTGCGATGAACGATAATGCAATAATTATAAACGGCAGAAAACAAATCGTACAAAAAGTGGGTAAGTATCAGTAATATACGAAATACTGTGAACATAATGCCTCCCTCAAGACCGTCGGTCTATGTAACATAATCACATAGAACTAACCGAAAATAAGGTTTTCAAAACTAACCGGGACGTCACGAGGAGGATAGTGCACCTAGCCACTGACCCGTCTAGCAGACGGTCATCTCACGTGCACCTGCTTACGTACAATGACGTACGCACTCTTCTGTTCAACAGAAATACTAAACTTTGCACGTCGTGCATTTGAAATATATAGATGGCTTAACCTCTGGTTACATCGTATGCGATATCTCGTATTGTTATCACGCTGGTATGCAATTTTAAATTGCATATTTTTTGTTATCTAAAGAGTACAAGCAAAGGTATAATTGCATCATTGTATAGTATATAGTTGACTTATACATCTAATGCACGTTTCATGTAAGATCGGAATTCTCGAATGACAAGTTTTCGTTTATCGATATGTGTAAATATATCGATTCTTATTACGTCACATGACTAATGGTAATACGCAAGCGCACTTATAATAATTCAAAGAACAATAATATGTACCTGGTGTTCTTTCATTTTATATGCTTCCGAGGATTCTAAAATTTTTACGTTTCAAATTTCTAAATTTAAAAATTTATAAGGTTAGCTACAATATAACGAAAATTTATTGTATCTAAATTAATCTTTTCCTATATTTCTGCCCACCTGGTATATGGCTAAAATGTACATGGGAGTCTATTGAAGTTGTCTGAATTGCGCGGTTGAATATGATTTCCTGTAGAATGGGAAATACTATTTCTTTTTGAATTAAAAACAATAAAACATTAACTGATAACATTTTCCTTGCAAAATACATCATATAGCAAATTCTATTTAGATAAAATTGAAAGGAACTTAACTTATGATAAATCCATGATGCACAACGGATATGAACCATAACCTAACATGAATCTACAAAAATATACCGCTATGTAATTTACAATTTATATAAAAATAATACTCTGCATAAAACACATTGAAATTAATTTCTGTAAATCTTACAATTTATTAATAACTTAAACCATGAAAATTGTTTTATGTAACAAATAAATAAAAATTTGAATTACCCTATTACTATTACTACCATTTTAATGGCGCGAATTCGAAGGTAACACTCTGCTGTACGTGCCGGAATGGTTCGTGCGAGCGATTAGCATTTTCTGTATATAAGTCGGTAATTTGTTTTTTGATAGTTGTATATATTAATGACTGGTTTTGTATAAACTACTGTAAAAATACAATAATTGAAAGAGGCATCTGGTGAACAAATCACAGGTATATTACTTGTATAAATTTTTGTAGGTTAAACACGTGGTGTGTTTACTTCTGTAACCTCATATCGTATATATTCTTGATATAACGCAACAGTGAGATATTTTATACTTTTTTAGTAATTGTAAAATACAAAAATGTCATTCCGTGGTCGTGGATTTGGAAGAGGAGGCGGAGGAGGAGGCGGTGGTGGATTTAGAGGAAAAGGAGGTGGTTTTCGAGGACGTGGAGGCGGTGGATTCGATAGAGGCGGCAGAGGGTAATTATTTAACTTAATGTTTACTTCCTTAACCCTTTACAATTACAATTATGTTAAAATATATCAGATGGAATATGATTCTGCTTATATTTAAAGGGATTGAACAATTAAATAATTTATACATTGTAGGCACGATCAAGGACCACCAGAAGAAGTGACTCCACTGGGTCACTTTACATGGACAGTTCAAGATGATCTAGTTGCAAAAGTAGATATAGAGCAAGTACCTTTCTTCAATGCTCCAATTTATACAGAAAATAAACAACAAATTGGAAAAATTGATGAAATCTTTGGCAATATCAGAGATTACTATGTCTCTATAAAACTATCAGAGAATATAAAGGCATCTAGTTTTCAAACGGATACACGGGTATATTTCCTTATATCTAGACGTTATTTAATTATAATACATGAGCTAATTATTGTTGTTTTATTTCAGTTATTCATAGATCCAGCAAAGTTATTACCTTTACAAAGATTTCTTCCTAAACCTCCTGGATCAGTACAAAAAAGAGGTGGTGGTGGTCGAGGGATGAAAAGAGGCGGCGGAGGACGCGGAGGTGGCGGACGTGGTGGTGGTGGTGGCCGAGGAGGCGGTAGACCATCGTTTGGACGTGGTGGTTTTGGAAATAAGGGTGGTGTTGGAGGCGGCGGCGGTGGTGGTGGAGGCGGTGGCGGCTTCAGAAATCGTGGTGGAGCAGGATTTGGAAGAGGTCGCGGAAGAGGAAAATGGTAGAAGAACGAAGATTATAATAAACTTTTACATTAAGACATGAAGTAATAATGGTACCTTAATTTGATTGAGAGGACTATAATGTAAATACTTTTAAGTCTCAACTGAAAGGAAATATAAACAATAGTTGATTTATTTTCATTGATACTTATAGAATTATATTTGTAATTTGCATTTTCACAATTATTTCACTACTGTAAATCATTTCCATAGTATGTACAATTATTACATATGTATATCTCCCAAAAATAAAATCTGTCATCTTTTTTACACTTCATCAAATTTAATGTGTTTTCCAAGTTCTTTCTCTGCTTTTTTCAATAATTTGTTCCTTCCCCTCTGTTTGATCTTAACAGTTTTACTTAACTTTTCTTCCCTATCGCGTAAAATTTTATCCCAGTACATTTTTTCTTCCTCACCTATAAAATGACACAAAATGAATGTTATATATGAACACAGATATTTCATCAATTTGTTTACCTTCTAATATTGACATGTGCCGCTCGGTATCAGACTTTTGGGCAAAGGTTTGTGCAGCTTCGTTTGTATCGCATCTTACATATGCAACGTAAGAATCATTTTCAACGTCTATATACTTTACAGAATTATTGCTCTTCAGTTCCATCTGAAAGAATATTAAATATATGCAAAAGATATGTTTATAATAATACTCGAATTATTGTTACATACTTTAAAACTTTTTGGATCTGTACATGGTTTATCCATTTCAATTTTAACTATAACTCCTGGAGAAAATGAAAAACGACATGTACTTGTGTTATCTTGCTTGTTCTTTTTGTCCTTTTCATCGGTTTCTTCTTTGTCAGTTTTATTTTTTTCGTAATTAGACCACTGATTCCACCTTGTCTTCCTTAGATGTTGTTTAAGAAGTTTCATTTTACTTCTTTGTAATTCTAAATACTTATTTCTAAGATGTTTCCAGTCTTTTTTAGCCATCACCTGTAACCCCATACTGTAACTAACATCTTTGATTTTACTTTGCTTCTTCCTCTTTCTTTTTTTCTTATTTTTCTTTGTAATTTTCTCCTCTTCTGTGGCTGGAACTGTGCTATCATCAGTTACCATTTCTTCACACTGATCTGATACTTGCTCTTCATTTATGGATACAGATTTCTTACACTTTATTTTTTTTGGAACACTATCAGCTAAATTGTCACTTTGTTTTTCACTGCTAGATTCCATTTCATCGCTATTCACATCCATAGAATGTTTACTCTTTTTTTTCTTATTTTTTATTGATTCATTATCTGTCTGCTTTTCTGCATCCATGGTTTCAGAAGAATCTAAGTCTTTGTGCTTTCGTTTTTTTGCCTTCTTTTTATTTTTATTTTCATGACTGTCTGAACTAGTATTTTCATTATTGTCTAAAGTAGAAGTAGTATTAGAATCCATAATTGTTGTAGAATCTTCCTTTTCTTCTACAGGTTTATCAATTTCAATATTTTCTGGTTCTTGGTTATCAATAATTTCATTGATACAAGTATTGTTTTCATTGAAATTTATTGGTTTTCCCCGTAATGTCACATCCTTCTCTGCATCATCAAAAGTAGTAATACTTAACAATTCATCAGGGGCAGTATATGAAGGTAAGACAAAGCCTTTTTTTTGAAAAGCCTAAAAAAGTATAAAGTTAGTAGCCTGAAATAATTTGCCTTTCTCTACTTTAAATATGTTCTTCTTACCCTGAGACATTTATTAGCCTCTTCAGGTGCATTGAATTCCACAAATGCAAAACCCTTTATTTTCTTATTTATTTTAAATTTTGGAACAGAAACATATACAACTTGACCATACTGAGAAAATATTGTACTCAGCATTTCATGATCAGCATCTGGAGGCAAATTTTGTACATAAACTGTACAATCATCTATATTTTCTTTCTGTACTATTGGGGTTACTCTACAAACTTTTGTTCCATCTTTGGATAAAGATAATATTGTTGATGCTTGCAAAGCTTTAGTTACCCTATTTACATCAGTAGTTAGTTCCCGTATCTTGTTACAACGCATGAATATCATAAGATCAACATCTAAAAACAAAGAAACTTAAATAAAGTTTGTTCCAATTTAACAGAATATAAATATTGATTAAAAAATTCTTACATGGATCTTCTTTAATTAAATTACTCAAGAACCTGTCTTTATTTAGATTTGCATCGCTAAAGTAAAATTCCATTTGCTTGAGTATTGCAGCATGTAATGCTTTCTTCCTAAGTCTAGGTTTTCCTCGTGAAATACTTGTGACTTTATTAACAGTTTCTATATGGGGTTCTTCTATCGATTTTTGCACCTGAGGAACAGGAACTCTTTCTGAGTCTAGCTCCATATCAGATTGTTGTTCTTCCATCACCATTGTTATTTACAAATTTATTAAGTTAACGTTAAATAAATCTATAACTTCATCTGTTGTCTAACACCTGTAAGTTTATTCCCAATTTTTAAGTGGATGTGAAACTTATTAATATTTACTTTAAAATTATAATTAGATCATACCACACTTTTAATGAAAGTTAAAATTATTAAATCTTTTACCTTCACGATCCGAACTGTAACTATTTCGCGGTCTACAGTTCTTTAGTGCTCGTAAACATAAAGTCTGAAACGATGTATTTTATAGGTGGGTTGGCTAATGATTATCTTGCAAACATTAACATGAGTTTCCACGAAATAGCATAAAATTTATAATTCCAAAACTATTTTACCCTTTGCTTTATAGAAGAAAATACATCTAAAATAAGTTAATAATTATAATTTATCACAAATTGTTTAATATTTTACCAAGCTGTTTTATTCTCCAATCGATTTTGTATACTTTGTACTCTTATATAGTTAGTGGTAACAGTCAGTGACATACCAACATTCAAGTGAACCTACTGAAAAATTTCAAGTCATTCGTTGATTTATATATTTGAAGTTATTCAACAGTTGTTTATTTCAAATAATGGATGATATGGGCATTATTTTGCCTGATAAGGTACATATATTCCTATCTATATTTTTCTTCAATATTTTCAATAAAAAAAGATTCAAGTTTTAGTTAATCTCAACATCATCTGTCATAACCTCATTTTATCTCTGATGTAAATCTTGGTGTGTCATTATTTATTAACACAATTTTGCACATTTTTATTTAACAGTAAATCAGAATTTGTAACTATTTTGTAGGATGTTGGAGAAATGGATTGTAAACCTGTAACTGGACACTATACTGGTGCTGGAGATGAGTTGGACGTTGAAGACTTATATACTAAGTATAAGGTAAATAAATTAATAATTCACATTTAAATATTATTCAATTAAATGTTATAACTGCAACTTTATTGTTTACAGAAATTACAGAGGATGTTAGAATTCCTTGAAGTTCAAGAAGAATATATCAAAGATGAGCAACGTAATTTAAAGAAGGAATATTTACATGCTCAGGAAGAAGTAAAGCGTATACAAAGTGTACCGCTAGTTATTGGTCAATTTTTAGAAGCTGTAGATCAGAATACTGGTATAATTGGTTCTACCACTGGTTCTAATTATTATGTACGAATTTTGTCTACAATTGACAGAGAGTTGTTAAAGCCTTCTGCCAGTGTAGCACTTCATAAGCATAGTAATGCTTTGGTAGATGTCCTACCACCAGAAGCAGATTCTAGTATCTCAATGTTGCAAGCAGGTATACAAGACCATTAGTATTTAATAAAAGTATATTTGGCTGCTTTGTATCAACCATAAAACTCTTTCTATATATTACATTATTCCATAGATGAGAAACCTGATATTCAATACAGTGACATTGGAGGTATGGATATGCAGAAACAAGAAATTAGGGAAGCAGTAGAACTACCTCTTACTCACTTTGAATTATATAAACAAATTGGTATTGATCCCCCAAGGGGTGTATTAATGTATGGTCCACCAGGGTGTGGTAAAACTATGCTTGCAAAAGCTGTAGCCAGACACACTACAGGTAAATATTAAATATAATTGCATATACATATAGCATACACTTTCCAATGACATAAATTAATTTTGTACTATTAATATGTTTCAGCTGCATTCATTCGCGTAGTAGGTTCTGAATTTGTACAAAAATACTTAGGTGAAGGACCAAGGATGGTCAGGGACGTCTTCCGTTTAGCCAAAGAGAATTCACCGGCTATAATTTTCGTCGATGAAATTGATGCTATAGCTACAAAACGATTTGATGCTCAAACAGGGGCAGATCGTGAGGTGCAACGTATTCTTTTAGAACTGCTTAATCAAATGGATGGTTTTGATCAGACTACCAATGTGAAAGTCATAATGGCTACAAATAGGTAACTTATTATGTCTATTGCATTTAAATTACATTGTACATATTGACTGATTCATCTTTATTTTTTTAGGGCGGATACATTAGATCCTGCGCTTTTACGTCCTGGTAGATTGGATCGAAAAATTGAATTCCCCTTACCCGATCGTAGGCAAAAACGATTGATATTCTCAACAATCACTGCCAAAATGAATTTAAGCGAAGAAGTAGATCTCGAAGATTATGTTGCGCGGCCGGATAGGATTTCTGGCGCAGATATTAACGCAATTTGTCAAGAAGCAGGAATGCACGCTGTTCGAGAAAATCGATACATAGTATTAGCGAAAGATTTCGAAAAAGGTTACAAGAACAATATTAAGAAGGACGAATCCGAACACGAATTTTATAAATAAAAAGGAGAAAATACAACTCCTACATGTCCTTTATATTTCATGATCACATATGTATTGCGAGTTCATGTACTACTACGAATCTAATAATATACGTTTACACAAATTTTGTGTTGTTAATTACCATTAGAATCCCATCCTATCTTTAAAAAAAATACCGATACCCATCAATAGCACGCAAAATATTTTGACGTAATTATAGAAATTTTTAACAAGTAGAATGACTTTAAATATTTTTATAATTTGATGTTTGAAGATTATATTTTTTACATAAATTCTTAAAAATTATAATGCGCATATAAAAAATTAGTCATAATTATCGTAGTGTTTTAACCATTAAATAACGAAGATTCATCGCGATGATCGTTCATAATGAAATGTTATAAAATGAAGATGCGTCAGTTTTTAAAATAGAACAGTTTATTTTTTATCAAATATAATAAAACAAGATTAATAAAATAACTAAATAAAAGTAATATATATATATTTTAATTCGTTTAATGTGTCACGCGTTTGTGTGAACTCATATAATCATAACCTAACAACGATAACAGTAAACAATATTTTAAACAAATTTTTTAACATATTTTGAGATCGTTAATTTTTAATGCTATAATAAAACTTTGTTACGATGAATTTACCACGTATATTAATAGTAAGTACTGAAAAGGGGAAAGCAAACGAAATTGCTACAAGTAAGTTGATGTTGATAAATTTAAATACATCTGATACATTAGTCATTTAATAGAAATGTCTGGAGTTTCTAGATTTCTGTATTTTGTAGATGTGGGAGCTGAAAGGTTGTCTAACCAGGATCATTTTGAATATTATTTATGGAACATACAAAACAAGTATTACAAAACACAAGTATTAATATGTGTTACTGAGAATCCTTCGTCAGACATCTCAGTTGATGGGGTAGAGGCTCTTATTATACATCATGATCCTCAAGCAGTAAGATATTTCATTCATAAAAAGAACTTTCATCGAGGCGAATGATTTCTGGCATTAATTTTCTTAGGAAAATGCAGAGCAAAATTTAAAACAGTGGTCATCATTAATTACTTCTTTAGCTGAAGCAGAAGTATTATTATTTTCTTGTAACTTTATAACAGATGTTGTTATTAGAGACAAAGGTACACAAAAATAAGTAGCTATTATGATACTAAATTAAAACATTATATACATTCTTGATGTATTTTAGTGATAAAATGGTGTCTACAAAACAAGTTTGAATTAATTGAATTCAATAGACCCGATGTAGATGCTTCAGAGGCTGATTCAGAATATAATAAATATGGTATCGAAAGGATTATTGAAGCTTTACATGCTCATATGTGGCCTAATATGATACTCAAAGGTTTTCAACTGAAGTTATAAATAAATCTAGATTTTATAATATAGTAGATTTCATAATAAATGAACATCTTCCAAAAAAACTAAGACATTCAAATTTTGCAGGAAAACCATCAAGCATAGATGAACGAAACAATGATATAAATGAAGTTGAAGAACAGTTTGAAAATATTGAATTGAATCAGGAGTCAACAGAAACATTACCAATGGAGAACATGCTAGGTTGGTTAAAATCATACTTGTTAAAAAATTCTATTACAATTTGTAGAAATGAAGCTTTCCAGATGGTATTATGGGAGATGAAAATGCGGACTTTGGTGAATTGTTCAGTCACTTAAGAGCTATGAAGGAGCATGCAGCATCATTGCCAACTAATCAAAGACGAATAGCAGCTGAACAATTAGTCACTGCTTTCTGGAAAGCAATGGGTGGTGATCCATCAGAAATGGAAGATTAATTTGTATGCATCTATATAGATACATGTTAGAAACATAATTATTTACAACACCTTTTTGATGTTAGTTTTTAAAGTAAAATGATAAGGAAATTCATTATCACAGCAGAATCACGAAACGTTTCAAACTACATTTCAATAAAACTATAAAAGTAGCATAAGAATAAAATGGGAAGATGTAGTGTTGCATGTATTCAATGTACTTCAATTTTGCATCGAAATTTTATAGTAAAACTTTGTATGATTTCTTCTACAAACGTTTGGATAAATTTCACGTTTCATTATTATATTTATTGAATAAATTCATACAATCAATGTAAAATAAAATGTTTTAAATTTCGTATTAAATTGTAATCCTCTGGTAAAATGTTATAGTTTTTAATTTATTGACTTTTAAATGTATAATAGTAAAGTGTGAATAAATAATTGTAAATTGTAGAATAATGAAATGGTAAAATATGAAAATAGTAGCATGGTAAAATAGTAGAATAGTATTACAGTGAAATGATAAAACAAGTAAAAAAGAATAAAATAATAGCATGTTCGTATGAGAATAACATTTGTCGCGATAAAAGAATATACAGCTAGACAAACATTATTCGTTTATAATAAAATGAAATAGTAAGATAATTGGTGAGATAAAGCGAATCACGATTTGAATCGGCTTGAATTTTATTTATCCCGCAAATATTGGTATCCTTGTTTTAGTTGTGTAGTCGAATGTGCATAGTTGCCGGCCTGTCGTTTAACTAAAATGTCTGACGCTTTTCTCATAGTTGCCCCGTTTGATTTGGACGAACACACAAATAGAATAGTGGAATTAGAAACGTTCGCACGGCCAAAATATTTGAGGTGCAGCACGCAATATATTTTGTCATTTTTATCGTGGACAACATGTATTCATCGGTTACTTAGTACTCAGAATGGAGTAAGTGATATATCGAACTGACCATAACTATATTCTGTGATATTTAGTTCTCTTTTGATATTTCTTTCGGATTTTCATATATTTTATTAGGTAATGACAGTTTTATACAGTCTCGCTAATAAAATAATTGCGTTTCTTACAACTTTACGAACTACGAACGAAAATCTCTCTGTACTTTACAATCTTGATGAAAACATGATTCGTTGATTTCATTCAATATTTTAATATTTTATCCGTCCACCACATTAATTTTATAACTGCTTTTATGCAGAGAGATAGAAATTATTATTGACGATCGGACGCGTTGTTAATTGCAACTGCGCTGTGTCCTGATAACATTTTTGCGTATATCCGTGCATCCGAATATTTGTATTTAAAATGTATTGTTTGCATTTCATCCGAAAGTAAAGAAAATTAATCACCTTTTTGTTTTTGAACTTTTATATACATTTTTCATAAAAAAGTTCGTAATTTATTCAGACATAAAAGTAAATTATATGTTTCTTGTAATTTTATTTTATAGAATCTGATATAGATATTGAGTATGAACAATAAAACTTTAATTGCATGCATGACAAAATAAGAATTTATCAATGACCAAGACAGACAGATAGTTGAGGTTTTTCAAGGTAAATCTTCATACTGATTTTTTCACTTTTACAGTATCCTGATTTCATTCTTTTCTTTTTTTGTTTCAATATAATTTTATACGTAGAAAAACCGGGAAAGAAACATATTAACACAATGTCGCAATCAGAGGATACTTATGCTCCAGAAGAACCAACATCAGACATTCCGATATCATTGCTTGACATACAAATGCCAGAAACACCAGAAAGTACAAAGGGTCAAGTTAGCGATGGAGACACGCCCAGATTGGAAAGTCCTAAATTACTTAAACCCGTGCTAGGAAAAGTGCAAGCCAAAAAACGGTTGATGGCATTTGCCAATAAGTTCAATGTACTACCAAAAGTTCAGAATAAATCTAACCTTCTTCAGGCGCAACCGGGTAAACTTTCTAAATCTAAGAATAAGTCAAGCGATAATAAATCTTTACAAAATAATTCGAATGCAGGATTAAACGTAGACTCAGACTCTGCTCAACAATTTCATAGTCGCCATTCAAGTGGTAATAAATCAAAAAAGAAAACAGGTATCATTTAATGATCTCAGTTTGCATATTTTTTAATATCAATAAAATGTATTCTTCAATAATTCGATGATACAATTGTACAGAAGAAAAGATACTGGCTATTGAAGAAATTAGACGTGAAGAATCCAAAAGCAAGATGTTATTAGCAGAAGCTATGGCTGCAGGTATTTATTCTGAAAATATTTTAGAATGAAATTAGTTCATTAGTGATAACTACTTCATCTTACAGCTAGTATAGAAGATGAAAACTATGCTAATAGAAATGGACAAAACTTGTTAGAAAATATAAAAAGTATTAGGGAAAGAAGTAGACAGGATGACATCAATAAAAGTGGTTCAAAATCATCCATAGAAAGTAAACGTTCGGAAAGGTATAAAACCGTTCAATTTTTGTTATCTTAAGAACATTTTAACTGTGTTTCATTACTTGTTCACATTTTTTAATGTGCATGGATGATGTACAAAGATTTTTTTAAGGAGGCGATATGGAAAAGAAGAAAGGAGAGACAGTATAAATAGGGAATCAAAAGATTACAATACTGGTAAAGAAAGATATTACAGACTCTCTCATAACAGGGAACACCATAAAAAAGATAGAGAGGGAAAGAAAGATGATAAAGAAAAACGGGACGACGGTAACAAGTACGAAGAAAATCGAGACAAAAAGGAAGATGAGAAAGATAAAAAAGATAATGACAGGGAGAAATGGGAAGATATAAAGGATAAGAAGGGAATGAAAGAAAAGAGAGAAAGTTTTAGGGAAAAGAGAAGTGATTCGCGAGAAGGAACTGTTGAAGTTAAAGACAGGAAAGAAAAAGAGAAGGAGAGGGATAGGGGAAAAGAAAGAGATATATTAAATTCTTCTTCGTGGATAGAATTAAAACAGTGTGGCATAACGATGCATGATATTATCGATGTCAGAAGGCGCGATCCCACGGATCGATTATCAAAGAATAGGTTTGTAAGGATATGTAACTACACCTTACGTACTTGTTTCTCATTTATCAAACAGATAGTGTAAAAAGAAAAATGTATTACAGAACAGCCGAGGATTATTTACGTCATTTTGAACAAATGTTAATGTTGAATGATCATCGCCTGAGACGATATGCTTTTGTTGCCGAAGGACTTGACGGACCTAAAGAATATCCTCCGGAATCGATAAGAATAACTAAAAGAGGAAGGCCTCAAATATTTTATTCAGAGAATCCCCGAATGTCTTTCTTTCTTAATCGTCAACAAGTTCTTCAAGCAGTGAACACTGATCGCCGGGAAAAGATGCGAGAGATATGCGAAGCAGATTTTATACGGTATATCAAAATGTTCTTTTTTTCTTCAATTTTCCTTTACCCATTCAGATCCTAACGATTCTAGAGATAATGCAGAAGAAGCGGAGCACCATCAACAAACGCGTGATTGGTATCCGAAAGCAGGCATTTGTACGACTACTGATAAAACAAAGTGGCACGTACCCATTAACGTACAGCTTCCCAAGTCAAAATGGGACAGTGAAGATGAAGATAGGTTTACCAACGATACTGCCAAAGAACAGGGGGACGAAGCGAAATCGGGTGACATCGAATCAGAACAGGGTATAAATTTATATATTGTATTTTGACCTTTTATAATATCTATAAAAGACTTTTGAGAAATCGTTCTACTTTTATGGCTAAAAAATGAAGCTATTTTTAGGGATTTTTTTCTTAGCGAATACATATGTAATGAAATAAATCTTTGTAGCATGTATTGAACTATTTATTAAATAGTATCAAAAAACTGCAAAAATAATTTTATTATATTTTGTTTTGTTTTTTCTTAGTATGAAAATGGCATCTCAAAAAAAGGTATTTCTATATGGTGCAAGTGATTTCTCAGCTCATAGGGGAGCATACGACCCGTAAAACACAGATAGCAGATTCAAAAAGTAATAATTTTGCAAAATTGTGCGTACTTTCTTGAAGTAAGCTAGCTTTGTTAACATAAAGAGTTATAATTGAGATTTTCAAGTTTTAAACCATACATAGAAAAATTCATTACAATATTATTTATCAGCATGCAAAAGCTTATTAAAGTCTGAAGAGAATACTTGAGGTGGTTTTTTTGTGAGAATAAAATCCCTAAATATAGCTTAGCATTTTAATCATAGAAATAGAATGATTCTTCAGTGTACTACATTTGTTTCAGACCAAGAAACCTTTTCTCCACGGTCGAATGTAACAAAGGAGACTATTGATACTGATAAGAAAATTATTGACGAAGAAAACAAATCTTCCAGCACCAAAGAAGCGAACGAAAATAGACAATCACCATCTCCTACGCCATCTTCAGCGGGCAACGAGAAGTTAGCATCAGAGTACGAGCAGTTCATGAAGATGGTTTGCAATGACATTCCTGTAAAAGACTTCTCGCCAAAATCGGTACCATCTAAAGCATCTACATCAACGCTGAGTTACCACGAATTCAACATAGAAACTAATTTGCCAGAAGACAACAATTTCTCATTCATGGATCACAGTGTACCAGGAAGGTCTGATAAGATTGATATGAATCAGGAGGAAGAGAAACTTGGTAATAACGACAGTCAACAGAACCTGGATAAAGTTTCCAAGGACGAAGAGGAAGAAATATCTTCGAACAGCAGTCATAGTCAAGAATGTACAAAAGCAGAGGATGAAGAGAAGGCGGAGAAAAGTGGATCGGAAGATTCAAAATCGATACCTAGTGATTGGGAAAATGTTCGAATCAAGGTGGAACGTTTGAGCGATGAAAATTCTGATACCAGAGAGACGAGGAAGAAGCGAAAGCGAAAGAAAATGACCTCCAGCAGCGAATCATCCAGCACCTCCAGTTCCTCCGACTCCGAGGAAGAAGTCAAACGGAAGAAGAAAAAACAAAAGTCATCTAAAGATTCGGATTCGTATTCGGACTCGGATAGTAGCGAAAGCAGCAGCAGCTCTAGCAGTGATTCTTCCAGTTCCGATGACAAGCGGAAGAAAAGGAGAAAGAAGAAACGGAAAGCTGAGAAGAGAAAGAAGAAAGCGAAAAAAATAGCGAAGGCGAAAAAGAAGCGGAGAAGAAAAGTAAGTTCCGATTCGAGTAGCAGTGATTCTGACACTAGGAAGAAGAAGAAAACAGCGAGTAAGAAATCGAAAAAGAAGAAAGAACGCAGCAATAAACAAGACGAAAACGAAGATATAGGAAAAACTATACAGAAGTCTCCTCTAGAATCTTTGACACCGGAAAGTACAAAGTTATGCTCCCAGGTTCCGACCAAGAAAATCAAAGAAGAAGTTAAGGTAGAATCTAGAAAAAGATCAACCGAGAAACATGACATGTGGAGTCAGGAACAAGAATTAGTACGAAAGGTGATCTCAGATAACGATGTCTGTAATAAAAGCCACAAGGATGAAGAAAAAAGAGGTAAGAGTGACGAGGAGTACTTGGAAGAATGGGACATGGATTCTGTGATCATGCCGCAGCAAAAGGGACAAAAGATATTGAGAGGTAATGTCGAGAAGATAGAGAATACTGAAATAGAAAATATTAGAAAGATAGAAAGGAAAGATGAACGAAGTAAAAAAGAAGAACGAATTAAAAAGGATGAACGTTTCAAAGAGAAGTGTCCTTCTGAAGTTATACAAGAAAGTCTGAAGATGGATGATGACAGTGATATGAAGAAGAAGAAGAAAAAGGATAAAGAGAAAAAGAGCAGTAATGAATTTCTCGCTGATTGGGAGAAAGAGAGCGAACGAATGTCGCAGCAGATGATGCAGGATGAGATGAAGCATTCTAAAAAGTTGGATAAACAGAAGAAGGATAAATGGGGAGAAACCGAATTTGATACTTTGAATGTACCATCTTTGACACAGCTTGAGAGGGAGGTAAGTAAGAGACAGTTGTTGGCGGATGACTGGGAGGTTGATAGTTTAGAAGCCGTACCAGATTTGTTGCTCAATAAAAAGAAGTCTACACGTACTTCAAAGAAACTAGAGAAAGAGGTTAGATATGATAAAAAAACAGACACGTACATTGCTATAGAGAAAGAGACTCTGAGAGAATGTAAGAAGAGACAGGATAGACTGTCTGCAATGAGAATTTGGGAAGAGGAGCAAGAGGAAGGAGAGAGAGAAGCTATGATTATGGAGCAAAAGAAGAAACAGAAGAAAAACGAGTGGGACATTGAAGAGGAATCATTTTTGTTGAATAAGAACGATAAAAAGGAATGCATTGAAAAAGATGTTTCTACGATGGACAGTATTCACAAAGAAGTAAGTGCTATCAGCAAGGATATAGGTACACCAATGAAGCTTGACTCTATGTCTGCTAAAAGGAGTAAGAAGAGTCGCTGGGACATAGCATCACAGTCTGAGGAAAAGATAGAACTTAAAGCTCCTGTTATGTGGGAAGAAGAATGTGCTGAATGGACTAAAATAAACAAATTTGAACGTAAAGTGGATAGAGTTTCATTAGAACATTGTGAGTCTATGCTACCAAAAACCAAAATAAAGGATGAGAATATTTGCATGGTTGATCAGCAATCCAGGAAATCTCTGTCTAAAAATTCATCAAGCTCAGATATTATTGATTTGTTTTCAAGAAAGTCTCAGGATGTAGATTTGTCAAACTCTTCTTGGACACTAGAAGAACAATCGAGGAACAAGACACGAATGAGAAGTTTGGAAAACAGTTCTCAAAGAGATTCATTTTTTAATGAAGCGAAAGAAGAAGCAGTATCAGTTATAAATGAACAACCTATTGCTGATCAGTTGAAAGACATATTTGAAATGGATGTAAAATTGATGAAAAAGAATATTGAATTGTACAGTCCCAGTTCTCCTGCACCTTCTCATAAGTCTGAGGTATGTTTGTTTTTAATTAGACGAAAGTCTATTAATATTAAAACAATATATTTTTAGTCTCAAATGTTTTGTTAATATTTTTTACTTTTCAGGATATTGAAGCTTTTGATAACAGTCACTCAAATTCATCAAATCTCAGAGATGACTTGTCTTATACCCCAAAGAAAGAATCTCTAATCAAATCTGATGAAGAATCCATTCCCAATATTCCTCTTCAAATAAAGTACAGAGATAGCAAATACATGAAGTCTACCATAACAAAAGAAGACTTCGAAGAAATCATGGGATCACAAACGGAGAAAGAAGCACCTCAACAAAAATTCGATGTGAAAAGCTCAGACCCCTCGCTTGATCTTTCAATGAATGAACCATATCCCGATTCAAACAGTTACAAATCGTTAAGAATGGACATATTTGCAGAATATGAATCTGACGAGTCACGTAATAGGTTGAGTAACAAGAGTTCTGAAGTAGCTCCTGCTAGTAGTACAAAATCAGTGGAAGGATCCGAAGAATCCGCCGAAAGCAAAGCAGCTCTTAAACTAATCCCTAAACAGCTATTAGTTAGACGAAACAATGAACGTCCAAAAACAAAATTGATCTCTGACGACCCCATGCAACATGCTGCAGCTCTTTTAACTATTCAGAAAAAACTTCGAGAGTCACATGCTATGAGGAATGACATTAGTGCATCCTGTGGAGAATCTTCAAACGACTTCAAGATCGAATGTGAGCAAATGATAAGTACCGACACATCTGCAGCTGACATTGCTCCTGTACAACAGGCCATTGTCACGGAAGTGGATTCCAAACATTTATCGATAACACTAAAGACAACGATCGCGACGAAAGCAGAACTGCCAGCCACAGTAAAACTTTTTGATCACGTTGAAGAGTATAGATCGGAGGAGAAGATCGAAGCCAAACCAGAGGAGCTGAAGAAACCTAAAATCTCTAGTATTAAGGACACCAGTGATACCGAAGGACAGGCAAGGTCACCCTGTAGGGACCAAAGAAGAAAAAGTCCTAGTAGGAAAGAAAATAGGGACGATAAACGAACTACTGATCGCGGTAAAAAGGATAAGAAATACGAGGATAGGGAAAGGAATGATAGGAAGGATGGTAGGAGCTCGAGGCAAGAATACAGCGAAAGAAGAAGGTCTAGTCCTTCGGGTAGTCGTAAAAGAAGAAGAAGCGTGAGTCCTAGAAGCTCGTGGGAACATGAGAGAAGCCGTAGTGAGAGTCACAGTCGCAGTTGGAGCAGAAGTAGGAGTAAAAGTCCGAAGAGGAAAGATGAGTCGTTTGCTTCTTCGAGTAGGGAGAAACGACCAAACCGAATCGATGACGAAAGGGGTGGTAGATCTAGAACCGACGACAGAAGGGAAAAATCTACGCGAAGTCCTACTCGGTTCAACGTTACTCCGTATAATAAAGGTATAATGAAGACTGAAGATTAAAAAGTTATTATATAATAACAATCTTTTACTCATGTAAAATTTTATATTTGCAGATCATTTTAAAAAGCACGGATCTACTAAAGGAGACCGTGATGATTGGAACAGAAGGAAATACGACAGCGTGGAAAGAGAAAAAGAAGGAAAATCGTACGAGTTACTAGATGTGTTACGAGAAAGAAACGTAGAATCTGAGAGACATAGGGAGAACAGATTTCGCGGGGACGAGACAGATCGTGCATTCTGGCCATATGAATCGGAGAATATGTTGCGAGACGCAAACGAATCTCCGGATTCGTATCCCAACGGTGGTCAAGATTTAGATCTTGAGTACGAAGAGAAAATGTATTATAGGGACGAGAGTATCGAAAGAGAGATCTTAGAAGGCCCACTTCGTTCTGTATCAAAATTCAAACACAGGTAACACTATAACATTACTATTGAAATCTCTTCATTAATATATTGAGTGCCACATCAATAATTATAAGCACTAATCTGTTCATATCGCTTTAAAAGGAAAAGTAGATCCACCGTGAGAAGAGACAGACAATGGGAAAAGGACAGGGACTCGTTGGATTTGGACAGACACGTACATGTTCGGAGACCGGACAAACTACAACCCTCGAGAAATCGTTCATCACCTCGGCCAAGACGATCATCACCTAGGTCGTCACACGACCGTTTCAGACGTGCATCTAGATCGCGATCAAGATCCTGGTCGAAATCGAGATCTCGATCCAGATCAAGGTCCAGGTCCAGATCTCGATCACGTTCCCGATCAACGTCCAGATCACGATCCATGTTACGATCGAGATCCAGGTCCAGGTCGGGATCACGATCGAGGACAAGGTCCACCTCGAGGTCTGGAATGAGGAGTCCTGATCATTCGAGGACCACTGAACGATTACGATCTTCCAGGTGAACAATGCATGAATTTATTTTATTGTCAAGTACTCGGTTGAGATTGTCGATAAACAATTTTAATGTGGATTCAGATCACCCTCTGTGGGACGAGGTAGAATCAGCGAAACTTCGAGGGAAAGGAAGGATGAACACGACAGTATGAAACTAGATAGTTGCGGTGAAAGAGGTAGACGCATCGAGACAATCGTGCAGTCTGGGTTACCTAGGGACTCGACTGTGTTAGACTCAGATCTGCACCTCGGTGACAATATGGAGTCGGTTGCCTCGAGTTTCCAATATTCCAACGAGACCGAAGTTGGAAACGAGTATTATTATACTGAGAATAATTTGACTTATCCTCCGTGTATCGATGACTCGACTACGAGTTCACCGAAACGTTTGTCTCTCGACGATAGGTAATTCTAATTCTAATTCGTGTTTATTAATCTGATCCTAGCTACCCTTCCTTTCCACGGTTTCCTGAACCGTCTTGTAGTGGCTATTGGGCACAACGTAGGCTAAACTTGACAATTTTTTAATCATCAAACATTTATATTTACAATTTTCTTTGTTTCTGAAGTATCAAATATCCAGGATCTCCAAATCCTTAGATCCTGAAATTTCTAAACCCTCAAATATAAAGATATCTCTAAATCCCAAAGTTCCCAAATCTGAAGTATATATATATATTTTATTAGGACACTCTGCATATACTACATTTGTCATTAAATTTGCTATTTGTTTATTGTAGGTTGGAGCTCGAGTTAGGAATCAAGAAGCAACAAGATAGTGCAGGAGTGTCGAGTGAGTATGGTGACAACTTCAATTCCAACGTATGCTACCCATCACCAACACAACAACAACAGATGCTCTATCGCCAACAACCTACTGTTCTACAAGTATGTTCATTGCAAATCACGTAGGAAAATCCAGTATGACAAGGAACTCCAAAAAATCTATTTAATTCTACAACTTTAAGCTTAACCAGTATAATGAAAACGCTAAATATTCTACAGGTAGGTAACGTGTTACAAGTGGTGCCTGCAGACTTCAACGGTGTTCCAGCAGCGCGTAGAGAACCGGCTAGTGCCCCGGCAACTCCAGTTGTGCGAGGTTCTAGCCAAGTAGTGCGCGTAGGTAATGTTCTTCAAGTTGTACCAACGTCGTTGGACTGGAGCGGTGGACAGTCGTCGACAGTTGATCAGTCAGGAGGAATGATGTACTCCGCGACAGTCCCTCAACCTTCTCCAGTTCCTTCAGTCCCTATATCCGTACCTGTTCCAGTTCCTGTCCCCATGCCTGTGCCAGCAGTACCACCCGCAATGTCTTCGTCCACTCCTGTTGCTACTTTGTCTCCTGTCCCATTACCTCTTTCCGTACCTGTACCAGTACCTGGTCCGGTGTCTCTTCCAGTAGCACAGACGACGTTCCCGAGGACGGAAGTTACGCCACAAAGTAAGCAATTAGATGGTTCATATTATGTACATTACTGATATAACTCATGGCAATGTAACACGAGACTATTGTAATAGTTTACAATGATAGTTTAAAAATAATTATTGTACAGAAATACCAGCTCAACCGGTGTACAATTATGAAGCCATCCTGGAGACGCGTCGAAAGGAGCGAGAAGAACGGAAGCGACTACGTGAAATTAAACGAAAGGAGAAAGAACGTAGACGGATAGAACGAATAAACCGACGGGCCCTACGATTGTTAGAGAAGAACAACTTGCGTCAGACAGAAAACACGAGTCAACAGCAAACTTCAGGTTTAGATCCGTCTGTTCTGAAAGCGTTGAGGGAAACTGAAGAGCAAGTTGACGCGGGAGAGCAGTCTTCTTCGACGGTTACCGAGAAAGAAGAAGAAACACCGATCGCAGTCCCTATTTCTGTTTCTACGGAAGAAGGAGCAGCAGGTGATGACGACGAGGAGGAAGAAGAAGAGGAGGAGGCAGAAGTAGAAGATGACGAGGAAGATGAAGAGGAAGTAGAGGAAGATGAAGAAGAGGATGAGGAGGATGAAGAGAAGTCTTCGTTGCGAGTAAATAGTCGGCGGAGTGAAGTCGACGACATTGCTGGCACCAGTATAATTGAAATAAACAAGGTTCAAGTTGAAATAGAGTCTAAAGAGTGGTTAGAGTTACCACCGGCACCTATAAAGGGAATCTTAGTTGCGTCAGGTTTCAGGTATATACTTTGTGCTTTCATAAACTGTTCTTTCACATATTATCATTTAAACAAGGTGTATTGGGATGTTTAAAAATTTAGATATATGAGGACATATTTATATTTCATGGTACAAATAATTATTTAATATTTCAGAAGAAGCTCCATCGCCAACGGTAATCTGGACGACACTTCTACTCCCGAAAACGAAAGCGACGACAATACGGACAAAGAGGTTACAGAAGTAGACAAAGTCAGTGAATCTAATAAAAACGAAGTCGGTGAAAATAAGTCTAAATCGAAAGGTCAAGCCAAAACAAAATCAAAATCAACGAAATCTAGTAAGTGGAAACAGAGAAATAAAAAGTCTGTACAATTCGCGGACGGAATCAAACCTGGAGAAGGTACTAGTCCTAGTGGTGGCGAAGGAGACATGCCTTCTCCTCCACCTCCTTCGTCGACAGTTACTCGCGTTGGTATTCGTGATATTCGAAGACCAAGTTCTAGGAAAAGCAGGAAACAGGAGAAACGGACACGACCTCCTAAAGCAAAGAAAAAAGTGAAGGTCGATTATCTTCCGATATAAAATTATCGCTATATAATTTTTAAAGTCTAACGAGTTTTTTATTTTATAGGTGAAGATTATAAAATTGAAGAAACCTCGTGTGACACCACTGACTGCTATGATGATGGACGACTCGGACGAATTAGACGACCGTTCTCCACCACCACCGCCACCTGGTTCTCCTCCGCCTCCACATCTTTGGCCAAGCTATCTTTCTGCTTACAATTCTACTGCTCGTACCAGTGAAGCTCAATCAGCGACGCCTACAAATTCTAATACCGTTCAAGCTCCACCACCACCTACGCCACTGCCTCTTTTAGTTCCTCCACCCCCTCTGAACTATACCATACAACCCTGCAGCAAGGCGTAAAGTGGTTTTTGTTTTGTATTTTAGATCAGTGATGGGCCATTACAATTATATACGACGTGCACTCATGGACACTGATGAGTGTAAAGTAGACTCTATATTGCCATAGATAGGACCGTAGCAATAGACAATTCTTGGAATTGGATATGTCGACAGAGATTCTTGCAGTGCTTGAGTTTAAAAATCTTTTAAATGTTTGCATACCTCATCCCTGCCCGCTCCGTGCACGCCTGTGCCCATCTACGGACACTTAACCCGTCCATCACTGTTTTAAATAAATCATTCTACGCTATTGTGTAGAATCTTAGATTAAGTTTATCAAGTGAACAATAAGCGACCATTTATTTCTCTGTTGAGAAAGGAAACTCGTAAACAACGTAATGCGTAAAGGCTTCATAGATTTCAGAAAACACGAAATCATTGAAACCTCACGTGGTGGGACTTTAGGAAAAGTAATGTATTATTTTGTTAGCGACAAATCATTGACTGTTTGCTCTTTTTGTAAATAGCTTTATTCTTCCCGACACGATCATTGTCGCTGTCGAAATGGGAAAAGAGTTCGTGTATACAAATGTTCCATTGCATCCATGTCTCGACAAATTCGCGTTGCGTTTATATATTTTTCGATACAAAGAAAGAAAAAAGAAAGACACGAAGAGAGATCAGATACAATGGAAAATTGTAACGCATGACACGAATGTAATTTATAGGGACTTGAGAACTCGAAGATCAAGTTGTTAATAGCGATTACATTGTTGAAGATGTAAGGTATTCATAAAAGGTGAATTTATCATTTGTATATTTTACTTTTGTAGTTCAATGTAATCGATACCGATTGTCTTCAATTAAGACATAGTTTAAGATGGGTCTTGATGCAATTTTTCTCTCTGACGTTTAATTTTTTAATTACTCAAGCTCATTTACGAAAACGAAGGTTGTACATACTCGGGTATAGATGTGATTAGAACAAAATTTCATAATAATCGATGATGAAAAACAAGGCAAATAATAAATATGAAGATGAAGCTGAGCTTGATCAACTATTCTCTCAAAATTATTATACTCGTTGTACATAATCTCGATCGATCATTGTTTATTCATATATCATTTCTTTTTACTCCGCGGATACCTGTCCTTTAAAACGATATTTCTCGTTTTCAACGAGGAATGTTAAACTGCCCATGCTATCTGAATTCCCATAACATTTTGAAAGATACCAATTTATAACAAATAAAACATGATTCTTTTAATAAAGCTCGTGTTTCATTTTAATCCACGTAACACGTCATCAACAATATAATAAGAAGAGTTCATTCAGTGGAGATAAGAGTTGTTTTTATCAACATAAAAGTATTGTTCTGTAGTGTAGTTATTCTTGAAGATTAACAGCCAGAAGTGTTATATCACTCTTTTATTTACTTTACTCAATTGCAAACGGTTTGTCAATTGTAGAAGCAGAAAAATGAAAGTGGCAATTGTTGGAGGTGGAATAATTGGTTTGACAACAGCGTTGCAACTACAGGATGAATTACGTAACGCTGAAGTTACAGTTTTTGCTTCTGATTTCGATAACAATGTCAGCCATGTGGCTGCTGGATTGTTCAGAATTGGTTCTTCGTACTCTGGACCGACTGAAAAGATAACGAAGTATCTAGATAACATTCTTCGTCTAATTTTAATTAAACGTTTGCATTCAAATAAACTTCGTTTTTAGAGAATGGATACGAAATTCGTATGAGTATTATGATGACATCAGAAAGAGTCATGAGGCTTCACTTGCTGGTGTAACCGCTATTTCTGGTTACATGTTTGCTAATTCCTCGCCAGAAACGGTTAAGGTTAGTTTTTCAAAAATAAATTTTATTTTATAGCACTATGAGTAGGTCAGTGCTGAAAGGATATCAATAACGTACCCTTAAAAAAAGATACTCTAAGAATTGTTCTGTAGGTATTTTCTTATTTTATCACAGAGTTATTGGATTGAAGATTTAGTACCACTATATAGGAGAGCCTCAGATGAAGAATTTGATTTGGTTGGGGGTAATTGGAAATATGGATCTTTCTTCACAACTCTTCTCACTGAATGTAGACAGCATCTCCCATGGGCCCGCAAGAAGTAACAAACTCTTAAGTGATATTGCTTTTTAAAAGGCATTAAATTATTAAACAAATTTATTCTTACAGACTACAAGAAAATGGAACCAAACTCACAGTTAGGAAATTAAATTCTTTAAAAGAACTTGCCACAGATTGGGATTTGATTTTTAATTGTACAGGTCTTGGTGCCAGATCTCTGTGTAATGATAGATGCATGGTTTCTATGAGAGGTCAAGTACTCAAAGTACGTTTCTTGCAATAGAGAATTTGTTTGACATTATATGCAATTTGATTTGAAAATCTTAAACTAAAAACACAGGTAAAAGCACCATGGATGAAAACATTCTTCTATGGGGAAGTAGACACGTATATTATACCTGGCTTTAACAGTATTGTTACACTTGGTGGTTCAAGAAACTTTGATTCTGAAAATATGAAAGTTTGTCCTTACGAGTCTGCAGCAATTCGAGAAAGATGCCAGACCCTTGTCCCAGCTCTTAAGAAAGCGGAGATCGTAAGGGAAGAAGTTGGCTTGCGACCACACAGAACAAATAACGTTAGAGTAGAAGCTGAATGGATTACAAATGGAGTTTCTAAAGCCATTGTTAGTTTTAAACAAATTTATTTCGATAAATTCGTTAAGATTCCATCGTTGATGAAATATTTTGTGTTACAGTTAGTACACAATTATGGACATGGAGGATATGGAGTATGCACCGCTCCTGGGACTGTGAAGTATGCCATTCATTTGGCAAAGGAAATGCACAAGTTTTCTGTTGCAAAACTTTGAATATTGTAATATTAACTGAGATTATTAACCTAATTAGATTTGTTTATTATTAACGAATTTACACAAGCAAATCGTTAACATGAACTAATACTGCGTGGTATTATTGACGTATAACGTACTCTACCTACACTTTCAGACTGTAGTTACGCATTAAAGCTAAAATATCTTAAATAAAGGTAAAATAATTTGTTCATTTTCAACAAATACATGGTATTTTGAGTCCAGTATATTCCACTTCTTTCTTTCACAGTATACTGTAAAAAAAGCAGAACTATAAGAAAAATCCTGAAACGTCTCCCATTACTTCTGTGCTCCGAAATAGTAACGAAGCCTATGAATCAACGTCTTCGCTTCTGCTACTTTCCAAACAGATACGAGATTTTACACGTTTACTATGCATACTAGTGGAAACTGTAATGCATCATTGGAAGGTCGTTTAACGAATTCGAGAACATTCGTTGCGAACTATCATGTAGAACTGCTTGCCAAGTGTTTATCAAACACGTTAAATCGTGAATTTCACGATGACGAAAACCACCGAATGAAAACCATTCTTTTTATTTCCTGCTACTTCTTGCCCGGTTTCACGTTCTTTCGAGGTGGAGCACCCCATCTGAGTGCGCTGCTGTCCACCGTCAGTCTTGGTCTTTTATACTGACTACTTTTTATGTGTTCTTCAACTAGTTTAGGTGTTACGCAGATTACGTGTTGTCCCTTCCAATATTTGACCATATTCATACTCTGCAGCGTTGATATAATGTCCGTTTGCGAGATGCTTGTCATCTGGCTACACATTATGAATATAATTACTTAGTTTTATTAAATTTGTTTAAAGTTTTAATGCTATACATACGTGATTATATATTGTTACCTTAAATCTTTTATGCTAAGCGTTCCACGAAAATCTCTGAGAATTTCTAAAAGAATCCAGCTCCAGTAGCTTCTATATGATAATTTTCCCAAGTCACTTAATGGTTTCTCAGGACTACCGACAGTCTGTTCTATTCTGCTTAATTCATAACTAAAAGCAATTAGTAACTTTCCATAGCCTTGTCTTTGAAATGGTGGTAGAGTTAATATGCAAGCAACATTATTGCCATCGGGAGATTCTTTTTCCTGTAAATTAATTACATAGAATAAAGAGATGCAAATTATAAATCCAATTATAAACGAATTAAATTAAGAATAATACCTTTGAAAAGTAACCAACTAAATGAGCTCCATGTTTATCAACCTCACAGAGAATGTAAAATAGAAATGGCTCAACATCAAAATAAAGGGTTTTATGATCCAAAAATAACTTTGCTAATAAGCATAAGTTTTGACAATAAATTTTGTGTTCTCTACCATCTACTTCCCAAATACTTAATGTGCCTTTGCGGTATATCTCTTTTCCAACTGGTTGTCTGTGAGTGCATTCGCTCTATAATCAAAATATATAAGTAATAAATCCAACTAACAACAATTAAACATATCAAAAAAATTTTCCTTACCATGTGATACCTGTATGTCTTTTCCAGACGCATGTACTTTAAACAATATTCACAAATCCATAATTTAGGTTGTTTGCCATATTCTTCTGGGTAAGGACTGAAGTACCAAGTATCAATTTCATACTTGCCTAGAAGGGAACTTTTGAAAATAATGAGACCTTTTTCACGCATGAGGTTCAATAGCAAAAAATGCAGGTTAATACTCACCAATTTGAATTTTATCAATGTACTTCACTTTTGTTATTGCTTCATGTTCTTTTTCTAAAGCAGCAGTTGTTGGATCCATTTCTGCATATGTCTATAATAAAAGAAGATAACAACTTACATTAATAAATATGTCTCCTTAATATATTCATAAAATTTAAACTTTGCTCATAGATAAGCAGCTTAGTGTCACATGTTATTTCATAAAAGTATTTTTAGAATACATACTTTCTGAATATGATTAATTTCATCATGTCTTCTCTTTTGATTTCTTGTAATTTTGCGATCTGAAGAATCTGCTAATAAATCAGTACCAGAATTTCTGTCCCCACTCTTCCAACTTCTATCACTCATATCAAATCTACTAGACATAATTCTGTCTCTTGGTACCCACTCATCCAGTCTTCTGTTGTGACCTTCATAGTGTACATAATATTCATAATGACTTTCACTTTCATTGTATCGGGTTTGAATAATCTCTGCTGGATCTATGAAAAAAATTAAAGAGAAAAAAAATTTTTTTTTATTTCATTTACAAACATCCATATACTTTTAATACCCAACTGAACATTTACATGTTTTACAATGTACAAATTTTCAAATTTTCAAATCGCCAAATTTTTTAATTTACAAATTCAAAAATTTACGTTCAATCTATTATTGTCAATATTTCAGTGCTGTCAACAAATATTGAAAACTCTGAAGTACATCATATCGATATACATGTATATTGATCGTCTGAGGTCTCCATAATGTTTTCAAAACAAATGAATAGTTTATCAAGGCAAAGCCGGCAATACAAATACAAATATAAAACCGCGAAAAAAGCGCGCGGATAATTGTTCATTAATTTTAAATGCTTCTAAACATATAATTGAAGAAAAAGAATTAGAATCATTTTTATGGTATATTTACGCCAAGAATCATCGGATCTGCGAACAAGATAATGTTCGCCTATATCAAGAGGCAGTTCTTCGAGACTGTCCGCGTCATCGCCGGATCCCTTCCCGCCATTCGTCAACGTGTTCTCACGTTTTTCTTGCTTCACCATCGTTTCCTTCGACCCTGCGATACAATTCTCTTTATTTCTCTGCTCCGACTCAGCCATTTTTCGCGGTAAAATCACTGGTAAACGAAACGATATTCGCCACCGCAAAATTTCTGCAAATAGATGAACATTGCACTCGCTGATGCAACGCGACTAATACGGCCATGAAATTCTCCACGGCATACATTATACGTATACACAAAAGTAACTAGACCGTACAGGGCACATATACCGGAAGTGACGATTATTTTTCAAAGTATCAAGTGAAGTTGTACTCGAATACATTTATGTTATTCGTTTCGCGGTAGATCATTGTCAATTCGCGCATCTCGGCTCACTTCAATAGGCTCTCCACCATCTGACGCTGTTACACTGCCATAGGCTTATCGCTTTGTCGTTCATGTACATGGTGAACAACAATATGCGAATAGGAATAATTTTATACATATAAAGAGTATACAAAGCAAAAGATCACTGGGTATATATGTTCAGCTTTACAAATATCGCAAAGTACGCATGTGCGCTCCTTTTGATTTAAAAAGCATATTCGAAGCAATCACGGCTGAGGTGCGCAGAATGAATAAAAACTCGTTGTGTGATAAGCACGATCTTCCATGGTACGAATACGTAATATACGTTTTTCTACTCGTTATGCTCTGTTTTCAAATATTTTCACTCTAATTTAACAACTGATCACTTTGCATGATCAATAAAAAAAATGACGTTTGTTATGAATTTATTATTTATCGGTTAAATCAAAATCTTAAAAATATTAATAACAAACAATGAAACATTTCATTGTTTCCCGTTATAGTGAATTGCACTGCATTTTGTAAATATCGATTTCTTTCAAACAAAGCATGATTCAAAAGAAATATACGTGCAATAGTTTGTTTTTTTTAACTGTGTATGGAATGTCGAACCATACGTTTGTTCACTGTGAAATTTCTCAAATTATTTAACGGGAAAGTCACTATCATGTAATCGACAAATCTGCTTCTCAGGGTTGTATAACCTCTGGTTAATTAGATTATTACCTGCTATGGAAAAATGAGATCGTGTCAACGATCTTTTACGCTTTAAACGATATGCTGGAGACTGTATTTATCTATTTTGATGATAAGATAACCAATGTTAACGAACGACTTCAGAAATCTTCGAAATGTTACGACGAAATAGGTAAAGTGGATTTATTATGTCATTGTTGAAATGTATACTACTTCTATATGAAGCATTAAAAGATTCAGCATTATAAATTTAAGTGAAACTTATTTGCATAATAAACTGTTCTTATGTATTGTACCATGCAGATTGAAGAATAGAGCAACTGTGATTGGTCTCATAATAGTGGCAACTGTAATTTATAATGAATTCTTAATCTATGACATACAAAGATTAAAATGGTCCTTGCGAGAATGTTCAGAGTGTGTCAAAATACTGCTTGTTGCAGACCCACAGATACTGGGTGAAAAAAATGAAAATTATTTTGGTTCTTGGATAGCGCAATGGGATAGTGACAAGTATGAGTAATAGTTATTTTGTCTTGAATTAACGCCTTCACAACCTAAGCTTGAGGCATACTCTCCACTTGTAGCATTCATAATAGTGCATCTAACACGTGTGGATCATAAATTATACACGGATCAGACGATTTATAAACAGAGTATGCTGAATTGCATATGAATCAAAGGACTGTGAACGTGTTAACAATATCAAAATTCTATCACATTATACTCTGTGTAAACATTGATCTGAATTTTGTTCCACAGTGTCTTATTTCCAGGTACTTGAAGAAAACATTCTCGAGAGCTTTGGCTCATTCCAGTCCTCATGTTGTTGCATTTTTGGGAGACCTCATGGATGAGGGTCATATTGCTAGTGCAGAAACTTTTAAAGCTTACAAAACAAGATTAGATTCTATCTTTGAAATGCCTGATGATATAATGGTATAATTGTAGCTACTTTAAAATTTCTTTGACATATATTATTATCTATATTATGTTTTCTCTTTGTCAGAAAATTTATCTACCAGGTGACAATGATATTGGGGGTGAAGAAGATGCAGTTTCAACAAATATTCATAACAGATTTAATTTTGCATATACTCAACCAGACACATTAGTTTATAAAACAGTAACATTTTTCAAGGTAATAAAGTGGCAAAGCATTCCTAACTACATATTTCTGTTTCTATAGTAGTACAATGTAATGTATTTATTTGATTTTCTAGGTAAACAGGTTAACTCATACAATGCCAGAAGCTCCAAAGGATGCCTTTCTTAATGATTATGCAGAAAGAAATACAACAAACGTAGTACTTAGCCATATGCCCCTGTTATTTATGCCTGGTACTTTTGCTCAGAATGTACGCTGATTTCGTATATTTGCTAAAGAATAATTTTATTTGTAATTTTTATTAATATTTTATTAACATTACAACAGGTATTGAAAGAATTGTCCCCACAAATTATTTTTACTGCTCATGAACATAAAGCAATGCATATCAGTTTAGACACAGCAACAGACCAATTAAGTGAAATCTGGATTTTACCTCCATACGAGATGCCATTATATCAGTTAAGAATGGATGTAGGTGATATACACGAAGTGCAAATACCTACTTGTTCATATAGAATGGGTACTCCACATACTGGTTATGGATTAGCTTACATTGGTAAGGGAAACGTGATATTATGTGCTACATTTATGCGTCAAGTTATTGTACTTCTTTTTACTAAGTCTTTGTTACTTTTAGATACTCAAGAGAAAATAGTAGAATTTACGATTTTATGGCTACCAGGAAGATTTCCGCAATTACGGATTTATATGTTCGTTGGAATATTTATTTTAGCCTTTAGTATTTGTACTCAGTACTTATATTTATATTTTTAGTCAATTGCATAAAGCGTCATGGAGCTTATAATTGCGCCTTTTCAATTAGCATGTAATTAAATCGGATTCGAAGTATAAAAATAATAACTTGACATCAGAAATGAGGTACAAAGATCCGTCCAGTATATGTGATTCTGCTACCATCTATGTCAAGTGTTGGAAGCAATAACGAGATGGTTACTTAATGTTTGAAATGAACAAATTCAGTATAACATCAATGAGACATCTTTTAAAACATGTTCCTGAATATCTTATAATGATTAGAAGTGAACGTTTTATTTCTTAATAAATTCATTTAATAATTAGAATTGGTTGTATACTTAGTTATTTTCTGAATGTTCATTTTGACTAAATACTCGGTTGCAAATTACAAGGCTGAAATAATATTCTTTGTAGTTTAAAAAATAGTATTTATTATAAATGTATATAAGGTTGAAGTAACAGAAAATTATTTATATTTCTCCCGTTTATACGAATAAAAAGACAAATCGTAATTACTATATTTATCAAAATATTTATGAAGACATAGTGTTACATTGTTGATCAAAAATTCTTCATAGAAGAAATTTATATTTATGTGTGAAACTGTATATACGTTTACTCCAAATAAATAAATGTTAAAGATTAACAAATATTTTATTATTATTCATTACTATTTTATTATTTTATTATTTCACTATACTTGTGTTCTTTTGTTCCTTAGACGCAGATTTTCCGATTGAAAAATGCGATTCAGAAAATTACGCCATAAGTTTGAAATGAAGGCGTAAAACGAACCGTCCAATCGTGTGCTACTGCGTTTGTTTTTTTTTGTGTAGGTATATAAACGAGACTGCGTATGCACGTGTTCCAAACGTCACATAACCGGCTTTAGTGGATGCTGCACTTGTTTGTAAGAAAATTAATGAGTGAAAATTAGTGCATCAAAGTTTGTTATACGTTTATTTTGTTCCACTTTATTTGTTAAAATGGGAAAACGAAAGGCTAGCGCTATAGCAGGAAATCCGAATCAAGATTTATGTGATTTTTTAATGGGTATGTTTATTGTATACATAAATATCAATAATGAAATATTTCTTGATTTACTTGTACCTAATTGATATAAAATTGCAGAACTTGCAAATTATGAAAGGAACGTGAGTAAAAACATTTATAAGTATAATGCTTATCGCAAGGCAGCTGGAACTTTAGGCAGTTTATCAGAAAGAGTGAAAAGTGGACAAGAAGCAAGAAAGCTACCTGGAATTGGTGAAAAGATTGCAAAAAAAATTGATGAATTTCTTAGTACTGGAAAACTACAAAAGTTAGAAGATGTAAGTATCTTAATTTATTTCAGAATGAAGTACATAGTGAAACATGTTTTTAATTTGTTTAGATCAACAAAGATGAAAGTAATGTTGCAATTAATTTATTAACTCGTGTATCTGGCATTGGACCTGCGAAAGCAAAAGAGTTAGTGGATAATGGTATTAAAACTTTAAATGATCTTAAAAAACATCAGAATAAATTGAATCATCATCAGAAAATTGGTCTCAAGTATGGCAATATAATAAAGTGATCATAAAAAAATTAGCTATTTTCATAAAACAGCATTTTTTTCTAGATACTTTGAAGATTTTGAGAAAAAAATTCCTAGGGAGGAGATTGAACAAATTGAAAAAATTATGAAAGATGCTGTTACAAAACTAAGTAATGAATATATTCTAACTATTTGTGGAAGTTACAGACGCGGTAAAAATGAGAGTGGAGATATTGATGTTTTATTAACACATCCAACATATACTTCTAAAGAAAAAGAATCAAAGAAAAAGATTTCGCTTCTAAAAAACGTTGTAGAATGCCTTGAAAAAAAGGATTTAATCACAGATACAATATCTCTTGGTCCAACCAAATTTATGGTACTTTGCTATACATAATTAAGTTTATTTAACATAATTATATTTTAAAATTATTTTACTTTTAGGGTGTTTGTCACGTTCCACACAATGATAATAAACCACAGAGACGGCTTGATATTAGGCTGGCACCTTATGATCAATATTATTGTGCTGTACTGTATTTCACTGGAAGTGATCTTTTCAATAAAAATATGAGAGCACATGCTTTAGAAAAGAATTACACCTTAAACGAGTATACATTAAAACGGCTTACACCCGAAGGTAAATAAAAATGTTGCATGAAAGTATACATGTTACTATATATTTTGTTATAGGAACTCCGGGAAAGCCAGAAATTATTACATGCGAAGAAGATATATTCCGCATTTTGGGATTACCGTACAAAGAACCAAAGGACAGAAACTTATAAATATTTATATTACTTATGTCTATAATAAATTTATATTCTGATATATTTATTCGATGTTATATTGTAAATCAACGTTAAATTATTTATCATTTTTATTTATAAAAATAAAATACAACGTTTAAATTATTTAAAGCTCAAATCATCATCTTCATATATTTGTTAACTAATGTTAACAGTGTTATTAAATACAATGGTATTATACGTTCCCTTCTTACATGATTCCACTCGTCTAATGCTATTTTACACTTCTCTTATATAAATAATGTAAGAATTAAGTAATTATAAATGCATGATACATCAATACATATGTCCTCAGATAGTTATAATAATATCTTTCTGGTAGAGAACGTAAGCAATTAGTGCCCATAACGTCGTTGTCCATAAATTCATAGCGAGAAGAGATGCGTGTGTAGGATGACTTATATTCCATGACCATGGCAACAAATCTTTTGTTAAAATATGACCCACGTAAAGTAAGATCGGGTTGGTTCCTATGATGAAAAACATTAACACATAATTTTTTGTAAAATTATTTTGTGTTATGTAAACTACGGTTTATACAAAATATATACCTGCGTAAATAAATGGAGCTCCACTCCAAACTTGTTTACAATCAATAAGACTATACAAAATTGCGTATAATAAGAAAGCAAAACTCGAACAAGTCAAATCAAAAGATAAGGTCATCATCCTTTTGCTAACTGGAATTACTCCACCTTGCGTCGAGAAGTGGCATAAGTTTCCAGCAATAATACCCTAAATATTTTGTTTTATCATTAGAAATTATTTTATTTGTTAAGAAATGATCACTGTTTTACTGCATACCGTTAATACTGCCCATAGTATCCACCTAATCACTCTAGAATTATACTGATAATACAGCAACAGAATTTTACCGGCATGAACACCCAAATAAACAATAAATATTGCTGATATAGTGTTCATTAGTCCTGTAATATAGTTATAGTTACCAATATTAATATATATATAAAAAATATGTAAAAGTAATTGTAATATTTTTTGCATCTAAGAGAAGTAGCGATAATATACCTTCTGGGTCATAACGTAAAATATCTCCATATATAGACTCTTTTGGCTTGGGGTACATGTGATTTCCAAATATTAATCTGTCAATATAACCAGCTGCACCAGCGGTACAATTCATATACTTTCCTCGATATTCATATTGGCCTCCAGGTCCGAAGTAGCCTTTTGGACAATTAGGTACAGGCAAAAGGAAGGTAATTAAAGTGTGTGTAGTCATAATTACTGCCATAACCAACCATTGAGGCCAACTGTCCAATATATCGCGGAACGAAGCAAAACGACCAAACTGAAGTAAGGTATCCTAATGAGTTATTTTTTGTAGATATCTATTAGATAAATGTCAAAATTTGAGGTGTTAGATATAGTTATGTACAAACTTGTGAATGAGGTTTCATGAAAATTGTTTCCAGCATAGAGCACACGAAGTATGATACACCTAGTAATTGAAGAACTCCAGGAAAACGAAGATCGCTGAAGGAATTATTTTTTATCGAATTCAACATCAATCCAAGAAGTATCAATACTAGTGATCGTCGAATGCAATGCAGCATTATTTTTACACGTGAAACTGTTACACGGAGCTCTGCACGCTTCGATATCGTTATTGTCAGTCCCATAATCCATGCGAACCTGTAACATTTATTTTGTCAGTAACAAATATTAAACATAACATAAATAATAACTTACCAAGGAAGTACTAAATCTGCTACGGTAAGACCATACCATGCACTATGATTAAAGAAAACATATTTTCCACCACCATTGTTGACAAATATCATTAGCAGTATAGCAATTCTGTAATAATAAAATCAGTATTATATTTAAAACAGAAGACATAAAAATATATAAAAACAAATAATACCCTCTGAATGTATCCACTGATCGTATTCTAGTACTAGCTCTTGTAGTTCTAATTACTGGGTGTGTTGTGCTTTCTGTTTCTTGAAGTCTATCCAAATCCTAAGAATAATGTTAGTTAAATTATATGCATGTCATGAACAGTGAAAAGTGCAATTACAATACACTTACATCTGGTGCATTGTCAGGTGATAATCTGCCTCTTATTACCCTTATCATAACTTTTGATGTTGTCCATAAAATTGCTAATAAAGTATATACCATAAATGCTGCAAAAATTGCTGTAAAGATAACACATCATTATTACACTTTTTATCAGTTATGGTTCTAATAAAGTACATAGGAAGAATACAACTTACGAAGATAACTTTCAGATGGTTCACGTAAAACCTCAACTTCAGGACAGCGATCATCACCTGTCACATTCCATTGATAATTACCATGTTCCTTGAAAGAATATGTTGTACTAAAAGAATAGTGATGTGAATAAGAAATAATACATAGAATTACACCATACAAAGGAAAGTTACTTACTGACAGTGATCATAAGATCTATTATTTTCAAATGTTTGATAATATATATGTAATGGATACTTTGTGGATATTACAAAACTATTATTACTCTGAGGTGGTAAAGGACCTTTTGGTACACCAATACCCTATAAATAAACATTATTAATATACTTGAAATCTACAATTTGAAATTTAGTATTAAAGAATGTGAACACATACCCAATATGCATCCCATGCTATGGAGTAGAAGGTGACAGGATTATAATATAAATTTAAAATACTAAGACATGCCTCGTCTACTCCAAGCGAAACATTTGTATTAATACAAGGATTCATGGTATGACTTATCATCTTTAGAACCTTGTTGCGAATAATTATATTTGCACAACAAATAATACTTTTTACATGTGTTCATAGGATTTTCTTCCTAAAATATAAAGTAAAATTATTTCAGAAGTTAAAACATTGATATTCAATAAGTTCAGTTTATCATACTTTGTACATAAAGCATATGATATTAAATACTACTCAAAAGAAATAAGGATTCATTATTGTATTTGCAAAGTATTTAATGCTCGCAGATTGGTTCTAAGTGTAGAATAAGTACTTGTAAGATTTGAAAAGTACTTGGATTACAAGAATTCTTGACTACAGTCTATCTCTCTTTTTATCATTGATATTCTGTATTTTTTACACTACTATATAATTAAGCAAAAATATGTTATTTTTTTAAGATCAAAATGATTTATTAAAGGATTAGCCTGAAAATTAATTAAGTAATATTTATCTGTCAAATGTCATTTAAGTTTTAAAAAAGGCGCATTAATTTACCCCTGACTCTGCATAATTTGAAATATTTTATTTCAATGCACAGGCGAGTGGCGTATTTTCCAAATATTCACACGACTTTTTCTCTTTTCTTCCGTGTTTGACATGAATGGAATATCGTGCGAGGTTTTAAATGTTATCTGTTCGAAACAGCAATTACACTCGTGATTAAATGTCAACAAATCATTACAATTTATATAAATCGACGAAAATAATCATAACGCGTACGACGCACATCGCATCAAGCATGACAACTATGCATTTGTAATGATATGATTTAAAGTTTAATTACCTAGAAAAATGACGTAAACGTAGATCGCAGTTATAAGTAACACAGTTGCGTAATTTATCTATTATATACGAAACAAAGAAACTACTGCATGAACGTCGTTCTGTTCGAAAGAATATGATGGAGACAGCAAAAAATAGCGGTATTCCCCAGGCTTTCAACAGTATTGTAATAAACTCGTACACACGTTGAACGTGTGGTGGAATAACCCTACTTTCCTCGATGTATTATTTAAATAAATGCATCGGGGTATTTATATTCATGACGAACGTCCTGCACTAACCTTAGTTTTATGACTTGTTGTATTGCTGTTCTATTATGTTTGTTAATACTGATCGTTTACTGATACACATAATACGAGAAATTATAGCATGTAAATGTAACGTGCACAACGAAGGCGCATTTTATTTACTTCAAAGAGAAACGAGATACACTTGCTCATAGACGCGCAGCCTGCACATTCTATGCACGCAGGAAGTGTACAGTAAAAATTACTTTAGATAATTAATAAATATATCCCGAATAAATTTAATTTATTTGTTATTTATGAATAATGAATAACTTAATCAATTTTATTAGATGAATAAAGTTATTCGTTAATTTTAATCTTCGTTTGAAATTTTCTTACGAAAAGGTAACATTTCTTCTTCAAGCAGTTTTAAAATACATCGTTATTATATTACATACTAATAAATATATATTTTAAAAATATATTAGTAAGAATGTTAAATAAGTATAATACATATAATAAATGTTTAAATATACGAATTTTGAGTTGCTGAAAAATACTCAAATTGCAAATCTTCGAATGTGAAGTAGTTTTTGACCAGTCAGTTTGACGGTTAAAAGAATCGATACAATTTCGATCTTGTACGTATTAATATTTATTCGATTTTAAAATAGTATCGATAATAACGAAATAAGTACAGTACTTTTGTACAAGGAAGCATCGTTTTAAACTGTGTCATATATTAGATATCACGTTTGCATCATCTAACATTTTTCTGATAATGAGTTGGCGTTGTGGAAGCGAAAATAAAGATGTATTAATCACTGTTAGATAAATACGAAACGTCAAAGATTTATAAGTCACTATTAATCGTTTTTTAGATACGATATTGAGACATCCAAAAAATTTTTATCCATTATATCCTAGTTGATATAGTACTTCGAATCACCGGATATCTTTATAATACGGAAGCGGTGCAAGATATATTTAATTCTACAGGTAATGAATCATCTTACATTCTTACATTTTTAAATAATTTATTGTCCTTTTTTATTCCGTAATGTTCTGTTTTAATATCTATTAATAACATTCTTGTAATATTGTACTGTGTTTTTCATGGAAGATCATTTTGAAAAAATACTTTATTGTACTTCTTGACCACAGATAAACTGCGACTGAATGAAGCCGGTACATTGTTGAGACTTTGAACATTATTCATTCGATAAACAGTGTCTACGTACGATAATAATCGATGATACGATAATGATAAGCCACGATACGTTCATGGATATGGGTTTCGAGAAATAGTACGTCAGATATTGATTTGACACAGACGCGATCGTTTCGTTGAATTTGTTTATCTTAAGACAAAATTTTGTAGATTTTCAACACCATGGAGCGTGGAGAGGAACCTTCGAGAACTCCATCGACCTCGAACGTGAAAAACATTAATAAGGTAATGAGCTCAATTCTCTTACTTTCTATCGATATTTATATTTATATTGGTGTTGTATCCAGTGTAAACGAAGATACAGTAGACTAACACCAGGTCATGACACATAGCTTCTTATCATTCTTTGTTATACAAATATTTAGTAACCCACACAAATGCAATAAATAATTTTCAGAAGTCATCGGATAAAGAGAATAAAAAGGCTGAGACTTTGAAGAAACATGTACCTGACAGTGTGGTTATTCATGATGCTGTCTATGAGGAAGATGCTCCTAGGTAAATGCATTATGTGCTCGAAAAATGGGACACGTAAATGGACGCAGACAGGTTGTCAGTCAAAAGGGGGGCAAAGTTCGTCTTATGTTGAACATTATATTACTTTCAACCCTTTTGCACGTAAATATTGATCGTTTACCGTTAACTATTGTAATTTCATTATTTAATTATAGAGAGGGGCAAAATGTAATCTTTTTTGCGTTTATCGAACTTATTTACGTTATCGGGCAGTAGATAAATAACATATTTGATAATTATGTAAACAAGGATATGCTTCACCGATTTCTGCGACCTTGAAATATATTTTCAAGGACATTATTCTGAACAATTTTTCTTTATAAATATAATCGGAATATTCACCGATTTGACTTTGAAATATTTTTCTGAAGGTCGTGCCCTTTTTTATACACTTACAAAATATGTAAATAAAATAAACACCTCAGACGTACAGACATTAAGACGAAGTTTGCCGCAATAATTACAAAAAAATATATATAAAAATTTATTGTATCACAGTAGTCCACTGGCTGCCATAAAGTCTCCTGTCTCTAAGGATAACCTTTACTACAACATGAGCCTGAAGCATCGGGGAATCTGTATAGTATTTAATCACGAAACGTTCTCATCTGGTGTTGGTGAAAAACGCGAAGGAAGCAATGTCGACGTCGCATCGATAAAAGCGACCTTTTCCCAATTAGGCTTCAAAGATGTGCAAGTTCACAACAATTTGAAGTTCGCTGAGTTCGACACGGTGATGGACGATTGTAAGTGACATTGTTATTTTCTGAAGGCATTTTCCACGCTAACAAATTGATATCCTTGCTAATTGACAAAGGATATATACAGCAGACTATCTATCAATTGAATATCTGTTTTCAGTGACGAATGTAGATTATACGGATTACAGTTGTCTCTGTGTCTTCGTGCTAACTCACGGTAATTCCAATGGTATGCTGTACACAAATGACCTCGGATATCCTTCGGACTACCTGTGGAAGAGATTCACCGCTGACAACTGTAAGACGCTAACCGGGAAGCCAAAGCTCTTCTTCATACAGGTATCAGACTTTATAATTTTCTTCATTAGATTTAGGGATTATACAAATAACAAGAATATAATTGAGTGACTGTAGGCTTGCAGAGGCTCGAATGTCGATGCCGGAATCCCTCTGTGCAGCACTCAGTCAAATAGCGGTTCGTCTTATAAACTTCCTGTCCAGGCGGACTTCCTGATCGCTTATAGTACACTCGACGGTGAGTTCCATTAAACATCAAGAAACGACTATAACACTTATTACTTAATTTTCTACCTCATGAGCGATGTTGTAAATAATTGCTGCCTACTTTGAGATATTTTTAATTTTGATACTTTAAGATTGTATTATACACTTTAAGATTAAGATCGCGTTTATTTAAAGATCATGTTTCGTGGCGGGATCCATCGAACGGGTCATGGTACCTACAAACTCTGTGCAATGTAATCAACACACATTGGACGACGACTGATCTGCTGAAAATGTTGACGATAACAGCCCGAAAAGTCGCAACTGAGTACGTTTCGCAACACGACGATGTCAACCTGAACGAAATGGTGCAAATGCCAACTTTCACTTCGACGTTGACGAGAGATCTCTTATTTACTCCAACGGACACATAGTTTCATCTGTACATCGAAACTTGCAAATCTTGAAGCGGTGAAACGCGGAACCAGAGAAAAATGGAACGCTGATGGCAGCACAACTGAACCGGTATCAAAAATCGATCTTCTATAATCGACGAACCAAAAATAATAGCCTGTTAAGAAATATTTTCTACTCGACACTTCACGAAACGACGATTTACGGTTCCTCTCGAATTTTTCGATCGGGAAACTTTATCTTCGTCTCCAATTTCAGTGTTCGCGTTTTCTCTCTTTTTGATCTCTCCCCGATGCAACATTTTTCGGTGAATTTCTCGAGCACTTATTTCTGCTCGATCTCCCATCAGTATTTAATTGGCTCTTGGCACCGAACCGCTGTCTGCCCTTCGAAATGAAAAAAACCTCGTTAACTTTAAACAAGCGATGCCACCAATTACTGGCTGTTGAAAAAAAATATGCCATTTGCGGGATATCGCGTCATCAGACTGAAATCCGTCAAAAATTTTCCTGACGATATCATTTTGAAGTTTTTAATATTTCATCGTTACAATAAAATAGCAAAATTCGACCGATGCGCAATGGCGTAGAAAAATATTCTGGACTGCTCTGTACAATAAATATCAACTATATATTATTATGTTAATATTATTTTTATTAAATTGATTCAGTCAAATTATGTCCACATCCCTTGTACGTTCACGTTGAAACAACCTATCCAATAGTAGTGCAATTGAAACGTGTTTATTTGGGTTCCTGAATAGTTCTTGTCCTGTTGTTCATTCCTGACGAACAGAAACAACGCGTTACGATTGTTGTCATTCCCCTATCCCATCGTTCGTCTCTCCCTTATACCGTTCATGAGAAGTAACAGCTTGATCAACAACTTCCGTTGACGCAATTCGTGTCACTTCTCAATTGCGAATTGGTTCAGTATAATAGTCGAATGTGTACGTTGGTCTCCTCGTGTCGATTACTAAGGACAACGACCAGGGTCATGGCGGAATATTTTCGGCTTCCACCACTACATAGTCGCGAATGGCCTTCAATGCGGAAGGCCATTATAAGTTTGTTGACCACATGTGAAGGGTGTGCAAGTATCATTTCCTTTGAACCATAGACTACGGCCAAATTTTTATGACACTTTAACTGAACAAAATTTAATAGACGGTAGTTGTACTCAAAGAATGGAGTCATAGTCCTGTCAGGCTGGATGAGAGGATGTTCGCGCGAATACGAACTTACACTTCGACCGTGCGAATATTTATAGCGACTTTGTTCCCGAAATAATATTGATTTAATAGCATTTTGAGTGTCAGATCTGAGTGAAATATGTTTCAGTAAATAATAGGATTCACGTTACCACATTAAAGCAAGTTAGATTCTATAAGTACCAAACTTTAATAACATTTGAATTAATCTGATATTTAAAATCATTTCGTCTATATTTATCGAATACTACCCGATCACGAAGAGCGAGTAGATGGTCTTAAGAAGTTTAATTGCTATTTGTTTTCGCTCGGTCTCCTTCGCTCGCTGTCCTCTTCCGCGTAGAAACTTCAATCGATGCAGGAAGTACACGATACAAGCGAGAGTTCGGTCCCGAAAGATTCGCTTATATCGAGGCTCTACCGTACCGGTGGAGACACACCTTAAGTCGGGAAGGGTCAGGAGTTTGCGCGAACAGATCAATACTGCCCCCGCGCGTGTATCCCTCTCTCTCTCGGTTTTCACCATCCACATCCGTTTCAGGGATGCTGCGCTCTTTTCTCTAAAAAATCCCGCGTCTATCCGTCTCCCTCCATCCCTGTCCCATCTCGCTCCTCTCGTACGTCTCTATTTCCCCATTTTTTCAACATCTCCACGAGTCTGAGTACGCGCGTCTTTTTCTAGCTCTTTAATCTCATTCTTCGACTTCCGTCGCGCTGCCACGCGATCCCGTTCCGTCTTTCATCGTCCACTGGCCCCGCTAACGCACCGCTTCCTGAATAGTTCTTGTCCTGTTGTTCATTCCTGACGAACAGAAACAACGCGTTACGATTGTTGTCATTCCCCTATCCCATCGTTCGTCTCTCCCTTATACCGTTCATGAGAAGTAACAGCTTGATCAACAACTTCCGTTGACGCAATTCGTGTCACTTCTCAATTGCGAATTGGTTCAGTATAATAGTCGAATGTGTACGTTGGTCTCCTCGTGTCGATTACTAAGGACAACGACCAGGGTCATGGCGGAATATTTTCGGCTTCCACCACTACATAGTCGCGAATGGCCTTCAATGCGGAAGGCCATTATAAGTTTGTTGACCACATGTGAAGGGTGTGCAAGTATCATTTCCTTTGAACCATAGACTACGGCCAAATTTTTATGACACTTTAACTGAACAAAATTTAATAGACGGTAGTTGTACTCAAAGAATGGAGTCATAGTCCTGTCAGGCTGGATGAGAGGATGTTCGCGCGAATACGAACTTACACTTCGACCGTGCGAATATTTATAGCGACTTTGTTCCCGAAATAATATTGATTTAATAGCATTTTGAGTGTCAGATCTGAGTGAAATATGTTTCAGTAAATAATAGGATTCACGTTACCACATTAAAGCAAGTTAGATTCTATAAGTACCAAACTTTAATAACATTTGAATTAATCTGATATTTAAAATCATTTCGTCTATATTTATCGAATACTACCCGATCACGAAGAGCGAGTAGATGGTCTTAAGAAGTTTAATTGCTATTTGTTTTCGCTCGGTCTCCTTCGCTCGCTGTCCTCTTCCGCGTAGAAACTTCAATCGATGCAGGAAGTACACGATACAAGCGAGAGTTCGGTCCCGAAAGATTCGCTTATATCGAGGCTCTACCGTACCGGTGGAGACACACCTTAAGTCGGGAAGGGTCAGGAGTTTGCGCGAACAGATCAATACTGCCCCCGCGCGTGTATCCCTCTCTCTCTCGGTTTTCACCATCCACATCCGTTTCAGGGATGCTGCGCTCTTTTCTCTAAAAAATCCCGCGTCTATCCGTCTCCCTCCATCCCTGTCCCATCTCGCTCCTCTCGTACGTCTCTATTTCCCCATTTTTTCAACATCTCCACGAGTCTGAGTACGCGCGTCTTTTTCTAGCTCTTTAATCTCATTCTTCGACTTCCGTCGCGCTGCCACGCGATCCCGTTCCGTCTTTCATCGTCCACTGGCCCCGCTAACGCACCGCTTAATTCCTCTCCGCGCCTTGGCTCGCCGCCCTTCGCCCCGTTGCCCCAACGCTCTAACGAGGCTCGATTTCCGGCCGGTGAGCGGATCTTTGCACGAGTCTGCCTCTTTCATCGACCTCCCCTCTTCGACTCGTACATATGTCCTCCTTCTTCTTGCCCTCAACGCGCTTCTTGCCCGCCAGTTGTCTTTTCGCCTCCTCCTCTCCACCCTGACTCTACTAGCCACCTTCCTTTTCACGTTTCCCCCTTTGTTGACCGATTATCGGCGGTTCAGCGGCGATACAACGCTGCGGTAATCGTGTTACGGGACTGACGAGGATGCAATTGTTTCTAGGGATATCAACGGTTTGGACATGCGGAGGTATTCTTGAGGGGAACTTTTATCGATGGTAGGTGACTGCTGATGAGAGGTTGGGGTTGCGGGATTTGATACAGGGAAGTTGACAAACTTTGAGGAATTGGTAATTTGAGGATGCGGTAGTTTTGTGAAGTGTCGATTTGAAGATTTGGAAAGGGAGCTGCTAATTCAGAAATTTTGTTATTAATTATAGCATAATTTTTAAAGCGAGTTGCATTAATTTCGTAACATTGATAGCCCCGTAATATCGTAAATTATAAAAGAATATAACAAAAATGCATGGGTCATTGGAGCACTATACGTAACTATATGTAATTATATTAGAAAACAATGATATCATATAGTTATTTAGGAATAAGTTCAATCACTGTATAGAGATCTATCTGCATACATTGCCCCATGAGTGTTTCCATGTTAATATTATTTATCCAACACATGACAATAACAATAACAAAACACCAGTCATCGATGCCACCGTATATCAACGATGAATCCCGAATCTCCAAAACCGCAGAAGAGGAATAATTTCGGGAGCCAATGAACCCGTCTACATTAAAAGAATAGTCACCGACAAAGATTCAATCTCCGTACGAAAAACGTGTACGCACGCATACATTATTTCGGAAGAAGGGGATAAAAGCAGAAACGCGGACGAACGCGACAAAGGGAAAGGATCAAGGGAAACGGCGACAGAGCTGAAAACTGCTTGCAAACAACGAAAGAGAAGCAACGAAGCTTCTAAATCTAACAACGGTGCCAACGAAGGCGCGTCGTTTGGATTAGGTTTAGCTCGACGAAGATGAACGATCTCGCGAGAGATGAAACGAACGAACGGAGACAACGAACGGCTAGATGAACGGAGATGGACAGAATGTGTGCAGAAACTGTAGGAAGCTTGGCTAAAACGATAGTCGAAGAGCGAAGTGAAGATAGAAGAAGCTAGAACGAGCGGAGGGGTGTGGAAGGATGGAAGTCGAGGACAGAGATAAAAGTAGGAGAACGAGGGTGGACGAAGGAGTAAAAGAGACAGGGTTGTACAGTCAAGAGCAAATCTGGTTTTTCTATGAAAAATATTGCTGTGAAGGCTGAAACGATCTCGTGAATTTTTAGGGATGTGGACCTGCCAATTTCCGGATATGGAAATTTAGGAAATAGGGAACTTAGGAATCTGGGAATTAGGGATAAGTTTGGAATCTAGGAATTATTTAAATCAAGGATTTGGGGATTTTTGGATACAGGAGTTTTGGATGCAGGGATTTTTTATATAATGGAATGTCAAGATCGGAATTCGATGGTTCAGGAAATTTCTTGAATCTAGGGATTTTTCATATCCAGGGATTTTTGCATATGGAGCCGGGGATTTTTTTAAATCTAAGGCACCGAGATGGTTGGACTTAGGCATTTTTCATGTCTAGGGATTTTTTTACATCTAGGGATTTTTGCATAGGGAGTCGGGGATTTCCTAATCTAGGGCACCAGGATGGTTGGATTTAGCGATTTTTCGTGTCTAGTGATTTTTTCACATCTAGGGATTTTTTCCATATCTAGGGATTTTTGCATAGGGTGTCAGGGATTTATTAATCTAGGGCACTGAGATGGTTGGACTTAGTGATTTTTCGTGTCTAGTGATTTTTTCACATCTAGGGACTTTTTCCATATCTAGGGATTTTTGCATAGGGTGCCGGGGATTTATTAATCTAGGGCACCGAGATGGTTGGATTTAGTCATTTTTCGTGTCTAGTGATTTTTTCACATCTAGGGACTTTTTTACTTTTCTATTTGGGTCTGGGGATTTCTACATATAGGGTACTTTAGAGATTTTAGTGTGTAGATACTTGAGGATATAGGAATTTTGGGATCATGGAATTTGTGGTTCTGGGGATATAGCGATTTAGGGACTTCAGTATACATGGACTTGATAATCTAGGTATTTTGCAATCTAGAGACTCAGTGTTCTAGTAATGTAAGATTCGAGAATCTGTAATCTAGAAATTGTTTGATCTAGGGTGTATTTATTAATTTCAAAATAGAGGATACTCGTATCTAGGAATTTAGAGAAGCTGAATAGA